TTTACTAAATGAAAAAAGTGTAGTTTTGAAAATTGGCACCAAAGAGGTGTATTTTTGAAAATTTGCACCTCAAGAGGTGTAGTTTTGAAATTTCCCCTTAATTCAATATAACTAATATAAAAAACATATGTATTTAATACTCATGTTTCTTTTTCTATTTTTAACTAATTTGGATACAAGCTATAATTGTAGTAAAAGTTTTTTTTTCAGATTAATTTTAAATTTAGAAATTTTTAACTTGTTAGAGTTTTATATCTAGATTAGTGATCGAGAAAACATATTTTATCTAGTGAATTTTGGTTTAAAGATTTTATATATATATATATATATATATTGAATTTTGGTTTAAAGATTTTATATATATAGTTGTGATAGGTAGTTATTGAGTATTAATTTTGTTTTAACTGAATTTATTTATATATTTCACAATTAAATATTTAAGTATTATCTTTAAAAATTCTTATTAAATATTTTATGATTTTGACTAATTTATTTTTAGAAAGTTCTATTTTTTTAATACCCATTTACACCTACCCACAACCGCAAACGCTTGAAAAAAACAATTTTTGGATTTGTGAGGTTTGGAGCGGCGTAAAACGATTTAAAATATTTTCCTTGATTGTTGTCAAATACCAACAATTGCTATCACCGATATTAGCAGGTAAACCAATCAACGCCTTATTTGCGAAAAAACGTTGGGGGGTTTGATTGTAGAAGATACATTTTATTAATATTTATCTAACACATTTATTTTTCATCTATAATTAACAAACATTTTACATTGAATCTACATTATAAAATATCAGCGAAATTAATACAAACTACCATACTATAAATTTTAGTCAAAATGATGCTCATATTTCAAAGATACAGTAAACAAAATTCTTAACTTTGTGGGGTTTTGTGGGATAGTGGTTTAACCACTATACCTTGTACCTTAGGCATATATAACTTCATTAACTCTGAACATGCTGTATATAAAGAGATAATCATGATATTAGTGTAGTACCATATAGTCCATCGTCCATATCAAAGCTTCGCACAATTGAGATAGGTTTTACTCCAAACCTAAACCTCATTCTCGCGTTTCTACGTCTATCGACTACATATTTCGATTTTTTTTTTTTTTTTTAAATAGCCTAACATATAGAATTATATAGATCAGTTACATGAGTTTTCTTTGACGTGGTTGATTGTCACTTACTCATACACAAAAAAATGTGATATTTCTCTTTTTAACAATGAAACCATTTATATTAAACATTTCTATTAATGAACTTGCAAAAAAGGGAAAAAAACTTGCGAAACACAAGAAATGTGTGTTGTGGTAATCTTTCTTTTCTGCTTTAGTTTCGTGGTAAGATTATTAAGTTATTGCCTAATCTTATATATAATGAGAGGATATCACTTTCCAATTGAGTGATACCTGTCCAATCTATTAAGGGAAACTCTTTAATAGATTAGAGATTGATTTCTTTAAGAGTAGAAACCACAACACTGGCGATGGGATTCTCTCTTTTATGTGGATGTAAAAAGTCTTTCAACACCATGTGATATCAGCCTTTGGATACACAAAAACCTGTGTAGAACCGATCTTATGTTGGTATATCATTGTGTTTCTATTTTGTCGTTATGGTAAGAGATGTGAACTTATAAAATTTTGTTATAAATTTAAAAACAAATTTCGATTGGTTTAAAGCCAAATTTCGATTGGTTTAAAGCCATGAGTTGTTTAAAAAATTATTATAGATTTAAAACAAAATTCGGGGTTGTTTGCAGCATCAAGAATGAATAGGAAGCTCTCAAGGATAATAATAGTTTAGATTGAGGCTTTGAGCAAATAAGTTAGCAGTTTAAACAAAAATATTAATATTAAGATGTTGGTAAAGACACCTTCATCTTACAAATAATAAAGAATGCATTGAAAAGAGAAAAGAGAATTATTAACATAAGACAATACTCTCTCTATTTCATATTATAAGCAGTTGGGCAAAATGTACCTAAAAAAAAAGTGGATGTATCTAGATGGAATTCTGTTCAGATACATCAATATTTTTTCAGATACATTTTGTTCAACTACTTATAATATGGGATATAGGAAATATGTTTGTAGTGTTTTTCGACACTAAAAAGATCTAGGATATGAGAGATGAAAGCTTCATTCACCAATTGCTTTTCTATTATTGCCTCTTATTCCCGAGGAAGTGGTCGTAATAAAGCCGCATGGCAATACCCGCCAAAAAGATTTGAAGTAGAAAATTATTATCTTTTTTTTTCTATGATTTTGGAATAGTGTTATATAGAATTACACTGTTTTAGTTTTGCCACCTTCATAAGCTGCAAAGCATTTAGCACAAATATAAATAATCATTTCTTTAATGACTTCGATATTGTTCATTTCCTACAATTAGGTTAATTTTACTTGAGTTTTAAGTTTGTTTTTCTCTCGAGGAAAAATAACCACTTTTTCAAACAACTTCTATTACTTCAATCTTTTTATACAACAATTCTCTTTTTAATCTGCAAGACATCATATTGTCTTTTCCCAACAAATTTTGTGACATTTATATTTATATTTATATTTATATATATATATATCTGATAAGGGTATTTAGGTTAAAATTCGTAGACCTACCATAAACGTTTTATGAAATTTGATTTTAGAGAAAATAAAGATGAATATAAATTATGTGTTAACATATATGAAAAAAAAATAAAAGGCAGAAATTTACAAATTCAAATGATAATTAAAATAAAATAACAAAACTTCGTAATAGTCATAACCCGCGCATCGCGCGGGCTTAGCCCTAATCTACATAACTAATAAGGCTTGGACATCTCCAGCCTTTGACACGTGGCACTTTTTTTTTTTTTTTTTTTCGCCTAACACCAAAACGACGTCGTTTTGCGCTTTATTTTTTTTTTTTCGTCTTACACCAAAACGACGTCGTTTTCGTAAAAAAAAAAAAAAAAATCTAAATCAAAATTATGTGTAATGCTGTTCGTTTTGATGGGCTTGATTATTTATCGGACCTCTTCGTTTCCATGGTAGCTTTAAATGGGCTTACTGGCTAATTAGCTCATTTCATTTCCTTTTAAAAAGGATTGCAATTATTATTATCTATGAGTCTGTAGGATAATAATCAATCTATAATGATTGTTAGTATAAGGAAAATTAGAAGAACTCAACTCCAGTCGATAAATTATTGTATAAAAGAACAAAAAACATATGAAACTATTCACTATGAGTCTATATAAGATTTCACGTAAATAACAACTAAATTTTAAAACTATATGAAAAAAAACAAAATGCAAAACTTACAGAATCTAATATATTCGAGTAAAAAACAAATGATATATTCGAATCTAATGTTCTGAATAATTAAATTAAAAATATTTGGTTTAATAAACCCGCGCATTGCGCGGGTTCTCTCCTAGTAATTTCTAATTTCCAGCACAATACATTATATACCATACAGTAAATTGTACACAAAACAACACTAGACACATGGCCTAAATCTGAATGAGAGTCCACACTATAACTTAAGTACTTTGTTTAAATTCAATTATGTTTTATTTTACGTTATTTTATATCAATGTGTTCTAAGTTGCTTCGCCTTAATAAGCCCATACCGGCAACTGTTTCAAGTCTTAAGATACCCAGTTGATCACTAGCTTTCAACTCCCTATATGTATAGAAATATTAAATCAGTTATTAAAATAAGATTTAAAGATAAAAAGTCGTGGTGTTGTCTCTTCGCAATAACAAAGACTATGTTTACAATTTTTTTTAGCCTAACATGCCACCGATGAATGCACCTAATCCTATAAACACCGGCCAGTACATGTCGACCCCTAATTATGAACCATGTATGTCTATGAATCATTATTTTCTTGATAATCTTATATATATATATTAAACATTGATTAAAAGTTTTCTGTAGTCGTCACTCACAACCATTTAACAATATGTATACAAAAAAAATCTTATTATTTGCTGTCGTGAACATTTTTGTGTTTAGTTCTATCCATTATCGGTTTTCATTGAAAGCGTCGATTTGATGACGTGGAACTAAAGTGCGTGAAAGTAAAACCTTTGCTTGTTGATACAACTGAATGTTCACACTAACGAAAAAAAGAAAATACAAATAATAAAAACGTGAATTGGTGGCCTAAGTGCCACTCAAACACTACTAATGAACCTTTGCCTAATTCAGTGGTTAACCATTCACGGGTTTCACTTTCCATTTTTCTACTTTTTTTCTTGAATATATAATTCAGTGTTTTTCTCTCGGAGTTAATTCATTAGGCTTAGCAATAATTTCTCTGATAATTATGCGAATATGAATGATTCATGATCTAAGAGTTTGATTAAACCAGTCATACATACTAGAAGAAGCTGTCTAATTTAATACTGATAAAAGAACGTCATGAAGGGTTGACTTCTGGTACATAGATCTAGGTAAAGATCAGATTTTCGAAGATATGGATTAAAAGTAGATACAACAGAACATAAACTAGAAAGAAAGAAAGACAGAGATCAATTTTTTTGTACCCTAATCATTAATAATTTTTGTTGATTTTCATTTTTATGGAATTTGGCAAAGAAAAAACGCAGAATTGTCAGGTAATTTTGGGTATATAGAGTGAACCGTCAAAATGTTATTGGTTAGTTAGGAAATATTATAATAATGTAAAGTGGATCGATATGTGTAAAATCTTTTGTGGAGTAAACTAAAAAGATTAAACAACCACCAACCTTATAACCTCTCCCTTTGTATATATGTATGTATATATATATATAAGCAGCCCCACCATCGTCTTCCTCACTGCCTCTTTTCTCTTCTCTCTCTTGTTAGTTCACTCCACATAATAAACACCAAAAATCTCATTTCTTTCATCAACAATTCGAAAATTCTTGAATTGGGTTTGGTTCTTGATTCATTTCTTGAATTGGGTTGTTCTTGATTTTTTTTTTACTATCTTTGGTGTTGATAATCATGATGAGTCAAGATCATGAGGTTGGGAGTGATCAGACGCAAATCATAAAAGGGAAGCGTACGAAGCGGCAGAGATCGTCGTCGACGTTTGTGATGGCGGCGACGACCACGATCACTTCAACTAGTTCATCTGCCGGCGGTGGCGGCGGCGGCGGCGGAGGAAGAGAAGTTTCCGACGAATACAACTCTGCCGTTTCATCTCCGATAACCACAACTGATTGCACGGAAGAAGAGGAAGACATGGCGATTTGTCTCATCATGTTGGCGCGTGGGACAGTTCCATCGGCGGATCTCAAGAATTTGAGAAAATCTGAGAAATTTCTTCATCAGAAGATTTCATCGACTGAAAACTCGAGTTTCTACGTTTACGAGTGTAAAACATGTAACCGGACGTTCCCGTCATTCCAAGCGCTCGGTGGACACAGGGCCAGCCACAAGAAGCCCAGGACGTCTATCGACGAGAAGACTAAATTACCCTTGTTACAGTTAAAGTCCAGTGCATCAGAAGAAGGACAAAACAGTCATTTTAAAGTTTCCGGCTCAACCCTAGCTTCACAGGCAAGTAACATAATCAACAAGGCAAACAAAGTGCACGAGTGTTCAATCTGCGGTTCTGAGTTCAGTTCCGGACAAGCACTTGGCGGCCACATGAGGCGACACAGGACAGCCCCCACCGCAGTTAGCCTGGCCACAGCCACGGAAGTAAGCAGAAACAGTACAGAGGAAGATATTGGGAATCTGAGCCGATCGATGGAGCAGAGGAAATATCTACCGTTGGATCTTAATCTACCAGCACCGGAAGATGATCTAAGAGAGTCAAAGTTTCAAGGGATAGTGTTTTCAGCCACACCAGCCTTGATAGACTGCCATTACTAGTTGTTTAATTGAATGTTTAATTGCGTAGTATGATCATATTTGTGAATTATACTCTTATCATTGGAATTATTATTTTTTTATAAAAATTGAATCAAATATTACTTGATTTTTTTGTTGTTATAAAAAAAGAGGAAAATGAAATGTACAAGTTATAATGAAAGAGAGGAATATAGTGGGAGCTAAGTAAAGGGTTGTGTGATAGTTAGATGATCTACTTGTTGAAGTAAGAATAGTTTGAGTAAGCAAGTGGTTAGTGTTCTCATGGTTGCCTTTCATTCACGAAAAGCAAGTGACTTCCAAGGCATCTTTTCTTTCCCTCTTTTTAAGGTATATATATATATATATTTTTTTTTTGTAACAAAAGAAAATAAAATAAAAATGTGAACCAACTATTGTGTTGCTCTCTCCTATTGCTTGTAGACGCCACTTTTCCAACGATTTGCAACTTATTAGATTCCACGTTTGCAGCCAAACTATGACATTGCCATGAAAATACAAAGTGAACATGAACAATCTACATAAATACAGACTTAAAAGTTAAAACATTTCAAAGTAGTTGTTGGTCATTTTAAATATTTCATAAGATGATAAAATCTAACGTTTTTATTTATCCTATAAACCTTTGTGTACAGAAAAAAAAAAACTAAATATAGAGAAATAAAGACAGAATACATATAAATTTTAAAATATATGTTGGTCAAAGTGACAAAAAAACATTAGCTCATAAATCTTACTATAATTTATTTGATATCCGATCCGACTTGGAATTAATCAGTTGGTTATATAAATAAATAAAACTCTCGATTACATATCTAAACATTGTGTATTTTAAATAAATAATAATATCTGTTGTATGACTTTTATGCTATGAGGACCAATGCTATTTTCCCCATCATTCCCGTTTCATAACCAACCTTTGTTAAAGTACTTTTATAAGACTAAGCCGCATTCGAAGTCGTATCTTTATGTTAGCCACTTAAGACAATTCAACTTTGAAAAAACCTTAGTTTTTGGAAATTCTGAAATTAGGTTGAGATTCGAGTTATGATTTACTCAGTCACAATGACTTTACGCTATAAGGCCAACGCTATTTTCCCATCATTCTCATTTCATAACCAACATTTTGTAAAGACGAAACACGACTATAGGTTAAGTATTTTAAACATTTTGTAAACCGCGTTCGGATTCATATTCGAAAATGTTAAATAATTAGAGAAACGTTTTAACAAAATAAATATGAATTGATAAAATAGAAAGGCAGTAGACACGAGGTGGACGTGGTGACCAGCTTAGGGTTTGGCAGGAGAATCACCACCACAACTAAATAGACGTGGATTAGGTTCTTCTTTGGTTTTGTGTTGTTTTTTCTGGTCACCACATTTACAACTTTCTTTTATCTATGAATTATTTTAATCGATTATAACGGACTAACAATTATTATGACAGAACAGAAAAAAAGCAAAAAAAATTAAAAAAATCAAATAATTAAAGAGAAGGGGAAAAAGATGATAAACAGTGACAGCAGAACACAGTCACAAGATTCACTCACCGCTTCACTCCTTGCTTCCTATGCTTCCCTTTATAAAATTATTCTTGCAGTTGCATCCATGACCCAACTTTTATTATTTAAATTAAATTTTATAAACTTTCCTTGTCCTCTCACAATCTTATCAATTTCTCAATTCAACTATATCTTGCTAGGAAATTATTTTATAGACTAGTGAGAAATAATAAAGTTACAATTTGTAATTAAGGTAGATACTAATTATCTGACTGTGGTTTCTGTTCACTCTCATTTTCTAAATGACTATATACCCTGTTGTATACAAGCAATCGAAACACAAAGTCACAAAAAAGAGAGCACTTAAATTGAAACAAGCGGTCGTCATATGCCTCTAACTATGTACTAAAAACCGATATACTTGTACCAATCCACAAGTTCAATACATTCGTTATTCTCAGACATAGTACACAAATCTTGTTTAATTTAGTTTTCTGACAAACGTATTTATTTTCCTAATTAACAATAAAAATCATATGCGTTTGAATTTGATAGTGATGCATCGACAACACAATAACAAAACAATAGTTTACATTTCTCGTAAATAATGCATAATTAATTAATAGTATGGATGATTAGCATGGGGTTGACTACAATTTAAAAAAAAAAAAAATCAATGTGTTTCCAAGAATAATGTTAATGCAATATGAGAAATTGACTGTAGCGCTGAAGTGGAATATGGTGCGATGGAGAGAAGAGAACGTAGACAATGGACAATGGAAATGTCAGAAGGGATTTAGATGTGAGCCTCTTGAAATGACGATAGCCAGAGTAATAGGGAGAGTTCTTATGCTTTTAAAATAGTCATGGATCAAAAGAATATAAATTCAAAAGTTGATGAGTAAGAATACTTTTTCATATGCATTAGTCTGCTATGAATCTTGATGAAAAAGTAGCGCATTCGTCTAGAATTGGATTTCTCTATTTGACAGCTCAACATGGGTTTTCTATGTTAACATACCAAAAAAGTCAAGCCATTAGAAAAAAATTAGTACTAATTTATGCATTATGAATTGGATTCTCACCTAGTTATAATATTATGCAATGAAAATAATATTAGTATGTAGGAATATATATATATATACAAATTCTTCTTCAGATGTTCTGCATTTTCACATGAATGTTGCTTGTTTTATTTTGCCATAACTCTTAGTTTTTAGTCTTTTAAAAGTTTTCGTGCATTTTTTTTCTTTTTCCAATTTCTGTTTTGAACTTATGTACCCCAACACACTACAATTTAGCTATATATTAAAATCCATATACAGATCCGCCTTCATTTACCCTGATCATAAAGTCAATTATCTAATACTTTACAAGATTATAAAATACAACTAGTAACTGAATTTAGGGATGGACCAGGTTGCGTTCAGTTTAAGCCAAGTCGTTACGCCTAATCAAAAATTTAAAGTCCCTTACTTAGCAAGTCATGTCGAACAACCCGTTTTCTCCAACCATTATACGTTGCCATTTGTACCGATGAGATTCACACATAATTAATTACCATATTATCGCCAGAGAAAACTTTTCTGTAACGATCCGATTTCACAAAGATGGGCCATTATGTAGCTAAGTGAATGAACTAAAGTCCATTAAGCCCATTCCATGTTTTCTCTTTGAGTCAAAATTTCACTCTAAAATCAATTAGCGTTAGGAAATCTTATTATATAAAAAGTCGGATGCGCGCGATGTGGTTGTGATACGTAGGATTTTTATAAAATATAGGATCGTGACATGTGTCACTTTTAATATTATGTCTGTTAAGATCGTGACACGTGTATTAGGGGAAAAAATATTTTTCTAGAAAAAGAATAATTAAAAAAAAAATCTATTATATTAAAAAATTAATATTTGTCATATCCTAACAGAAAAAGGTTTTAGGGTTTAAAAATCATATTTTCATATTATAATAGAAATTTTTTTCTCATTCATCAAATTTATATTGTCCAAACACATATTAAAATTCAAAATAATGTAATAAATAAAATCCTATTTGTACATTAGGAAAAATCAGAAAAAAAGAAATAAACAATTAAAAAGAAAAAAATATTACATCCATTAGGAAAAGTAAAGAAGAAACATAATCCTATTACGAAAAGGAAAAAAAAACGAAAAATCAGAAAATTATGAAGAAATAATTAAAAAATTGTTACATCCAATAAGATAAGGAATAAAAAAACATATTCCAAATACGAAAAGGAAAATATAACAAGCTATATTTTTTAAGTTTCTTTCTCATTAAGAAATAAAAAATCATGTTTTAAAAGTTCAAGATATCAATGAAGAATAATTAACTTTAGATCGCTACATGTGTCTAATATTTGATCAGGTGATGACATATGTCAACACAATAAAATTGGAAAAATGTAGTAACATAAATAAATAAACTAACAAAATAATTGTAAAACAACTAATTAATAATGAAAATGAAAATTTATAATGGTAAGAGGCAAACACAAAATTGAAAAAGAAACAATATAAATAGAAAACTAACAAAATAATTATCAAGGAACTAAATAATATTAAAAAGAAAGTTTTATAATGGACCAATCTTCTAATATTAAATAGTTAAATTTTCCATTTTTTGTTAGATAAAACAATATTAAAAAAAAATTCATCAATATTTAGTAAAGGTTTCATCAATGGAATAATCAAAGTTTCATAAATTAATGAGTCCATTAGATTTAGACACATGTAAGCTTTTCTATTTCATATCATGAATTCAAAATTAAAATGTAAAAATATTACATATCTTAGTTTATTTAGAGATTTATTATCGGGTTTTTAATATTATTTTACTTATTTTTAAAAGTGATCAAATTTTGTTTAATATTCTTCCGTGATTTTTATAAAAAGAAATTAAAATAAACCCGCGTATACGCGGACCTAATCTAGTAAATATATAAATGTAAAGTTAAGAAATTATTGAGAAGAAAAGCTCGATATATATAGCAACAACAGCCTGAACAAATTAGGGTTTTGACGAAAGATGGAGCAACAAGAAACGAAGACACGAGAAGGCAAAAGAAGAAGCAGAGAAAGCACACAGTCGAAATCAACACCGTCCTTTCCTCCTGATCTAACTAGAGAGATACTCTCAAGACTGCCTGCCAAATCTGCTGTGAGGTTTCGTTGCGTGTCGAAGCTTTGGTCAACAATCACCACCGATCCATATTTCATCAGCTCGTTCGGAGCTCACTCCTCAACAAGACAGACCATTCTACTCTTCTTCAAAAAAGATGACAATCTGTTTGTTTCCTCGATTCCGCAACATACTAAGGATTGGGATAAGGCTCACTCTTCTTCTCTGCCTATTGATCTTTATCATATGAAACTCCCAGGATATGGTTTCGAGTATCTTACAGAATCGGTCCACGGCTTGATATGCGTTGAACACTCAGAAAATCCCTTAGTTTGGAACCCTAGCATGAGAAGTTTTTTTGCTATACCCTATCCCAATAAGCATGTGAGCTGGAAAAAGGTAACACTCTTTTTAGGTTACGATCCCATCGAAGGTAAACACAAAGTTGTGTGCGTTCGCTATAAAAAAATCTCCTACGTGTGCCGAGTATTGACGTTGGGATCAGCTCAAGAATCATGGAGAACTGTCAAAACAAATTATAAGCATCGTGCTCGCTCTTATACTTATGGGAGATGCATCAATGGGGTAATATATTATATAGCCGCTGATGAGTGTAACTCGTCTGATTATGTTATAATGAGCTTTGACGTCAGATCTGAAAAATTCAACATGATTAAACTACCATGGGATTTCCTTGACGCGAATTTCCTTGACCCCGTGCTGATAAATTATGAGGGGAGGTTAGCTTGTACTGAAGATGATGGATACATTATCAGAAGAAACAATAAAAGAAGATTGTGGATTTTGGAGGATGCAGAGAGACACAAGTGGTCGAGTCAAGACTGTCTTTCACCTTCTGATATATATAGTTTGAGAATCCCGTTCAAACTAAGTGGTGCTACTCCCGCTGGTGAGCTTATTTATGTACCAACCTCGTTTGATAAATCGTATTACATTATATATTTTGATCCGGTGAAAAACAGCTCTAGGAGATTTGAGTTTAAAGGAATGGACGGCAGCGAATCTTGGTCCGGTCCTCATACTTTCCATGCTTTCCCGAATCACATTGAGAGTCTAGTGTCTATGTAACAATATCTTTGTTGCTTTCTTTTGTTTTTTTTTTCCTTAGAGTGATGATGCTTAATATGCAACTTTATGGTTTTTCTTTTTCTTAGTATTTTGGTCTTCTCATTCCTCTACCAATTCTTTGTAATTCTATCGACATAGAGTAATACAGTTTGTTTCTCTTTTTCTCATGCTGGTTTTCTTTTTCGTCCTTAGAATGACACATAACTTATACAACGTTTTGGACCTACACACACGCACGAATACACATGTAGAAGATTCAAGTTTAATGTCTAATGTCTAATGTGTCTTGTAACAATTTGTTGATAATCTTTCGTTTCTCATTGGGATGATACTTAAATTTATATAATTTCTTGTTATCAATATAAAGACAGTAAAATACTCAAGCTCGAATCTTCTATAGATGAGAATCTTCCGGATCCAAAACCCCATATTTTATTTTCCTCTGCCTCTTTTGATGTAGAATATTGGATTCTTGTTGGACTATTTTCTCCGTGATGGCTTCTTGTTCAGCAAGTGCAGAGTCTTATTTTTTCTTTATTTTCTTGCTCAGCATCAAGTCTTATTTCCAGATGATATGTGTTCTCGTCTTTTGAATTGTAAGATCTCTCTCTATACATACACATATGATCATCAGAATCTCTTTGGTACAAGCCTACGAAACCAAACCAAGCACTACTGAGAATCTTACACTCCAGCTTATTTTGACCTTCAGACTTACTTAAGTAATCAAATCCTACTCCCACTAAATGGTTTCAGCAGCTTTTAGAAGGAAAGAGACATTGACATGATCCAGACAAATGGTTTCTTATAATAGTAATTATATATTTTTTTTTTCAAATTTGTTTTCTCACAATAGTGTATTTTCCCAAAATTTCTCTTTATTATTTAAGGTATAAAATTAACACCGTAACAGAGAGGCGAAAAGAGGACTTAGACAGGGTGACCCTCTATCACCTTTTCTTTTTCTTTTTGTCTTATGTACTGAAGGTCTGACTCATTTGTTAAACAGAGCTGAAAGACTGGGACTCATTGAAGGAATAAGATTCAGTAATGATGGGCCTGCTATTCATCATCTTTTGTTCGCCGATGATAGTTTGTTCATATGCAAGGCAAATGATCAGCAATGCTATGCACTTAAGGGCATTCTGAAAATCTATGGGGAGGCTACGGGTCAAGCTGTTAATCCTGCTAAATCGTCGATCACTTTTGGTGCGAAGATCAACGAGCAACAGAAAAGCAGGATTAAATCAAACCTAGGGATATCGAAAGAAGGAGGTACGGGTACTTATCTGGGGCTCCCTAAGTGCTTTAGCGGATCTCCAATTGGTTTACTAGAACACTATCTCCGGGAGGCAAAGAGACTCTTTTGAAATCGGTCATCTTGGCGATGCCGGTGTATGCCATGTCCTGCTTTAAATTACCAAAAGGAGTTTGTCATAATCTGAGAAGTGCTATGGCAGAGTTTTGGTGGAGTGCAGTCGAGGATAAGAAGAAAGTTCACTGAATTAGCTGGGAAAAGATGTGTCTTCCGAAACAGCTTGGAGGAATGGGGTTTAGAGATATAGAAGATTTTAACCAAGCGCTTTTGGCTAAACAGGCATGGAAGTTGCTCCAGGATCCGGAGAGTTTAGTGGTAAAGCTCCTCAAGAGCAGATATTTCCTTGCGACTTCTTTTTTGGATTCTGTTGTGGGAAGTCGGCCATCCTTTGCTTGGAGAAGCATCATGTGGGGACGAGATCTTCTAGTCAAGGGTCTAAGGAAGAGAGTTGGGAACAGAAACACGGTAAGGGTTTGGACAGACCCTTGGATTTTAGATGGAGAACTGAGAGCTCCATGGCGTTTGATCAACCCGTTTGTCGTGAATCTTATGGCTAAGGATCTCATTGACCCTGTTTCAAAGAGGTGGGACATGGCAAAAGTGAGAGAAATGTTCTTCGAGGAAGATGTTCAGGGGGTTTTAGAGTATCAGCCGGTGACAAAAAGTGAAGATTTTTGGGTATGGAGACACAATCAGAGTGGTGAATACTCTGTCAAGTCTGGGTTTTGGCTGGCTTCTAAGATCAATAAAGAGGAAATGCTAAGAGAAGCGGCAATGCAGCCTTCTCTGAACCCACTTAAGGCTGAAGTTTGGAACCTTCCCACCACTCAGAAAATTAGAATCTTCTTATGGAAGGTTTTATGTGGAGAAGTTGCGGTGGGTGACAAAATGGAAGAAAGAGGAATGAAAGTTCAAAATGTCTGTCAAGCTTGTGGGTTAGATGGTGAGTCCATTAATCATCTTTTCTTCACTTGTTCTTTCTCGAGACAGGTTTGGGCACTTAGTGTGTTACCTCTACCAAAGTCTGGTTTTTCAGAGTCTGTTTACGAAAACATCAGTTATCTTTTGGACCAGAGTAAGAATGTTCTTTTGCCTCAAGAAGTGAGAAGAAGGTTTCCGTGGGTAATCTGGTTCCTCTGGAAAAATAGAAATGATTTGGCATTTCAAAGCCATCAGTGTAATGCCATGGTGACTATGGAAAAGATTATCGAAGAGGCGGAATTATGGTTCTTGGCGCAGGAAGTTGATAAAGGTGTGAGGTTCTCTCTCAGCCTGTTTCTCCGAGAAAGGTTAAAAGGTGGAGACCTCCTCCTGATCCGTGGTTAAAGTGTAATGTCGCTTGTGTTTGGGGTAATGGAACGAGTAAAGGTGGTATGGCTTGGGTGCTTCGTGATGGAAATGGTGTGGTCCTTTTACACAGTAGAAGAGCTTTCTCTAATGTTAACATCAAGTTAGAGTGTAACTTCTTAGGAGTGTTAATCATCTTTTCTTCACTTGTTCTTTCTCGAGACAGGTTTGGGCACTTAGTGTGTTACCTCTACCAAAGTCTGGTTTTTCAGAGTCTGTTTACGAAAACATCAGTTATCTTTTGGACCAGAGTAAGAATGTTCTTTTGCCTCAAGAAGTGAGAAGAAGGTTTCCGTGGGTAATCTGGTTCCTCTGGAAAAATAGAAATGATTTGGCATTTCAAAGCCATCAGTGTAATGCCATGGTGACTATGGAAAAGATTATCGAAGAGGCGGAATTATGGTTCTTGGCGCAGGAAGTTGATAAAGGTGTGAGGTTCTCTCTCAGCCTGTTTCTCCGAGAAAGGTTAAAAGGTGGAGACCTCCTCCTGATCCGTGGTTAAAGTGTAATGTCGCTTGTGTTTGGGGTAATGGAACGAGTAAAGGTGGTATGGCTTGGGTGCTTCGTGATGGAAATGGTGTGGTCCTTTTACACAGTAGAAGAGCTTTCTCTAATGTTAACATCAAGTTAGAGTGTAACTTCTTAGGAGTGTTAATCATCTTTTCTTCACTTGTTCTTTCTCGAGACAGGTTTGGGTACTTAGTGTGTTACCTCTACCAAAGTCTGGTTTTTCAGAGTCTGTTTACGAAAACATCAGTTATCTTTTGGACCAGAGTAAGAATGTTCTTTTGCCTCAAGAAGTGAGAAGAAGGTTTCCGTGGGTAATCTGGTTCCTCTGGAAAAATAGAAATGATTTGGCATTTCAAAGCCATCAATGTAATGCCATGGTGACTATGGAAAAGATTATCGAAGAGGCGGAATTATGGTTCTTGGCGCAGGAAGTTGATAAAGGTGTGAGGTTCTCTCTCAGCCTGTTTCTCCGAGAAAGGTTAAAAGGTGGAGACCTCTTCCTGATCCGTGGTTAAAGTGTAATGTCGCTTGTGTTTGGGGTAATGGAACAAGTAAAGGTGGTATGGCTTGGGTGCTTCGTGATGGAAATGGTGTGGTCCTTTTACACAGTAGAAGAGCTTTCTCTAATGTGAACATCAAGTTAGAGTGTAACTTCTTAGGAGTGTTATGGGCATTGGAGAGCCTGAGGAGCCATGGAGTTCTCCGTGTTGTGTTGGCAGCGGAAGTTGCAGTGGTTTGTGGAGTCTTGGAGAGACCAAAAGCGTGGCCGTCTTTCAGGAAACAGGCCTTGGATTTCTCTTCGGTCTTGTCCTCTTTTGTTGGTTTGAAAGTTGAGCTGGAACCTAGATGTGCTAATAGAAGGGCTTTTCTCATAGCCCAAAGTGTTATTAGAGGTGAGCGACAACATTCGTACGTCATCCCTCTTGGTTAAATAACATTTTTGCTGATGAGAGAGTTTGACCCTCTGTTTTTAGCCTAGTTTTTGTTCTTGGTTCTTTTGTACCATTCCTCTAATCTCTTTTTGGGAGGTGTAAGAGAGGATCTGGGTTATACCTTGATCTTGGTTTTTTGGTTGTTGGGAGGTTCGTTTGGTTGGCGTGTAACGTCTGTATTTCTTTTACTCAATTCAAAATATTTCTAGATGGAAAAAAAAAAACAGAGAGGCGAAAAGCGAAGAGTGAAGGTAGTAATGGGCCAGGGCTATAGGCCCATCACAGCGAAATTAAATACTCCTATTGAAATCATTTGTCTGGTTCATGTCACTGTTCTTCTAAAAGCTGCAGAGAATAAAGTTTGACGAAAATTCCTTAAAACCCTTCGAATCGCCACTGTTTGCTTCTGCGTTACACCGGAGATCGCTTTATAAGGTTTGTTTCCCCCTTTCAACTCTCTGGGTTTTGTAATTCGCTTTCAAATTCTCAAAATCAAATATCATCTCTCTCTATTTTCTTTCTTCATGGAATCGCAAAAATCTTGAAATGGGTTTCTGTTTTTTTTTTTTACCCTAAAAAGTTCGTCTTTTTCCTTAAAAGCAAAGCCCTTTCTTCTCATTTTGGCTACACCTAATCTGGTTTGTCTGGTTGTTACAAACCCTATAATTTATATCTTGTTTCTTTCAGTATATGAAACTTTATCGTTTGCAAAAGACGAATCGCTGGATTTTATTCACAGTCTTACCATTTATTAAATTTGGGAAAGTTGAAGAGGTTTTTGATTGAAGTTGAAACGTGTTTTTTTTTTTATTTGTTTAATTTCTTTCGAAAGGTGGTTTCTTTAATCACATTATTTGATTATATTTGAGTAATCTGTACCCTCAAGATTCTCCATTTTCTTAACACCAAATTCTCTGCAATTTCTCTTTCTTGACATTGTTTAATACCAAATTCTCTTTCTTAACACTGTAATTCACTAAACAAATCTTGTTTTGACTCCAAGTTCACTACTTTGCAGTGCAATATATATTGGCTCTCTTTACTTGTTTTGTTCTGTTCTTGTAGAATGCAATAGTCTTAAGTCTCTGAGAAATGTTTTGTTGTTTGAAAGCAGAAACTTGTCATCCGCCAAAAGGCTCATGTTTTGGTGAAGCAATTTGATGCTATGGTCCCAGAGGAAACTCAAGAAACGACAGATTCTTTGCCAAAACCACAAACCTAAACGAACGTTACTCAAATGGATGGCCCTGAGGATGTTTGTGAAACAGTGATGCCACAGGCTGCTGATGAAGAAGATAACAGAACAAGCCATGACGCTAATGCCCTTTTGGACCGAGTGATGTTTGATGAGCTCACGTTTCCTTCCTCTAGATTAAACATCCAAGGCTCTACTAACTCAGATGAGGTTGCTTGCAAAAGACTGTTTCTCTTTTCTTGGTTTAAATGTTACTTTCTTGATTTCTTGGTGGTCTCATATCTTGCTTATGGAATATGATTTGTGCCTTCTTTACAGGGCTCTCAAGGTGCATCTTCATCAGAGCTATTGACCTCGAGAGCAGCTTCTTCAGGTCAGCGCTTTACTTATACTATAGAAAGGTTAAGACTTTAGTGGCGCTGTATGATTAAACCATCTCATATGGCGTATCAGCGGAGACATCTCTTCCCAATAACCCTTATGATTACGAACTGGAGAGGCTGTGCCGAGAAGAAGAGAGGTTAAAGAAGAACTTTGAAGAAAGGGTTAGTTTAGTTGCTCATTGATCTATCTGTGTAAAGTTTGCTTTAAGTCTCTCTGCTCATTTGTCTTTGTCTTGTTGTTTGTGAGCAGACATTAGAACTGATGGCTGAGCTGGAGAGGAAGATGAGTGAAGCACGCAACGAGTATGAGAAGAAACTAAAAGAGGTAGATGATGAATACAAGACCAGATTGATGGAGGAAGAAGCCAAGAAGAGTATGGTAGAGAAGAGCAATCTCTTGGCGAGCGCTTACATGTATAAAACTAGTGATACTAGTGATGTTGCTGCTTTAAGAGGTATATGTGTTGAATTCAGAGAGGAAAGCAAATGATCTTAAATGGAACAAACATGATGATAACAAGACTATGATACTTCTCTTTTGCAGCTAAAGTCTCTTCAACTCAGCAGCAGCAGCAACCTTTACAAACAGACTCACATGTGTATTCAACATCTCCTCCTCCATCAAGTCCTCTTTCGCATTGCACCATCACTCAAACAACAGTAGCATCTCAGCAAGGAGGAGAAGTACAAGCAGATACACACATGGATTTGGATACAACTGCTCTCCCTCCACCTTCAGTCCCGAATCTTTCAGCTTCTCTTAGGCGCGGCAACAGGACTCGACAACCACTGACATCATCTCAGCAAGGAGGAGGAGTGCAGACAAACGCACATGTGGATCCAACTTCTCCTCCTGGACTCTCACTCACATCAGCAGAAGCTTCAGTGCCAAATCTTTCAGCTTCTCTTTCGCATTTCCCGCGCGGCAACAGGACTCAACGAAGACAGATATCCCAGCAAGCTCCTCCTCCACCTTCAGTCACAGCAGCAGAAGCTTCTATCCTAAGCCCACCAGGTCCTCTTTCTCGACCAAGACAGATATCTCAGGAGCCAGCATTAGTGGAAACAGACACACAGATGACTCCAGCAGTGGAAGCTTCTAAGACTCCTCAGGCAAGACCACACCCGCCAGTGATCTCCAATCTAACTCCATCTTCTCTGGCAGCTTCTTCTCCGTTTGTTCGCGCTCCTGCTCCTCATATACAGCCTTTTCGAGCGTCTCCTGCCCTAACAAAAACATATCAAAGACAAAGAACGTTGGTTCAAGAAGTGCAACAAGAACATGGCTTGGTCTATCTTTCTGAGGACGACGAGTGATGTTTTGAGTATATATAAATGATACATAGTTTTGGAGTAGATTCTCTTAAAAGGCAAGTATATAGGTATTGAGGCCCTTGAAACGTTTTGATAATGTCTATTGGGAATTTGAGACATGAAGAAAGTTGTTTTTGTTTAGTGAATGAGGCCTTACTCGATTTTTGGGAAATTAAGAGTTAAGTCAATGAATCATATATTTCTATGATCAGACTAAGAATTTTCAAAATATTTGTAGCATCATCAGTCATCATATGGGCTCTGTCACATTAATTACCTGTGATTTGAAACGAACTTCAATGAGAAGTTTATATCAATTTAACGCCACGTGGCACGTGACATCTCCATAAATGAACTGTTTTTTCAAACTCCAAGATGTATCACTTCATTGATCTAGACTCAACTCAACCGGAAACGCAAACGTTATCGCATGAAGTTCTCCTGTGTTTTATCGCGTTTCACTTTCTCGTTCTGATTCCTGACCAACAGGAAAGGGATTGAATTTTTCGCATTCACTCTCTTCGAGAAAAGAAGAAACTTCATCTTTGCTGGTAGCTCAAAGTGCTAACCCGGTTTTTGCTTCTTTCCGCGTTTGCGTTTCAAGCTTATACTTGGTAAGCTCAAATCCTTGTAAATCGACATTGTTGCAGAAAGTTTTTAGCTTTCGCTTCAAAAGTACATTTATCTCTCTGTGTTTTATAACTTTTGACAAGTTTTTTGCTTCTCCATCGTTGAAAGTTTCGCTTTTTCGACAAGTTTTTCTTCCATTAAAAAAGCTTGGATTTTGTCAATGGCGGAAACGGGTCCCACATCAGAAAAACCGGTTATTTAAAAATCCGATTGCCGACAACCGACACCGGAAAAATCGTGGGTCCCGACAACGTTTTGCTTCGACCAACGTTTTGCTTTTCCCTTAAAAGCAAAGCCCTTTTGTTTCATCTCTTTTTGGCTTTACATAATCTCATAATTAGGTTCGTCCAAAAACCCTAAATTGCGGATTTCAGATCAACAATTTATATCCCTGTTTCTTTACATTGTCGTATTCACCGGAGCTTAGAGAGTTACATTGTTGGATTTCACAATCTAAGAGAATTCATTAGTAAAGAATTTAAAGTTTAAAAGGTGATTACTTTCAATGATTCTTCGACCTTTGATAGTGATACTAAATAATGGTTGAAGAGTCACTCTCAGATTTGCAATTCCGTTTCTTTCTAAATGGTGGTTGGTCCGTTTTCATTCAATTTATTATTTTATTTGTATATTTCCCATTACTTTGACTAGTGCTTAATATCCATCATACTCAAATCATTTCATTAATCACATTATGTGGTAAATTTTATAATAATCCATATCCTCAAAGATCCTCCATTTCTTTTTCATCCTTTTTAAGTTTTTATAACTTTCTCTGCAACTTGACACTATAATTCACTAACGATTCTTGTTCTTACTCCAACTTCCCAAAACATTTCAGGGTAATGTGTTCATAATATTGGCTCTCCTGTTTTGTTTTGCTTTCCTCTTTTAGAAAAAAGTTGGTTGGTTCTTGTAGTGTTTGGTTTGCTTCAAAGAATGCTATATCAATAGCTTTTTGGTTGTTGTGTTCAGAGCTATATGTGTCTTTATCTTAAAACATAACCAACTAACTATAGAGGCAACTAGAAATTTGCAGAATTAGATGAGTGGCAATGGATCATAAATGATTTGATTGAGAGATGTTACTTGTATCTTCTTCTTCTTATCTCTTGAACCTGAGTCTCTTGACTGTTGTCTGACAAAGTCATATAATGTTATTTTTCTGTTTTCTTGGGATTATGTTGGGACTTTGTTCCCAGTGGGTGCAACAGAGTTAGAATCTTTTCTATGTCTGTTCACCAACCCCCATACACTGTAGATTTTCACCTTTAGTTCCCATAAATTCCGGCTCTTCTCTTGTAATCTTGTTCTTTGTCTACATTCTCTAAGCCAACGTAGTTTTGTTTCAGGTTGATTGATATTATCCCTCCTTGTGATTTTCGGTTCTTAAATATTCAAATGTAAATGAGGATGAGAGTGGAAACAGCGCTTGTGGTTCTCTTGGGCCTCATATCAATTCAGCAATGTTATGGAGGTTAATTAGCATCTTAACATATATAAATGAAAAATGTTGTGACTTTTCAATTAAAGAGATGAAGTTAATCTTTGTTAGGCGCAAGTAAGTGGACGTGTACGTGCTTCTCTTCAGGCAATCAAAGTGATATCTTGGAATCTAATTGTTCCACATCATGTAATTGCAGACCAGGTTTGCTTTCTTGAAAACCAGTTTTCTCTTTTACAGAATATTAGAATTTTTCAAGATTCAAGAGAAAGCTAAAAACTTTATGACTCCCTTCTTATGTAGCAGATAGGGAAGAACAATGGGTATGCTTGTGTCCTCTAAATGGATTCCCAGTAATTGCCACTGGTGGTTCCAATTCTTCATGCTTCACTTCTTGCAACTGCTCTGCTGGTACTTTACTCTATTCATCATTCTCTGGCAAGTTTAGTCGATTTTTATGCAGATCTGTTTGATTTGTTTCCAGGAGGACCAATAGGAGAGGAGAACAAATCTCCAAAGAAGCAATCTTTATCGAAGAAACTGGTTCTTGTTATACTAATCCTCTGCGTTGTACTCACTTCAATAGCATTTCTTGCTTCTATGGTTTGCTACATTTGTCGAAGGAACAAGTTTTCTGGACAAACCCCTTCAGTGTCTTCAGATAGAGAATCAAGCTGGCACAGCTCTGCTAACTTAATAACCCGTAAAAGCTCGATTTCACAACCTAAACTTAGCATTAGCTCCTCAGTAACAGGTTCTAACCATTTCTTTTTACACTCTTGAAAAGCTCTTTGCCTCTTTTGATACATTAAACATGTTCTTGTGCCTTTGTCTTGTTCCTTCAGGATGCTTCTTTCAGAATGCTTCTCTGTTTTGTGTGAGCAAATCTGAAACGATCCATGGAATGATATTTCAGTTCTCATACGCAGAGTTAGAGCAAGCAACCAATAGATTCTCCATCAACAATGTAATTGGACATGGAGGAAGTAGCTGCGTTTATCTTGGTCAGCTCAAAGATGGTAAAACCGCTGCGATCAAACGTCTTAATACTCCTAAAGGAAACGAAACCGACACTCTCTTCTCAACAGAAGTATAATAAACCTCCTTCTCTTGCTTTCTTGGAAAGATACATGATTGATCAAGACTCCATCATTGTGTGTTTCTTTTTATGTTTTTTACAGGTTGAGTTGTTAGCAAGACTCCATCATTACCATGTGGTCCCGTTGATTGGATACTGCTCCGAGTTTCATGGCAAACACGCAGAGAGGCTTCTGGTTTTTGAGTACATGTCTTATGGAAACCTGAGAGATTGCTTAGATGGAGAGCTGGGAGAGAAGATGACATGGAACATACGAATCTCTCTGGCTCTTGGAGCTGCAAGAGGTCTTGAGTATCTTCACGAAGCTGCTGCTCCAAGAATCTTACACAGAGATGTTAAATCAACAAACATTCTCCTTGATGAGAATTGGCATGCAAAAGTAAGTCATCATCAACAAAGATTAGCTTCAAATGAGAGCAAAAGCCTGAAGTTATATGTGTATGCAGATAACAGATCTTGGGATGGCTAAGTGTTTGAGTAGCGACGGTTTACAAAGTGGTTCGAGCTCTCCAACCATGGGACTTCAAGGAACGTTTGGCTACTTTGCACCTGAATACGCAATTGCAGGATGTGCTTCATTGATGTCAGATGTTTTCAGCTTTGGTGTTGTCCTCCTCGAGCTTATAACCGGAAGAAAACCGATACAGAGACCAAGCAACAACAAAGGAGAAGAGAGTCTTGTTATTTGGGTAAGTATAGTAACTAACAAAACAAACCCTAGTTTATGAATCTTTGAAGAAACTTATTTCTTGGTTTCTTGTGTGTTAAGGCGATGCCGCGTTTGCAAGATAGTAAGCGAGTGATCGAAGAGCTTCCTGATCCGAGGCTAAACGGGAAGTTTGCTGAAGAAGAGATGCAAATAATGGCGTATCTTGCTAAAGAGTGTTTGCTTTTAGAGCCAGAAGCTAGACCAACAATGAGAGAAGTTGTTCAGATTCTTTCAACCATCACACCAGAGACGTCAAGACGTAGGAACTTTGGTGACATTTTGTTGTCACAGAGCAGTGAGAGGAAGAAGAAGAAAGAGAGCAAAGTAGGAGGAGGATGGTCGAGAGGTGGGAGCAGGAGTGGTGGACAGGAAGATGAACCAGTGGATTTGACTGAGCCGCGGTTCGAGTCTTTCTGCTTGCCTAATGTGAAGCCGGTCTTGCTTGTTGAACCACCTGCACATAGTTAATAAGTAGATAGACAAACACAGAACAGAGAAACAACACCTGAGCCACATCCTCGTACGTGTGTAGATATAAAAAGCTCACTCTTATGAGGGAGAAGCATTTGAGGCTTGAGAGTTTCTATACGTGAGCGTCAAGATTTGTTCAAAAACTAGGTGGCTTTTCAATTATAAATTAGTAAAATATTTTTAACAAAATTTAGTGCAATAGTTTTTTCTTTTTTTTAAATAGCACCATTTTAAATAGAAAAGAGTTGTCATTCCATTGGTTATTATATCTTGTGAATATATTTATTAATTGATGTCTTCAAACTAGGCTTGGGCATAAAAACCGATCCGAAGGACCCGATCCGGAACCGACCCGAAAAAAATAGATCCGAACCGAACCGGAATAGACATAAATATCCGAACGGATCCTAAACTCCTATATCCGAAAGAACCGGATCCGAACCGGTACCGATCGAGAACCGAATGGGTACCCGAAATATCCAAAATATAGTTATATTCCTAAAAATGTTTAGTTATGTTTAGTCTTAAAATAACTAAAATATTTAAAATTACAATTATTAACCAAATATATTGGTTATATTTAGCACAAAATAACCAAAATCTAATATAAGAATATATTTGATTATATTTTGTAATATTTGATATGTTTTATAAAATTTAACTCAATTTTATTAAATTAAATTTTTTATTTTTATTTTTATTTTATCTTTTATAGCTAAAGTTTGGGTACCCAGAACCGACCCGGACCCAAGAGGAACCAATCCGGACCCGAACCGACTATGACACGGTTCCTATATGGATAAAAAAACTTTTATATCGTAAGACCCGGAACCGAAAGAACCGACCCGGAACCGATCCGAGTACCCATTATGTCTAGGCCTACTTTAAACAAAACAAGCAAATTTATAAAGAGATGAATAATTGAGTAATAAGATCTTTGGATATAATCGAAGAAAGAGAAGGTGGGGGATGGGAACAATCAAGAGAAGCCCATATGGAGTGTTCCACAGACTGGACTGGACTGACCAAACCCATTTAATTCCAAATGTAACCATCAATTAATTGCCAACCCAAGCTTTGTCTCTTAACTTCATTTTTTCCTTCAAACAAATGATCCAAATGAGAAATAAAATAAATATGCATATAAATTTATGCAAATTTTTAATATTTTCTACTAGGGGCAGGCCTATTCCATGCTCGGATCAATAATTTGTTAATTTACTAAGTTTTTATTTATTTATTTTAAAATGATTTTTTTTTTTGTATTTGTGTTTTAATTTAACATGTCTAGAATATTTTTTTAGATAAATAAGTATTATATGTCAATTGTATAACATTGAAAATTGATAATGTAATGGTGGAAATGATTTCTTAATGTTGTTTTAGCTAACGACAGTTAGGTTTTTAAAATGGGTATATCTAAAAACGTTTGTTTTCCACAAAAGTTTGGTATTGACAGATTGATAAATTTTAATTGTTGAATTTTGCATTTTACAAAAATTATTCATTAAGAATATATATATATATATATATATATATATATAAACCGATTTAAAATACATATCAACGCGGGTGAAAACCTAGTAAACTATTAAGGAGAAGAGTGTTTAGAGAAAAATAAAAACGATTACAACATAGATAGATCCAACTACGATAATACATTAATACATTAGAAAGGCATCAGTTATTAATAAGACACACTCCCGTTTTGTCACTCAAAGGTGATAACATTTTTCTTACTTCTGTGACCTTCTCTCATGTTTGGCAAGGGTGAAAGCCTCCATTGTTTGAGAGACAAGAAAGTTTCTGTTGAATAGCACTTGAAGCGAAATATCGCAGAACTTCAGTGCCATCTTGTTGTTTCTATTGAGGAAAACTCCCACTATCTCCAACTCCAGATTTTGTAGAGTTGCATCTTCAACGTAAATGCTTGGAGTTCTCGGCCTGATCACTACAACACAAACAACAGTGCGGCTATAAACCAAACCCAAGGTTTGGTCTTGTCGCTCTTCGGCTTATGGTTCATTCTGTTTAAATAGCTCATGAATTGGCGGGTTTCTTCAAATTGTGGCAAAGTTAATATGGTGAATAGAGGTAATCTTAAAATATGAATATAAATCAATGTAAATACTACTTTGACCAATATAATTGAAATACTTGATAATTACAATTGAAATGTTATTAGAATAAACAACTAATTTATATATAAAAATAATATAGTTGTGAAAAAATTGTTTTACAAAAATAAGTATAACATAAGCAAATTATAAGCAAAATTTGTGCGAACCATAAGTACATAAGAAACATGACAATTTTACCATGTTTTGGTAAAATATATTTTATTATAAAAACCATAAGATTGAGAGCCCCATATGATTACTTTCAACATTTAACATTTAAAATAATATATTACCATTATTTCAGCATTTTCAAAAAAAAAAAGGATGTTAGGTATATGCAAGTATATTATATAAATTGAATTAAGAATAAAACACATATCACCTTAGATTATTAGAATAGATATGTCAATTCATGTATAAATTTGGCTAGTTAGCTAGTTTTGTAAGATTTTCCGTGTAACCTAATATGTAAGAAATTGCACATGAAGCTCTATATGTTATGGAAATACATAAATACCATGAACTTGAATTTCAACAGGATTTTAAAACTATAATACGAAAATCCATAACTAGACTATTCGTTGTTTATGCATTGCCAAGTGCATGGAAACCGTATCCAGCTTGTTTCTAGAATTAGATAACCTTTCGAGAGTACATTGACCTTTCTGGATGTATCATAAGATATGCGCAACCTAATATTTTATTGTTTTTTTTGGGTAAAATTTAATATTTTATTGTTAAATGGATTAATCATGAATTTAAGTTTTAGAAAGTAAACTGTCTTTCTTAACTTGAGAACAAATTAGAAAAATTATTTAACAGAAACAAACAAAGAAAAACTAATAGTAAAAATATAGTAGTTGAAGAGTTGTAAACACCTCATTGATGTTATAAGTTGAAAAATTTCTCTCCCAAGCGCTTTTTTCGAGAACGGTCCGTAGCTACAGACCTCTCACTTTCATCTTCCTTTTACCCGCCAGACCTTTCCCAATTTAGAAGGTTTTTTCAAATTTCCAAGGCCCTGGTTTAGCGCGCCCGGTTTCCACCCCTGACTTGGAGTCGGAGGGTCCTCAACACCGCCGGTAAGCTACTCCTAACCCTGGAAACCCTTAGTTCTAATCCTTAGTTCTGTTCAGCTGCCGCTACTAGAACCGCCCCGTAATCTCTACATTTACATCCCAAGTCTGCTCTGCTCCGTTTTTCGATCTCTATCCTCTTAACATACAAGCCAAACCATCTCCATGGGTCTTTCTCCAAACATTCTCTGCAATGGCAAGGCGCTTCTCCTATGCAGAAAAAGGCAAAGGGATTGAGCTTGCACGAAGCCCACCGATTCGAAAACGCATTCAAGCCCCACCAGTAGATACTGCCGACCTGATACGAGAAAACTCTCTCATCCTCATAGGCCGCCTAACAAACCCAAAGGAGCAAAATCTATGGTCTATGATCCCATTCATATCAAAGAAATGGGAACTAAGAGGTAGAGCTATGGGATCTGACCTCGGCAACAACTGCTTCCAGTTCAAATTCGACCTCGAGGAGGACATGAGGAAAGTTCTCACCAACAGACCCTACCGGTATGCGAGATGGATGCTTATCATTCAACGATGGGAACCGATTATCTCCCCTACCTCCCTCTCAGATCCCCTTTTGGATCAAGCTCAACGGCTTACCCCTCCACTACTGGAAGAAAGAACTACTCTGCACCATCGGGAAAAAACTGGGTGAGCTCAAAGACTACGAACTCACTAATGCTGCTGCAAAAGTTAAAGTCGAAATCAATGGTCTCCAAGCACTTACCAAAGAAGCAGTAGTCGAGTTTGAAGATGGAAAGAAGGCCATTGTTACCATGGAGTATATCAAACTGGGAAGACATTGCTCTTACTACAACCACTTATCACATGAAGAGGACGACTGCCCACTTAAACCCGAGCCAGTCTAAAGGAGCTCAAGACACCTTCATATGGTTACCAACGAAGTCAGGAGAGTACAACGTCAAAACAGGCTACCACACCGCGAGAGCTCAAGAGATGGAACCTGATGACCCTCACCTTCACCAACTAAACTGGATAAAAGATGTTTGGTCAGGAAAGTTTTCACCAAAACTAATAGTCTTCTTATGGAAGATTATTCAGAGGGCTTTACCTCTTGGAGACAACCTGCTGAATCATGGTCTCGACAATGTCTGCTGCATCCACTGTGGAGATCTTGAAGCCTGGAAGCTAGCTCCTACAACGGATTCGCTAGACCCTGCCGCTCTACTAGACTTCACTAGGACTTTTCTACTCTACAAAAACCAAGTCTGCCTCCCACCGACTGGAATCAACGCAGGGACCATCTTCCCATGGATCTGCTGGGCCATCTGGTCAACCAAGAACCATCTAATCTTCGAGGAACGCTCTTTCTCCCCAGAAGAAACAATCCTCAAGGCAATTGTGGATGCCAAAGAATGGCAATTGGCGCAAACCCTTGAGAAACCTGCAGCATGCAAAATCATTTCAGCAAAGCTTTACGAAATCTATGATGGCCAAATCACTGTTTTCACAGATGGATCTTGGAACACAGAGACAAAAATTGCAGGAATGGGATGGACCTTCAAAGACAAAGAGATACGAATTCTCTCTGGGAAAGCAGCGGAACCATTCGTAGCATCGCCAATCATTGCAGAAGCCTTGGCAATCAAATCGGCACTAATCCAACCACTGGAATTGGGATTCCTAAACCTACATATCAAGTCGGACGCTCCATCTAATCCGAGCCCTAACAGCGCAAAAGAAAATCAAGGAGATCTACAGTCTTCTTTTTGATATAAATTCGCTTGCATCGTTATTTACCTCCATCAAGTTTATCTTCATCCCGCGATCCTTGAATCGTGAAGCTGATACTCTCGCAAAGAATGTCGCGGGAGAGTACTCTTCGTCACTTCGTGTTCCCGTTGTAATTTCTTAATCTTAATGAAAATGAGATGTTAAAAAATGAGTAAAAATATAGTATAAGAATCTTGAAAGTCAAGCAGTGTGGTTCGTGCAAGAACTGGTACAACACATGGCTGGGTTCCCAAAACAAGTCAACTCCTCGGATCTTACGAACCACACCATCTAATTAATATCGAAGTGTATGTTTATTACTATATATGTTCATGTCCAGACACACTCTACTCAATATCTAGTAAATAATTATGTCTTTAATCTAATGTTTTATTTAACAAATCTATCACATATGAAGTCAAAATACACGAATATTAAAAGAGATAGTGAGCTGGTTGGTAGTTTCTTGCTTTAGCGATGACGGGATATATGTTTTAATCGATGGTTGCTTTTGATTTTTGAACAACAAAATACTTTCATTCAGAAAGAAATCATAGTCTTACTTACATGTAGTAGCGTAAGTGAAATTAAACAGAGAGTTGTTTACAATCGCATGATCAGCAACATGATTTTCTGACTTTTTGGTCAATTTCGCATTAATTTATGCAATATATTTCACTACAAACAAATTTAGTAAAAAGGCACAGACTAATTAAGAACCCTCTGTTTATAGTGTTATGCTTTAGACCTATTAAAAATCCGGTGAATGAAATACACCATGGCTACATTTATTTTTCGATCACTCATCGGTTATCAACAAAAACAAGAAAGAAACCACATGTGAAGGCAATAATTACTAAGTCAAGATTTTGTGTTATCTTTGAAGGTTTAGGATTTTAGATTTTATGTTCGACTTTTACCTCTGTAGCCTTCTTTGAATCTCGAAAGCAATACACACACTCACAACTTTTTATAATTCCCAAATAAAACCAAATCGTTTCTTAATATATAGTTTGGCTTTATATACAGTATAAATTTTATTATATATGCAACTAAAGGCTATTTATAAATAATCATGTGACCCGTACAAGAAAAGTTCCACTTTGTCCACACCAGTGCAGTCGAAAGCAAACACCATAGACTGACAAATTAGAGATCACTCGCTTTCTCAAACACAAATATAAAATTTCAATCTTTATCTGAATCCGAACAGACCCCAAGAAACAAAAACCTGAACGAAGAACAACAGTTTCACGTTTCTGTGAGTTTCTTTCTTTTTCTCTCTCTCAAGTGTTCATTTTTGTTTCTTACATTTTCTCTTTTCTGGTCCTACTTCTTCTTGTTACAGCTCTTTTTGTTTGTCTTTGTGTTGTGTCGGTGCCTTAATTTCAACTTCCTTTTTTTCGGTTTCACATCGACATTTCCCCGTAAAACTAGTCTTCGTCATCTGTTGCAGGGTTTTGCGTTCTTGTTTTTGCTTGTAACCTAAGCAATTGAAACATTTTCCAAATTTTATGCTTTCTAGTTGCTCCATTATTACTCCAAAACCAGATTCATCATCTATTTCTTCTTTTAAATCACATCAAAATCTCGTCTTCTAGCTAATCATTAGTCTGAAAATTATTAGATCTTTGGTACAGTTGTATACAAACACACGTGTGTATGTCTGATCCCAAATATGGGTTTCATTTTCTTCCCTTTTTTTTTTCTGGAAAATTAAATGTTTTCCAAGTTGGTTTTCTTGTGGCTTAAAATAGTTTCTTGATTGATAAAAAGTCACGGTTCAAAATATCAATACATGTAAAGTTTTCAAATTTCTCGTGTCATTAATCAGATTTCAAATCCAGAGGATTTGATTAAAGAAGAAAGCAAGAATGGGTTTTGGTGGTAACTCAAGATCTATAAGGTTAAGACTTTGTCAAAAAGATTAAATCTTTCTCCTTCTTTAATCAAACCTGACCCTTTTTCTGTGTTATAGATTTCAAGAGGATCCAGAAGTAGCAAAGCCACAAGTTGTTCAAGGAGATTCTTCCATTAAACTCAAGTTCAGTATCAATGGAACTCAAATCCCTTTTATCAAGAACGTAAAGATGATGAGTAGAGGCAAGTCCTTGAAAGCTAAAGTACTCTCAAGAGTGTTCTCTGAAGACCTTGAGAGAGTGAAAACCAAAATACTCGATCCTCGCGGACAAACGATAAGAAGATGGAACAAGATCTTTCTCATAGCATGCCTTGTTTCTCTGTTTGTGGATCCTCTGTTCTTCTTCTTACCGGTCATGAGGAAAGAAGCTTGTATCACCATTGGTATCAGGCTCGAAGTGGCTCTCACACTAATCAGATCTCTGGCTGATGCTTTTTACATTGCTCAGATTCTTATACGTTTTAGAACAGCTTACATAGCTCCTCCTTCTCGAGTTTTCGGTAGAGGAGAGCTTGTGATTGATTCAAGAAAGATTGCTTGGAGATATCTCCATACAAGCTTCTGGATTCATATCATTGCTGCTTTACCTTTACCTCAGGTACACATATATACATACCTTCCTCAAGCTTCATTGATTCAAGACTTAGTTAACAATCCAAGATTTTTACATTTCTTGTTTTCAGGTGTTGATTTGGATTATCATCCCAAACCTAAGAGGCTCACCAATGACAAACACCAAGAACGTTCTTAGATTCATCATCATCTTCCAGTATCTTCCAAGGATGTTTCTTATATTCCCTCTCTCTCGCCAGATCATTAAAGCCACTGGTGTTGTCACAGAGACCGCTTGGGCTGGAGCAGCCTACAACCTCATGCTATATATGCTTGCAAGCCATGTAAGCCGCTCAAAGATCTTAGTTTTATGTCTAATTTTGTGAGCTGGTTAGAGAGAAGTTTCAAAGCTTTCTTCTTTATCTGTTTTGTTTCTTGTTTAGGTTTTAGGAGCTTGTTGGTATTTGCTTGCAGTAGAGAGGGAAGAAGCTTGTTGGAGACATGCTTGCAACATGGAGAAACCGATTTGTCAATACAGATTCTTCGAGTGCACAAGACTTGAAGATCCGGAGAGGAGTTCTTGGTTTCAGTGGAGCAATATAACAAGGATATGCGAACCGGGAACTAGGTTTTACGAGTTTGGTATATATGGAGATGCTGTGACTTCAACTGTTACTTCAACGAAGTTCATCAACAAATACTTTTACTGTCTCTGGTGGGGACTGAAGAACCTCAGGTAAGAGATTGACAAATAGTTGTCAAGCACAGTTTCTTGGATGTCACACCATTGAGGCAAGAATCTGTCTTTTTTTCTTCAGCTCTTTGGGACAAAATCTCTCCACAAGCACTTACGCTGGAGAAATTCTCTTCGCCATCATCATTGCGACTCTCGGGCTTGTTCTCTTTGCATTGCTCATTGGGAATATGCAAGTGAGTAAATCTTAAAAACAGAGCAGTCTCTGATCTTTAAAAAGTAGGAAACTTTCATTTTCCTTTTTTAAAAACAGAGCAGTCCTGATCTTTAAAGAACGAAACTTTCATTTTCTTGTCTTAAAAACAGAGCAGCCTCAGATCTTTTAAGAAGGAAACTTTCATTTTATTTTCTTAAAAACAGAGTAGTCTCTGATCTTAAAGTAGTAAACTTTCATTTTCTTTCTTAAAAACAGAGCAGCCTCTGATCTATAAAGTAGGAAACTTTCATTTTCTTTCTTAAAAACAGAGCAGTCTCTCTTCTTAAAGAAGGAAAGCTTTTTCATATTCTTGTTTTTGCAGACATATTTACAGTCAACAACAGTGAGACTTGAAGAGTGGAGGATAAGGAGGACAGATACAGAGCAATGGATGCGTCACAGACAACTTCCTCAAGAGCTAAGAGAAGCCGTGAGAAAATATGATCAATACAAATGGTTAGCGACAAGAGGAGTCGATGAAGAAGCTTTATTAATAAGTCTTCCTCTTGATCTCCGCAGAGATATCAAACGCCATCTCTGTTTCGATCTTGTTCGCCGTGTAAAGCCTCTCTCTTTCTTGATCTTTAAGTTTCTCAAAAATCTTTGTTTCTAAGAGTTTCTTTCAGGTGCCGTTGTTTGATCAAATGGATGAGAGAATGCTTGACGCAATCTGCGAGAGGCTTAAACCGGCTTTATGCACGGAAGGTACGTTTCTTGTGAGAGAAGGAGATCCGGTTAACGAAATGCTATTCATTATCAGAGGCCATCTTGATTCTTACACAACCAACGGAGGCAGAACCGGATTCTTCAACTCTTGTCTCATAGGACCGGGAGATTTCTGCGGCGAAGAGTTGCTTACTTGGGCGTTAGATCCTCGTCCCGCTGTAATCTTGCCGTCTTCTACACGGACTGTGAAAGCTATTTGTGAAGTTGAAGCCTTTGCGTTGAGAGCTGAAGATTTGAAGTTTGTGGCTTCTCAGTTTAGGAGATTGCAAAGTAAGCAGCTTAGACATAAGTTTCGGTTTTACTCGCATCAGTGGAGGACTTGGGCGGCTTGTTTTGTACAGTCTGCTTGGAGACGGCATAGGAAGAGGAAGTATGCGACTGAGCTGAGGGTCAAAGAGGAATTTCACTGTAGGTTCGAGGAGGCTTTGTCGGCGGTTAGGTTAACGGTAAAGGGCGGGAAGTTTACGCGTAGCGGTTCGGATTCTGGTATGATGTCCTCGATTCAGAAACCGGTCGAACCGGATTTTTCAAGTGAATGAAAAGGAGATTCTTTTCTTTGTTTTCCTAAATAGTTCATATACGATTTTTCACCTAAATTAAGATTACTTGTGTCGTAAGGAAGATGATTGGTGGAGATCGCCTTCCTTTGATTCCAAATGTTTTTTCTTTTCTTTGAAATTATTGCCTGTGAAAATCTGTGATTACTAAAATTAAAGCAATATCCTGGGCATATAGATACTCGGGTCGGTTCCGGGTCGGGTTTTTTGGTTTCGGGTATAAAAATTATTTTAGTTATCTAAATATAATAGCAAACTGAATAAATGTCTTTTGCATGCCTTTTAAGGTTGTGTCTTTTCGTTACACATTTTCGCAAATAACCGTTTATCTAAAGAGTTGTGTCTTTTCAAGTTGCATCTTTTCGTATATAACTGTTAAGTTTTGAAAGAGTTGCATCCTTTTAACAATAGTGCCTTTTCAACTCTATTTATATTGTTTTGTACACCTTTTGATCATTCACTTTTGATTTTAGAATCTACCCATTGCGTACTTTTACTCCAATTTTCTTTTCATTTTGGAGCTTTCTTAAAGTGTGAAAGCAAATTGTTTTTTTGGAGTCGAAGGAAATTAAAGCGCCGGTATGGTGGAGGTTGTTTATAAAACGTTGAAGGAAACACTGTCAATCAATCATAATTTTACACGTGTTGACACTGTTGAAATTTGTGCATGTGTTTGTTCTTTTGTTCAACCATCATGATAAAATACATAAGTGTATAAGTTTGAAGGCCTTTTAACAAAAAAATAAGTGTCTGGTAAGATATAATTTATGATTACAGTTACTAGGAAACAAGTGAAGCCAGTTTCATTTTGTGTAATCAAAGACATTTAATGCTGCTCTACATGTAAAGAAAAGGTAAAAATGGTACCTTAACATTCATAATGCTGCGTCTGCGAACAATTATACTTCTCCTTCAAGTATGTGGAGAGTTACACCACCAAGATAGTCGGCTTGTCGCAACAACGATTCTAATTGTCGCAACAACCATTTTAATTCCCGTTGTTTTTTCCAGCGATCAGCAACACCGAAAAAGTAGACGCAACGACTCCTTTTATTTTTCCATCGTCTACATCATCTATCCTACGTATATTGCTGGTCGCCGAAAGTGGTCTTCCAAATTCATGGCAATACAATGGAGATAGGAATTTGAGACAAGTAAGAGCAATGAATCCACTCAATTTTGGTTAATCAAAGGCTTCTTTAGGCAATTCATCATCACATATGTTCCCTCCCTTTTTGTAGATAATTAGGGATCATATGAGAATTTAATAACTACAAAAAAAGACCATCGCTCATGGGATGTTAGCCAATATTAAGATAGCCTAACGAGAAAAATTTTAGGGTCTGCATATCTTCAATACAGACAAGAAGAGACATTTAAACTCTGAAAGGGTGCAAGTGTTTATCAAAGGATTTAAATGGAAGGCACTGATGTACTTGCATTTTACATAGTTTTAGTACATCTTTTATGCATCTTTTGCATAGTTTTAGCATCCATTGCATCATATCTTGTTCCTTTTCTCTTCTTATGCATTCATGTTAGTTTTAGGTTGCATTTGCATACATATGCATGTTTGGTCCTTTGAAATAGGTCTTTTGGAGCATTCTGGAGCATATGGGACATGAGGAGCATGGAGGGACTTGGCACATGGACGCAGCTCAACTGGATACGCAAAGGAAGAAGGGAGAAGCCATCTTGAAGACCAGCTCGACCATCTACTCGACCAACCGGTCGAGTTCCTCAACTCGACCGGCCAAGCTTCAACTCGATCGAGCTGAGAAGTCAACAGTCAAACCCGAAAAATGTTGCTTCCCCCTTGACTTTCCTTTGACCCTAAACCTAATCCTCTTTGTATTTAAAGGCTAAAAGCCACGAAAAAACCACCAAGCTTTAGATTATTTTGTTTTAGTTTCTTTTAATTTATTGTCTTTTACTTTTAGAGCTCTAATCCCATCTTTGTGTTCTTGAAGCTCTTGCTTCTTGAATCCTAGATCCTGGATAATCTCTTTGTATTTGCACTTGCTTATTTCAATAAAAGTTGTTTAATTTCATCTCCTCTTTCTTATGATGTCTCTTTTATTGCATTTGCTTGTGTTTACATTCATGTGTAGTGAGTAGTTACCCATTAGGGTTTGAGATGGGATAGATTAGAGGTTTCATATGCTTAATCCTTCTAGCTTATGGTCTTAATCTAGATTCTCTCTCTTTTGGATAGATCTTAAGGCTACATGACCACTACCCCTGGCTTGTAAGTCCTTAGGCGATTCCCCACACGAAAGTGATGGCATTCGCTGGAAAAGATCCACTAAGAGCTCCAATATCTCTTGCTCTAGAAATAGAGGTCTAAGGGGTTGGATGGATTAGTTTGGGCAATGATCCTATAGCCTCCAAGGTTTGATTCTCACTGGCTAACCCCCTGTTTCTGAGATCATTCCTTGGTTGATAGCCTTCACCTTGGGAAAGGGTTGGCTAGGCATTGAGAAGCCCAATATCAAGAGAAGCCTTGATACAAGGAGTTTTAAGAGCTGGATGATTAAGTGTAGATTCCTTTGATTGCAAAACCCTGTCTTGAACCCTAATTCTCTCTTATCTTGTTAAAGTCGCTGCCTTTAGCTTTTTTTCTCAACTCGACCCTAAACTCGATCGAGCTGGTACTCTGTTCCTACTCGACTCGAGTCTTGGTCGAGCTGTTACTGCTTTATTTACTTTTGCATTTGCATTTCTGTTTCATTTAGGTTGTTAGTGTTACCAAATCTTTACTGCTTGCTTGACTTCCTGGTTGTTTCATATTCTCATAGAGTGACAAGTTTCCCATTTTGGATTGATAACCCTTTGTACTACATCAACTATCATGGTTAAAGGGAATTGTTGACTGTGTTTGTGTTTGCATCTTACCACCCATCATATACCACTGATTGCATTCCACACATCTCATTCATATCTTTTCACATCCATACACAAATCCAATCATCATGCACCCTTCTAACTGATATTTAAGAACTCATTCAATTGTTCTTCATTATTACTAGAGTCGGTTCGATGCAAGTCTGTAAGCAGTGTCTTTTTGTCGTGTCTGGTCATCGTCTTCTATTTTCTATCGACTATTGTTGTCTCTTCTAAGATGCTATCGTAAGCATTTTTCACACAAATTACTTCTCCAATTGGTGGCTTGACTGCTTTTAGAATATAATAATTAATTGTGGTCGTTGATATTTTTCTTTGAATCTCTTAGATTTTGCTAGGCATGACCAAAATGAAACCGTAACCGTATTTCAGACCGTAACAGTACCATTTTTAAACCGTAACCGGACCGTAACCGTATAAACTGGTTAAAACCGTAACCGTTAACCATAAAAAAATATTAGTTATGATTAAAAAAAATATTAACCGTAACCGCAATTTAACCGTAACCGTATAAAAACCGTTGGTTAACCGCAAGGTTAAAACCGTTTCATTTTAACCGTAACCGTTTAAAATATTCTATTAAATACAAAAATAATTAACTATGACATGGAGAAATTAAATAAAATATAGAAATAATTAACTTGAATATTATATTTTGCTAAGTTTTAGTTAAATTCAAAAAGTAAAATCTAATTAAAACTAGAAAATATAGTATAGCCATTAAGTAATAAGATTATTAGATAAATATGATTTTGACATGATTATAAAGATAATGAAGCCATTCCTTTTCAAACTGTTTTGACAAAAGATTTTATAAGTTTATTTCCACCTTTTTAGTAACAAATAAACACACGTTGCCCACTTTGTAGTAACCACCTGACTAATTTTTTAAAAACTTTATTATTGTAATAATAATTCTCAATATGAGATTAATAATTATATTTTCTTTCAGAAATTTATATACATTAATAATTTTTTTAATTTATCTCTTTCACATATGTTAATGAAAATTTTAACATTGTTCTGTATTTTATAATATTTATTTAATCATAAACCGTATTATAGTTATAACCGTAGCTAACCGTAACCGTACTAACCGGATTGATATTTAACCATAATCGTATTAACTGTATGTTAAATGGTTAAGGTTAAGGTTAACAAAATTTCTAACCGTAACCGGTGGTTAAATAACCTTAACCGTGATAACCGTAACCGTGGTCATGCCTAGATTTTGCGACCCAAATGTCGTAATGCTAATCTTACGTCCATAATTGGTGTCCCTTCATCAATAAACATGCTGTTCTTGTCCTTAATTTCTTAACACAGTTTCTTTTATTATTCCATTGTGTGTTTTCACTGAATCCTTATCTTCTGGTACAATATCTATAAAAACATCTAAACCAAATCTTAACCTCCTGAAAAGAAAAGGGAATTCAGGATTTTTGCAAAGATGGCCAATTCGAATAATTATGAGAAGAGGCCCTTTCGAGCCAATGAATCAGAGGAAAAGAACGAAGCTGACGATGATAATGTTGTCAAGGGACATCGCAACAAAGCTTCCAACTTCTGAGGAGCCAGATAGTTCAGAGAAGAGATACGATTCTACATTGCCTTGTCCAAAAAACGACCCATATGTTGCAAAGACAGCCAACTCGAGCGATGCCGACGGACATTACTCTCCCACCAAATATAGTATACTAGAGGTTGTAGCAGTAGGCGAAGTAAAATAGAGGTTACCCGTAGGAATGATGAACGCCAAAGTATCATCTTAATCGGGCGTAGCATTATGTCCCAATTGAATCCCTTTATACCCTCATCGTAGTTTGTCACCACATACATACGTTTACTTCACTGTGGTTATGATTTATAGATAAAGGTTAATTCATCAAACATTACTTCAAGAATATATAATAATGAAGAACATATCGCAATCACATATTCCTGTCTTGCTTTAAAAAACATAAGTTAAATACTTCAAACAATTCATTTATAATTATATTTTGTCAACAAAAATTAAACTTTATACATACGTAAAATATGATTTCAATAAGTCTTCTAGGATCAAGTCTATATGCTCTCTATAAAATATCATATGCAACTTCCAACAAAATCAGAAACTCTTCTAAACAAGTCTCCTACTCCTCCACTTTTAGAGAGACTCTTAATTATTTAGCCAAAGAAGGTAACACGATGAGATCAGTGTGGTTGCTTGACGAACAAGTCTCCTCCTTTCAAAATCTTCACTACAAGGAGCCACAACTTTGACGGCTCCTTTAACAGATGTTTCTACGGATGTGAAGATATCTTCAGAGGAAAAGAGTGGTGGTGGTGAAGAGACGAACAAACCACTATCCGACAAGTTTGGAGTGACAAAGATGAGATTGCGGTTTTACAAGGCCTTACTGTGACATCCCGGTTTTTATAAATTGGGCCATTTTTAATTTTTGGCATGAAAGCCCATGAGCCCAAGTGTATGGTGTCATCGTGAGCCTCTTCCCCTTCATTTTTCCCTAGCCGCAAGAGTAAGAAAGAGAGAGAGAGTGGCCGTGAGAAAATCCAGAGAAGAAGAGAGAGGAAATGAGAAAAGAAGGAAAAGGAGAAGCGAGAGAAACCAGGGAGAAAGGAAGAAGAAGAAGAGAAGAAAGAGAAAGGAGAAGAAAGAGAAAGAGGGAGAGCGAGAGAGAGAGAGAGAGAGAGCACGTACCATGGAAAGTCGGAGACGTCATCGGAGATCTAGACTAGTACAGCCGGCCACCATCGGTCCGAGCATCACCGGAGGTCACATCCATCACTGTCGGAGCTTCCGATCTACCGCCGTAAGCTCACGCCCGTGAGGATTGAGAGTGCACATCAGTCTCTTGCGCAACAAGCAATCGAATCTTCACCGAAGTACATCAGTGACCTTTCGTCTTCTCCATAGCAAATCTGTTCACCTTCCGATCAGCTTTTAGCCCAAGGTGAGGATGAATCTTCACCGTTCCTTAATATGCTTTACTCTATATTATTTAAGGCTAAGACTTGGTTTAAACCAAGCATAACCTTGTTTGTTGAGTGTGAACCCTAGTATTATTTTAGGAACCCAAATTATATTATATAATTGTTTAGTTAATTAATTATATTTTGTCGGGTGATTTTAAATGTGATTATTCATGAGAAATTGTGTGATATTATTTATGGTTGATAAATAATATATTTCTTGTTATTAATAAATATTATATTTATTATTGTTGTGTACAAATATTTATAAATATTTGTGGTATAAAATGTTGATTGTTAAAGTGAGTTCTGATTGTTGAGTGTTGAAGAACATATATCGAATATGGATTAATTAATGATCGGACATGGTATTTAAAATGGTTGAGTGTTAAAAGGATCATTGTTGAGTGTGGTGTGATGGTTAATGTATATGTATGTATATATATGAAAAGTTATATATGTTGGACGCTTAGTGAGAAGCGTGTTAGTTAGTGGCGGTTTAAAGGTACCGTGCAACACAAGTAAGGTGGAGGGATTGTGGAAGGTGTGTGGCGCACCATAGTGGATCCTCTTGCTTGGTGTTGGTGTTTGCTGGATGTGGGGTAGATAAAGGTTGCTCTTACCCCAATCCATCGTCGGTGGCTTGACGAGCCAGGCGTCTTGAAAGAGAGGCGGACAGCGATGTGGCGCTTTGTACCACAGGGTGTGTGCAGTGATGCGCGGATACATCCAGGGTGTTGAGTTACTGGAGCAAGATACTACGGGGTGTTGTGCCGGTATTTGGTAGCTTCACACGTGGTTGAGCTTGGCTGGACAAGAAACATCACCGTTACAGACCATATTACGTGTTGGGTGCATAGTCCCTCTAGGAGGTTGTTGCGTTATACAGCGTGTGTGGTGTTACATACTGTATGAGAGGTGACTCATGGTTTGTGTTGTATACACGGCGTGTGTGTGGTGATTCACTGTATGTGCCGTGTTATACACCGTCCTTGTGAAACTATATCGTATGATGTGTTATACACTGCGTGTGTTGATACACACCTTACGTGTGGTGATTCATATATGTGTCGTGACATATATTGTATGTGTGGTGATGCACCGTATGAATTATGTTCACACGTATGTGTGGAACGCATGGTATGAGTTGTGTAATGCAGCATGTGTGCTAGTTCGGCGTTGTATAGATGACGTCTTGTTTGATGCTGTTTTAGCCCAAGCCTAGGTGTTTGTTTTATAGCGTTTCGTATGTTGGGCCCGGTTTAGATTCATTCTCCTGGGTAATCTAAATTACTCATCCCCTCCTTTTTCCCTTCCCTGTTTCCTTTTCTTGCAGGTAGGTACAGAAGTGTTGATTCAAGTATAAGTTGGTGGATTTTGTTAAGAGAACATCTTGGATTTGGGACCATGGTTATGGCATCGCGGTTAAAGCTGGTTAAGCTTGTAACGGATGTCTTGATACGCCGTCATTTCTCGGGAGTCCGGGTGACGGGTGTCACACTTACGATTACGAAATTGTTGCTGGGACAGTTTTTCAGGTTGACCCTGATGCGCTTTATAAGTTGACTAAGAAATTTCTTAGCTTGATCTTACTAAGTATAAATTCTTTTATAAGATTAGGATACTAAGATTTACTTATCATCGTAATGGATTGAAGATCGTGGAGTGCCTTGATTTGTCCAACTTTAAACTAAATAGTTTTGTTTTTATTGTAGAAACTTTAATTTAAAAATATGGATGTGATTTAAAAGTCAGATTTTGATGTTTTCCAGAAAAAAAAAACTGTGAATCCATCGGAAAATAGTTGTTAATATTTTAAAGAGTGATTTTATGACTTTTAATAGTTTTAAATCAATAGAGTATAACCAGATAATATTTACATTTTAAAAACTTTAGTTTTGTTTTAAAGTTTTTATAATATTTAAAGTTTATTTGCAATGCACCCGTTAATTTACGTGGATTTTAAAAGCAAAACTATATAATAATATTTTTATAACCGCAAAGTATATATCTAGACCATAGTTATTAACTTATTATATGTCTAAAAGAGAATTAAGTGAAGCGTTGCAACTATAATTAGCGGACGGCAAGCGGTCTGTAAATTGGTTATTTGCCTTTTGTATTAAACAAGCTTTCTAATGATGGTTTATTGTTTAATCATCGATTTATAATTATTGGAATATACATTGCATTTGATGATACATACACAAGTTAACAAAATATCTTACATATCATTTGTTACAATCTTTTACAGTTCTAAAAGATCTCTCATATACTTTTTTTTAGTAATGTAAGACATAAATGCTCTTTGATATCTACGTTTCTATCAGTTTTAAATTGTCACAATTATGTAGCCGGATCAATGTAACGGATAGTGGTATAAATTATAATCTGATATGAAACGAACTGGAAAGAAGATGAAGTCTTCTCTGTTCAGTTGTGTTAGAAAATTTTGCAACGTTTTCCTATAATGAAAAAATAAATTTGAGTACATTAATTAGAACTTTGGAAATCTTATTTTTCTGAAAATTTAGGTACATAAAAATGAAATATTATTGTGTTGATAGATAACTTTATTTAAATACACAGATAAATAACTTAATTTAGAGATATATATATATACATGTATATATAAATATTTTTTTTCTTTTTTGAAGTTCTTTAAAATTTTCTATTCTAAATCATGTGATATTTTATAAAATAACAAAAAGGCAATTGTATTCAATCATAAAATGGTTGAAGATCTTCCAAATTTTGTTCATACAGATTAAGGATAATAAATTCTTAATTATAAGACATTACTATTTGAATTTTTCCTCTTTAACAAGGATAAGTACAAACACAGTTTAGACCTAGGCCAGGTTTGGTGTCTATAACACATTTTCCAGCTCTTTCATCGTATGAATCCCGGCAGTTGTGAATACAATCCATAGGATTACATGCATTTAATGGAGGAAGGATCTTAGTACACATCTTTTTATAATATTTAAAGTTTATTTGCAATGCACCCGTTAATTTACGTGGATTTTAAAAGCAAAACTATATAATAATATTTTTATAAGCGCAAAGTATATATCTAGACCATAATTATTAACTTATTATATGTCTAAAAGAGAATTAAGTGAAGCGTTGCAACTATAATTAGCGGACGGCAAGCGGTCTGTAAATTGGTTATTTGCCTTTTGTATTAAACAAGCTTTCTAATGATGGTTTATTGTTTTATAGTCGATTTATAATTATTGGAATATACATTTGATGATACTTTAAAAAAATAGCGTATTGGAATATACACTGCATTTGATGATACATACTCAAGTTAATAAATATCTTACATATCATTTGTTACAATTTTTTACAGTTCTAAAAGATCTCTCATATACTTTTTTTAGTAATGTAAGACATAAATGCTCTTTGATATCTACGTTTCTATCAGTTTTAAATTGTCACAATTATGTAGACGGATCAATGTAACGGATAGTGGTATAAATTATAATCTGATATGAAACGAACTGGAAAGAAGATGAAGTCTTCTCTGTTCAGTTGTGTTAGAAAATTTTGCAACGTTTGCTATAATGAAAAAATAAATTTGAGTACATTAATTAGAACTTTGGAAATCTTATTTTTCTGAAAATTTAGGTACATAAAATGAAATATTATTGTGTTGATAGATAACATTATTTAAATATACAGATAAATAACTTAATTTAGATATATATATATATATATACATGTATATATATATTTTGTTTTTTCTTTTTTGAAGTTCTTTAAAATTTTCTATTCTAAATCATGTGATATTTTATAAAATAACAAAAAGGCGATTGTATTCAATCATAAAATGGTTGAAGATTTTCCAAATTTTATTCATATAGATTAAGGATAATAAATTCTTAATTATAAGACATTACTATTTGAATTTTTCCTCTTTAACAAGGATAAGTACAAACACTGTTTAGACCTAGGCCAGGTTTGGTGTCTATAACACATTTTCCAGCTCCTTCATCGTATGAATCCCGGCAGTTGTGAATACAATCCATAGGATTACATGCATTTAATGGAGGAAGGATCTTAGTACACATCTTTTCCTCAGCTTCCGAAACCACTGAAAATACTATAAAATAAAATTTGAAATAATTCGTATGCACATGTTTAGATCATCTATGTAATGTGTATTTTAAAATTAAATATTATTTAATATTTGAAAATGAAAACAAATGAAATTACCAAAAAGCACAAGCATTAGCATGAAGAAATAAGAACATGATAATTTAGCCATGATCAATATAAAACCAAATGAAAGTTACTCTTCTTTTATGAATTAGAGATTATAAAAGGAGGATAGCTTTTTTTATTTGCTTTATTGTTTTTAAGTGATTGTGTTCTAATGTTTGTGTTTATATAGTGGTACATGATGTTTTTCACATAGAAATTAAAAAATCTTAATAAGAAAGTAAATGAATAATGACAAAAATAGGGTTGACTACATTTATTACTATTGGCATCTTTTCACCATGTCAAGAAAGTAAATGAATGATGACAAAAATAGGGTTGACTACATTTATTACTATTGGCATCTTCTCACCATGTCATAATTATAATATCAACTGAATGGAAAAAAATTTGTATTTATTTTCTGAAAAGAGTTTTTTTTTCCCGATTGTATCTTATTAATGTATGAAAACTTTTTAAGTAATTTAACTTGCTTTACATTAGTTTTCTAGAAAACTAGAAAAACAGGTCCGGAGATCTAAGCTGGAGGAACAAAGTATATGTAATATACATCATGAAGGAGATCTCGTGCACTCTATGCTAACTAGTCTGTCTTCGTATTCTTCATCCTTGGTATGTGATGGATGGAAAAGGAGGTGAATCGTCTCCTACACAGTTTCTTTTATTATTCCATTGTGTGCTTTCACAGAATCTTTATCTTCTGGTACAATATCTATAAAAACATCTAAACCAAATCTTAACCTCCTGAAAAGAAAGGGGATATCAGGATTTTTGCAAAGATGGCCAATTCGAATAATTATGAGAAGAAGCCCTTTCGAGCCAATGAATCAGAGGAAAAGAACGAAGCTGACGATGATAATGTTGTCAAGGGACATCGCAACAAAGCTTCCAACTTCTGAGGAGCCAGATAGTTCAGAGAAGAGATACGATTCTGCATTGCCTTGTCCAAAAAACGACCCATATGTTGCAAAGACAGCCAACTCGAGCGATGCCGACGAACATTACTCTCCCACCAAATATAGTATACTAGAGGTTGTAGCAGTAGGCGAAGTAAAATAGAGTCCACCCGTAGGAATGATGAACGCCAAAGTATCATCTTAGTCGGGCGTAGCGTTATGTCCCAATTGAATCCCTTACCCTCGTTGTAGTTTGTCACCACATATATATGTTTACTTCACTGTGGTTATGATTTATAGATAAAGGTTAATTCACCAAACATTACTTCAAGAACATATAATAGTGAAGAAGAACATATCGCAATCACATATTCCTATCTTGCTTTAAAAAACATAAGTTAGATACTTCAAACAATTCATTTATAATTATATTTTGTCAACGAAAATTAAACTTTATACATACGTAAAATATGATTTCAATAAGTCTTCTAGGATCAAATCCATATGCTCTCTATAAAATTTCATATGTAACTTCCAACAAAATCAGAAACTCTTCTAAACAAGTCTCCTACTCCTCCACTTCTACAGAGACTCTTAATTATTTAGCCAAAGAAGGTAACACAATGAGATCAGTGTGGTTGCTTGACGAACAAGTCTCCTCCTTTCAAAATCTTCACCACAAGGAGCCACGACTTTGACGGCTCCTTTAACAGATGTTTCTACAGATGTGAAGAGGTCTTCAGAGGAAAAGAGTGGTGGTGGTGAAGAGACGAACAAACCACTATCCGACAAGTTTGGAGTGACGAAGATGAGATTGCGGTTTTACAAGGCCTTACGATTACGAAATTGTTTTTGGGACAGTTTTTCACGTTGACCCTGATGCGTTTTATAAGTTGACTAATAAATTTCTTAGCTTGATCTTACTAAGTATAAATTCTTTTATAAGATTAGGATATTAAGATTTACTTATCGTCGTAATGGATTGAAGATCCTGGAGTGCCTTGATTTGTCCAACTTTAAACTAGATAGTTTTGTTTTTATTGTAGAAACTTTAATTTAAAAATATGGATGTGATTTAAAAGTTAGATTTTGATGTTTTTTAGAAAAAAAACTGTGAATCCATGGGAAAAATTTTGTTAATGTTTTAAAGAGTGATTTTATGACTTTGAATAGTTTTAAATCAATAGAGTATAACCGGATAATATTTACATTTTAAAAACTTTAGTTTTCTTTTAAAGTTTTTATAATATTTAAAGTTTATTTGCAATGCACCCGTTAATTTATGTGGATTTTAAAGGCAAAACTATATAATATGATTTTTATAAGCGCAAAGTATATATCTAGACCATAGTTATTAAGTTATTATATGTCTAAAAGAGAATTAAGTGAAGCGTTGCAACTATTTCAACTATTGCAACCATTGCAACTTTTGAGTCATTACGACCTTTAGAACATGTGCAATTTGTAAAACCATTAATGTAACATTTCGTATTCTATATAAATCACTACAAGATAAGCGGCATTTGGCGACACTTTATTAATGTCATTTGTTAAACCGACGCTATAAATGTTTTGAAAGAAGGAAATTAACATCACTTTCTTAACCGTCGCAAAAGAAATGATGCGAAAGCCTAATTTCTCAGAAATGATGGGAAAGCCCAATTCAATTGTAAAATGATATTTAGAGTGATTTTTTTTTTAAAACAAAAACATAACGCCTAATTCAATTTCTTCGTCGTCATCTCCTTGCGATTTCTTCGTCTTCATCTATCTGAAGAAATTGAGAAATTGAGCTGAAATTGAGCTCATAGATTCGCAGACTTCCATAAATTTCGTCTTATCTTCTTCATTTCTGAGTCCAATTTGAAGACAACTTTACAGCGATCCATAAGCCTCCATCGAAGGTTCGTACTTGGTTTGATTCAGTTTTGATTCAGTATCGATAGTTTGTACAAATTTTTGATTCTAAAAACCTGCATTTCTCGGCATCTAGTGGTTTATACAAAAGCGTGTGAAGGGAATCGCTCATCGCTACCACCGTCACCTCCAAAAGCTGAAATTTCCAACTCCGTGCACCTTTCACCAGGTAAAAAATCGCTCACTAGCTTGATTTTGATTTGTATATGCAAAGTTTGCTTGTGATTGAGCTATTCATTGTTCATTGTTAATAGTTACGTTTTCTATTTGTTCATTAGCTAGAAACTTTGATTCATGTGGTTTTGCTTAAGCTTGGCTTTTTTCTTCTTAACTTTGATTCATGTGCTTTTGCTTTTGCTTGTGGTTGAATGATATAAAACATACATTTGATTCATACATTTTCAGTCATGCCTCCTTGTGGTTGAATGATATAGTTTTCTGCTTAAACATACATTTGCTTTGCTTTGTTCTTAAATGAATGCTATTCAGTCCTGAGTTTGCTTGGTTAATTAAATGGGAGTTTTAGGTGGATCTAGTATTGCATTAGTGAGACAATTCGAGAATCTTGACAATTCTTATGCTCTGATTCTGTGTTTGAGAATGATTCTCGCTTTCTGTGTTTGAGAATGTTTGGGAATGTTTTGCGCTGATTCTGTGTTTGAGAATGATTCTGATAAATCTTCATTTCAATTTTTACAGGTTTAAAGATGTCGAGAACAGATTCCGGAATGCCACAGAATGAAGATTTCTTTGCTCCGCCTCCTCTTGGACCAAAATTAGCTGGTGGGAAATGGAAAGTTCATGTTATAGGTAAAATTAGTTTCCTGACTCGCTTTCAAACCAGTTTCATTGAACAAAAGAGTTTACGTTTATGAGGTTTGTTCATTGTTGATGATGAGGTTTTAGATGATGATGGAAAGATTACAGAAGAAAATATTACTGGAAAGCAAGTCTGGGGTATGCAGAAACGTCGAGTTATTGTCGAGTTTAACAGGAATGGACAGCCTATCAAAGATTCAGGAGGTTTGTTAGGTTCATGGTTAGGTTCTTTGAGCTATGATCTTAACATTTTACCTATCAATTACACTGATTGGAGGAAAGTACCTGAATATAGGAAGGAGATGGCATGGACAGTAATTCAGGTATTTTAGTTTAGGTTCATGGTTAGATTTGTGAAGTACTTCTTGTCCTTTTTAAATAACATTTTTCTATTTGAACACAGAAAAAGTTCTTGTTTGATGACCCAACTAAGAGAAGAAAATATGTAATATCTACATTAGGAAGCAGATGCAAAGACTTAAAACAACGGTTTTGGAAGCTCCATAAGAGAAATACTCCAGTAGAAACAATTGAAGCACGACCAGCATTGATTCCTGAAGACCAATGGAGAGATTTTGTGCATACTCAATTCACAGATAAGGCCAAGGTAAATAATTGTCCAAAACACTTGTTAGATATACTGATAATGTTAGTGAGGTTTCTTATTTATATGTTACATTACGATAACAATAGAAAGCAAGAGAGCGTAATAAGGTAAGCCGAAGCAACTTAAAGATACCACATACACTTGGAAAAAAGAGTATAGCAAGAAGATCTGATGAGATGGTAAGTTTCAATCTTAAGATTAAGATTAAGATTTAGTTAGTAATTTGGAATGTGGTGTTGTTAGTCATGGCTTTTGCATATGTTGCAGGAAAGAGAGAGTGGCGTTGAACCAACTCGAGGAGAAATGTTTATTGCATCACGCACAAGATCAGATGGAAGTATGATTTGCGAGGAAGCAAGACTATGTGCGGTTAGTTTACTATTGGCTTTGATCTGTCTATTGGTTTTGCTCTGTCTCTGATACTTCACTATGGTTACATTGTATGATTGATTTTTACAGGACCAGATTAAGGACATTATGAATCTTCCAGGCCAAACATCAAGTAGTGATGCTGTTACTCAAGTTTTTGGTCCTGAGCATTCAGGAAGAGTGCGATGTGTAGGTCGTGGTCCGGCGCCAACCAAATACTTCTCAAGTTTGGACTCTACAATGTCATATAATGTGGAGATAGTTGAGATGAAGTCAACAATAAAGAATCTCGCAGATAAAGTTGAGATTATTGCTAGTGCTCTTCATAAAGCTTTGACATGCAACCGATTCCAGGTAATGCAAGCAATTCTGGATTCTAATGGTTAGTTTTAGGCTGTTGTTAGTCTTGGCTTGATGGTTAGTCTTGAGTTTTAGGCTGTTGTTACATCAGAACATAGCTCAATATGAGTTTCATATCAGAGTTTACTTTTTTACAGGTGAATGATACAAGTGAAACAGATGAAAACATCCGTCACATTCGTAAACAAGCAACAAATAAGGTAATTCACAATGCTTTGAGTGTCACAATACTTAATTAAGAAAGCTTCTTCATAATGAAAATATGTTTGCTTTTAAAAACAGAGGAAACACCAAGATTTATCTCCAGTTGTTCAGACCACACCAAGAGCTAAGGTATGGTTTTTCTTTCCTTGTGATATCATCAAAAGTATATTAATTTTGTAAATTGATTGTATATTTGGAATTTGGCATCTGATTTCAGGTCAGGTGAAAGAGAAAGAGTACACGAAGAGAAATTGTGAAAACAGTATATATAATAGTGACATTTGTATTTTTCATATAATGTGTTGAGTGATATTTGTATTGGTATTGATTTTTTTGGTTAATATTGAATATTTTTCTTGGATCAATTGAATTGATTTTTGGTTAATATTGGATATCCGTCGGTTTAGTTGTGTAAACCGACGTGAAAATTGGTCTGGGATCACATGATAACCGATGCAAAATTGTATTAAACCGACGTTACAATTGGTTTGGGATCACATGATAACATGATGTTAAAATTGATTTGGGATCACATGATAACCGACGCAAAACTGATTTGAACCGACGTTAAAATTGTGACGTTAAAGAAAGCGTCGGTTTTCAAAGCGACGTTATGAATTTTAACGTCACACGAAGTAACGACGGTTTTCAAACCGATGTCAATTTTTTCACGTCATTTTACAACCGACGTGAAACGCAATAAAAACCGTCGCCAAATCCCGCTTCTCTTGTAGTGAATACAATGAATGTAAATCTGATAGGTTTACAGTTAATGTTTCTATATATAGTTTTTGAAAAAGGGCGACTCTTGGTTTGGCTTTTTTTTAAAAGCGTTGTTTTACAAAACGTAGCAAAGCAAAGGAGATGATCGCATCTCTATTTAGAATGTCATACCTTTTCAGTAAAATCAAAGTAATTAAATGGAGTTTTTTTCTCAAATTAATCTTGACCATCCCTTAAATTATTTGATACCGTTAGACATTAGTCATGGCACTACTCCAAACAAAACAATCATCTTGATTCAGGTTCGCCACTCATTTTTCTAATTATTTGTTTTAGAGTTTTGGTAATCCTAGAATATTTTTCATGCACAATGTCCATGTTAGATCATACTGCTTACTCTTTTTTTTCATACTGCTTACTTAAATGACATAAACCATTATCTACGCTTTTCTTTCCTTGCACCATGTTGCTTACTTAAATAATCAATGCCATTTAAATTTAGCCATGACGTGAAAGAATATACAAATTACTTGAATTCTGAGTAGGGGGGATCTAAATTAATGGAACATTATTTAATTCCTCAACTTGTTCATTTCCTCGAAAGTGTTGTTTGGATCGTAGCCTCCTAACAAAAACCCCCAAACAGCTCCTTCGATCTATGATTTCCCTGATATTGTTATACAAAACAAAATGAAAATCAACGACAAGGGTATATAAGATAAAAGATAGAAACATGACAATAACAACAAAGTAAACTCGCTCCACATTATATACGTATAAGCATTTTTTCTTTATCCAAATGTCCATCTTTAATAATTTTGATCATTGGAGTTTGAACGGCTTAAAGTCCTGCAAACAATGAAGAGCACATGGTCCAAAAGAGGCCAAGCCACCTATGTAAGAGGATGAGGACATAGCTGGTGATGAAATGTCCGTCACTGTTCTTTAAATTCCAGAACTTCTCATGCTACTAGCTCAGTGAATTTAGTGTAGGAGCATTAATTAACCAATTTCTCAACGAATGTTGAAACATGTAAAATAATACATATCTTCGTTAATCGTTTGCACAATAGTTAATGCAGGGACCACTGGATTATTGTTCTTTCACTAGATGTAACTCACATGTTTTAAAATTCAAATTCCAAATTTAGGATATGAATATTTGATTAATCTTGGGACTATATGAGTTTTTTCTCTAGCCATTTTATTTCCTACACATAATATTTGGCCGTAGTTAGTACATTTTGCTAAATTCTTTATACTTATGGAACATGAACATGTGTCGGTGTTTTTTACTACGAAGATATCAATGGGGTACTTGGTAGAGACTTCTAAGAACTTTCACTTATTTTAAAAGTCTAAAAAATTAGCCACACATACTTTAAATGCTTAAAGCTTCTAAAGTTTCTCAAAGTCCAACTGCTTTATTTTGTTCATATGATATACTATCTTTTTTGTAAAGCCAACAAACCGTGACATTCTTTTTTAAATTCATTAGTAAATTTTTAAAAGTCAAAGTTTCTAAAGCCTATATATTTAAGTAACAGTAATTATTATTCTTGTATTAATCTTGTCATAACAGAAAATTATTACGCTATGGCTTTGGGGACGACAATGAGGTAATTAAACGGCACAAAACCATATTTATACAATTAATCGGGCTATATATGAGTAGGTTGCACAATTAATCGGGCTTTATACTGTGTACACATGAGTAGGTTGCACAACAATTCATGATTTTTAATTTCTGAATGCTCTCAAATTCTCAATTGTAAGAGTTTAAATATCACTTGAAAGCGATGATATATGCATTTGTAGTCGACATTACTATTTTGAGTTTTTGTAATAATTGCTGCCTATCTTTCTATTTTCACTTTAGATATTATGTTTATTGAGACTTCTCATTTCCATTTTTTATTTTAAACACTTTTTTGCTTATAAAGAATAGCTTAATTTGGAGTAATAGACAAAAAATAAAGAGGAAATGGAAGTAAAGAAAAACTGAAAATTAAAATATAAATGTGAAAAAAGAAAGAAAAATGTTTTACTCCATAATAATACGGAGTGATAGATAACATTATAAGTCTATAACTAGTGTTATTGAGTGAAAATTTTATCTTTTTTATTTTCTGTTAAGATAAAGCCAAAAGTGATGACTCATCATCTCCTGCAAAATATCTTATTGACACTAGCCTTTACGTGTCAATCCCACATCTCACTTCCTTCCGTATATAAAGGGTGTTCATGTATTTGTAATAGACACACAACAATACGTGAAATCAAAATCACTCTCTTCTCTCTCATACTTTTGTGGTCCTCCACACTCTCTCCCCTGGCCCACCACCTTTCCATTTTTTATTTAATTAATAATTTATAACACGTTATCAGCACGATTGCCTCTATACCCTAGATCTGTCTAGATCTATTCTTATTCCGAGAGGTAAGCCTAAATTCTGTCCAAATTTATTTAAAATTATATTTTGTCTATTCTGCCGGGAAGTTAGGCTATGCCTACTCCGAGCTGATCGTCATGGATGGCTCTGCCTCCTCGATCAAATAAATCTCTTAAAGCCGGGAAGCTAGGCTCTGCCTACTCCGAGCTGATCGTCATGGATGGCTCTGCCTCCTCGATCAAATAAATTAAAGCCGGGAAGCTAGGCTCTGCCTACTCCGAGCAAATGATCACATGGTAGACTATGTCTCCTCAGATCATATATATGGAGTGGTAGGGAAATCCTCCTCCGGAGTTGATGGTGAAAACCTCCTCTATGTAGCGGAGTTGATGACTATGTCTCCTCCCAGATCTAAATTTCTGTCTTTCAATTTATGCCTTTCAATTTTGTTATTCTGTTTAAAGTTTTCAAAAGAATTCAGTGGCCCTGATGGTGCCACAATTTGAGATTAAGGATGGAGATACTTGTCTAGCAGACAGTGCTACGACACATACAATACTCAAAGATAAGAAGTATTTCTCCTATCTCAAAATGAAAGACTCCGCTGAAAGCGTGAGTACTATATGCGGTAGTGCAAAAATAATACTTGGCTCTGGGAGTGCAAGTTTTTCATTGCCAAGGGGAACGAAATTTGAAGTGCGAGATGCACTATATTCCCCGGAGTCTCACCGGAACTTATTAAGTTTCCGAGATATCCGCAAAAATGGATATCATATTGAGACTATAAACAAAAATGGCATTGAATATCTTTGCATTACAACGGAGAGGAAACAAACATTGGAAGAATTACCAATGATCCTCTGGTTTATATTGCACAAAAATCAACATGACTGAATCTTATGTTGCAGTAAACCAGATGTTTACTAGCACTTTTAGGGTGTGGCATGAAAGACTTGGCCACCCAGGTTCAGTCATGATGAGAAGAATTGTGCAAAATACGAGTGGCCACCCATTGAAAAATGAAAAGATTTTTCAATCGGGGGAGTTTTCATGTAAAGCATGTTCTCAAGGAAAACTCATAATTAGGCCCTCGCCAGCCAAAGTTGGGAATGAATCCCCTGTATTCTTAGAGAGAATACATGGTGATATATGTGGGCCTATTAACCCACCGTGCGGGCCATTTCGATACTTTATGGTATTGATTGACGCATCTAGTAGATGGTCAAATGTGTGTCTTTTGACCACAAGAAATATGGCTTTCGCAAGATTCATTGCCCAAATAATCAGGTTGAGAGCGCATTTCCCTGATTATGCCATAAAGAAAGTCAGGCTTGATAATGCTGGTGAATTCACTTCAGCAGCCTTTAATGACTTTTGTATGTCTGTGGGAATCGATGTTGAACATCCGGTTCCGCACGTTCATACGCAAAATGGCATGGCTGAGTCATTAATAAAGCGGTTGCAGTTAATTGCAAGACCGTTAATCTTGAGAACAAAACTCCCAATCACTGTATGGGGACATGCAATATTGCATGCGGGAGCCTTGGTTCAAGTGAGACCAAGTGCTTATAATAAATTTTCGCCCATACAGTTGGCATTTGGAAATATGCCAAATATATCCCATCTCCGGGTATTCGGGTGTGCGGTCTATATCCCAATAGCGCCACCACAGAGATCAAAAATGGGACCACAGAGGAGATTGGGAATATATGTCGGGTATTCGTCCCCTAGTATAATAAGGTATCTTGAACCGGCAACTGGTGATATGTTTACGGCACAATTTGCCGATAGCCACTTTGATGAAAATGAATTCCCTGCGTTAGGGGGAGGGTCGAGAGAATCACCAAATGATATCACCAAATGGTGTACACACTCTTTGGCTTATCTTGATCCTCCTTCTAATCAACGCGAGGTGGAAGTTCAGAAAATTATACATATGCAAAGATTGGCTAACCAGTTGCCCATGAGTTCAGATACGAAAAGGGTGACGAAGTCCTATATCCCCGCTGCTAATGCTCCATCAAAAATAGAAGTTCCTCATGAACATTTTGATGTGAATAGAGCAAGTGAACCGGTTCAATTAAAGCGCGGGAGGCTATAGGATCAAAGGATAAATATCCCCGAAAGAAAAAGAATTGTGGAGTAAAGGTTCCTGATGAACCGAAATGACATTTCCGAACAGGTTCTTGTAGAACCTGATAAAGAGGTTCGTCAAGATGACGAACCAGAGACAGAAAAATTTGAGATTTCCATCTCCTTCGCCCAAAGTGGAAAAATATGGGCTAGAAGTGAAATAGATGATGATGGAATGTTCTCTTTTTCTGTAGCTAAAGAGATCGATCATGAAAATGATGATCCAGATCCAACTTCCGTGTCAGAGTGCCAAAAGAGGCCGGACTGGGAGAAATGGCAAATGGCCATGAAGAATGAAATATTCTCTCTCAATAAACGGACTATAGTTCAATGGTCAATAGATCGCTTGATGTTAACAAGGATCCATTTCGACCTATTGAAGATTCTGAGAAATGTTAGGTCCTGAAGTACCTTACATGAGCGCCATCGGGGCACTTATGTATCTTGCAAATTGCACTAGACCAGATATAGCTTTTGCTACTAATCTGCTTGCAAGATACAGCTCATCGCCTACCAGAAGACATTGGAACGGAATAAAACATATATTCCGTTATCTTCAAGGTACGATTGAGTTTGGATTATATTATTCAAGAAACCCCGAGGTTGGTTTAGTTGGTTTTGCAGATGCTGGCTACTTGTCTGATCCGCATAAAGCTCGATCGCAAACCGGTTATGTTTTCACATACGGTGGAACCGCGATCTCTGGCGTTCCCAAAAACAAACTTTGGTTGCAACGTCTTCAAATTATGCGGAAATCATTGCTCTCCATGAAGCATGTAGAGAGTGTGTATGGTTGAGATCTTTGATCCAACATATACAAGAAGCCAGCGGAGTATCTACAAAGAAAGAGCCAACAACATATACGAAGACAATTCTGCATGTGTCACTCAACTCAAAGAAGGCTACATCAAGAGCGACAGGACAAAACACATCCCTCCAAGATTTTTCTCCTACACTCAAGAACTTGAGAAGAATCAAGAAGTGGATATTCAGTATGTTCGCTCAAGTGACAATGCAGCTGATCTTTTCACAAAGGCGCTTCCTACTACAGTGTTCAAGAAGCATGTTCAAGTATTGGAATGCGTCGTCTTCAAGATTTGTGAAGAGAAGACATATCTATTTTTCAGGGGGAGTTTGCTTCGCGGTACTCTTTTTCCTTTTCATGGTTTTTATCCCATTGGGTTTTTCCATATAAGGTTTTAATGAGGCCATGCAACTTCACAATAATAGATGATGAATCAAGGGGGAGTGTTAAGATAAAGCCAAAAGTGATGACTCATCATCTCCTGCAAAATATCTCATTGACACCGACCTTTACATGTCAATCCCACATCTCACTTCCTTCCCTATATAAAGGATGTTCATATATTTGTAATAGACACTCAACAATACGTGAAATCAAAATCACTCTCTTCTCTTTCATACTTTTGTGGTCCTCCACACTCTCTCTCCTGGCTCACCACCTTTCCATCTTTTATTTAATTAATAGTTTATAATATTTTCCACTTAGTTGGTTCATATTTAAAGTAAGTGGGAATAAACAAAGTTTTCCATCTACTTTGTTACTCTAATACGACCATCCAATCACACCCTTCATCTTTGATTTTTTTTTCTGATAATTGGTGCCTCTTTCTACTTTTACTTATTGGTTTTTGAAATCAATCATATATGAATTCAATTGCTTAAACTGTCGGAAAGATAAAGAAATATTTGATATGATGTTTCTTTGGCTAAACTGTTATATCTATTATTTTTCTCCAATTTATGCAATTATTTCTAATACATAATTATTTTATTGTTTTGTTGATGTCTTCGCCAATAGTGCTTGCAGGTTTGTCGATTGTCAATATTTTCATTATCATGATACTGTCTTATAATTTAAAACAAGAAATAGTGGTAATGTCTAAATGTTGTTTGTTCTCCTCCAAACCCACGAGAATAAGTTGCAGAATTGTGAAACTGATTTTCTTTATTTTCAATTCTGGTTTCCTTTGGGTGTTCATAAACAGAAATTAAGAAAAAACTTTGAAAATAAAATATTCATTATAAAAAATATTAGAGTACTGTAGCATCTAAATTTTAACAACAAATATATTACAAATAATATTGTATATATCAAACCAATTTTGTCCATGGTTGTTCAAAACATCAAAGACTAATTCGATTTTTCGATGGCATTATGATTTACAATTTTCATGGAGAGTTAGTTCTTTTGAATTTTTATTATTTTTTACAACTATTATTATAGTGTTAATAAACATATTCAATAAAAAATACTCCCTCCGTTTCATATTACTTGTCATTCTAGAGAGATTTTTTGTTTCATATTACTTGTCGTTTTGTATTTCCAATGTAGATTAATGATATATTTTTCAGTTTTATCCTCATTTTTTTAGTTTATTAATTATTTCTATAAAAAAAACTAAGTATTAAATGAGAGTAAAATAGCAAATTTAATGAATTTCTTAATATGTGTGAAAATCTCTAGAACGACAAGTAAAAAGAAACAGAGGGAGTATTATATAAAATGAGTTTCCGCGCGATTTCGCGCGGGTTCAATTCCTAGTTTATCCAAATAGAAACCGTTAAAATTTCGAGTCGGTTTTAGGTCGATTCTTCTCGGATCCGGGTTTAATGATTCTTACTTGTTAATAAATGTGAAATAACCGAATAATTTTGGATATCAATCAGATTCAGGTATATTTCAGGTCTTTTACCCATTTCTACCTGTCTTAAACTTTCTTTACCATTTCTATCCGTTATAACCAGTTTTTACCCGAAAAACAGAACCTCACAACACATGAACACAACTACACAAGTTTGATACAAAGCTTGTACATAATCAGTCGTACACCAAGAGACAAAAACAAAAGAGAACAAAGAGACACATTATAGCCATCAAGGTTTAACGACACAAACTCACAAAGTATCGAAGTTTAAAACACAAAAGAAACAAAAACAAAATAGAAAAATATTAATTCTTCTATCACAAAGACACAAAGACACCAACTCATCTATTCTTCATGACACTGGTTCCATAAACTTTCGGACAATCGGACCATTAAACTTCATTCCCTCACCGAGTCTCTTCTTATAAAACTACATTACACATGAATCACACACTAAGTTAAAGACTCAAAGAGATAAAACAAGTTGTATTCGGTTTTAGAAATCTAGTTAGTACTTACCAAGGACTCAAGGCGCTTTGAAGATGAATGCGGGTTCAAATTATAAAAGAGAAAAAATAAAACGATTCACTGAAGTTAGTAACATTCCTATAAACTGTAAATCTAAAATGAAATTGCTATAAGAAATTATGAATATAAATTACCTCTCATGAGATTATCTTGAATCTCTACATCCGCTAGCAGCTGTTCCTTTTTTATCAATCTGTCATTCATTCTAAGCTCATATTTCATCCATTGGTCAAGACACATCAAAACTTCAATCGTGTAATGAGTCAAGCAGCTTCTATGTGGTTCTAAAACTCTTCCTGAGGTACTAAAGGCTGATTCTGAAGCAACTGAAGACACTTGCATTGCAAGTATATCTCTAGCTATCACGGAGAGAACCGGAAACTTTGGAGTGTTCACCTTCCACCTAGAAAGCGCATCGTAATATGTCCCGTCAAAAGAAATTGGATTCTCAAGCTTCTCTTTTAAGTACAAATCCAACTCATTCAGCTTCTCGAAGATGGAGGTTTTCAAGAACCATTTACAAGAACCATTTTCTGAGAAGCTTCTTCTCTAGACTGGCCTGAACGAGTAGACGCTTCATTTGACTGCGCCAATGAACCTGATTCACCACTTTCATTCTTGTTTAGTGCACTGATATACTCGTCAAACAGATTCTTGAAAATATTCAACACTTCCTCTTTGAGATCATCAGACTTCGGACCTTTACCATAAAGCTTGTCAAAACGTTTCTCAATAAACTTCATCTTCTTGCTTGGGTCAAACACGGCTGCTACAAATATCAGCTTATTCATCTCTACCCTTTTATCAAATGGATCCCAATACTTGCTTAGTTTCATCAACATTGAGAAGGATTTCTCACGTAATGCTTCATCAGGACCAGGATTAATACTTAGCAAAGAGATGTTTGTAGTCATAGTCACAATCGCATGATATAACTTGTGAGAGCAAACAGTGTTTGAAGCCGAGAGAACCAAAGTGGCTTTGTAGAAGATAATGAGGAATTGGACTAACCTGTCAGCCGAATCCTAATCATCTTTGGTTGGTGGTCCAACCTTTTTTTTACCTCCACAACATCCTTGAAGTATTTGATATACGAAAAATCAAGCTCATGCATCTTGTCAAATGCCATCTGAACTTCAAATCTTGGTCTAACATCACATAAGTCGAATTCCATCTAGTCTTCACATCTAGAGGCAAGCTTCCTCTTTGAATCCTTCTTGATTCCACATGATTCTCAAATGCCTTGAGCCTAGGTGTGGAAGATCTTACAAAGTAAATGCCATTACGGATAGCATTCACATTGTTAACTATCTCCATCAGACCTTCTTTTCACAATCAAATTAATGATATGAGTAGCACACCTTAAATGGAGAAAGTCACTGTTCAGAATCACCTCATCATCTCCTATCTGCTTGAACTCTTCCTTGAATGTCTCCATGGCATTAATGTTAGCTGTGGCGTTATCAACGGTAATGCAAAATACTCGCTTGATGTCCCACTTAGCCATACAATCAATAAGAACCTTACCTATAGTTGCACCTTTATGATCATACACATTCTTGAATCCAATGATAAGCTTCCTTAGTTGCCACCAAGCATCAACGAAATGAGCTGTTATAACCATATAACTAGCTCATGTATGAGGCGCGACCCAAATATCTGTAGTCAGACACAATCTCTACTTATTATCATCGAGAATCTTCTTCATCACAACTTTCCTTTGGACATACATTCCACAATGTCTCTTGTAGCTATTCTTCTAGAATGAGGATCGGGCAACTTAGTTTTAGAGCAGAAATGTTTCCATGCCAAGCTCTCAATGAAAGCTAAAGGCAGCTTGGCTAACACCATCATTTCATTAGAAGTTTCCCTAACCACCTTATCAGACATTTTACAAAGCCGAAGACCACCATCAGAACCATCACGGGATAACACCGTTTGATCTTTCTTTCAACTATTAACAGCTTTCCACACATTGTAAGCCTTGCAAGAGACCTTGTAATGTTTCTTCAGATTAGATGTGCCATTGCCAGATGGACCGGTAAACACCTTCTTGCAGTAGTTGCAAATTGCTTTTGTCTTGTCGTTATCAGGTCTTTCGAAGTGATCCCATACATCAGACTATGACTTTTGCTTCATAGCACTTTCTCCTTCTGTTTTTTTTCTCTTACCTTTGCCTTTGTTCTTTGTAGGCAGTGGTGGTGTTGGTGAGGTTTCAGTAACATCGTCGGCGGTCTCTGATCCACTACCATCATTCAATCGTGGTTCTTCACAAGAAACCATTTGGGCAAGCAAACAAAGCCAAGCAGTCATGATTCAAGTTTCAGGGCAGTACTATGTCTATAACGAACAACAAATTGGTAAAGAAAACAAGAATACATCAGCGTGAAACTCAAGTCTAGTCTACAATCACTCTATCAAATATCAATCAATCACATTAGTCTAGTAATTTTGTTCTTCGTTCTTAGTTCTTACAATCAAATCGCATAAGTCTATAAACAAAACTGAATCAAAGTGAAATTTGAGACCAGCAAAAGAACAACATCAAATCAAAACTGAAAGAAGGAAGAGAAGAACATCGATAAATCAAAATTGCATACCTTTGATCGATTTACAGACGTCTCTGATGAAGGAAACGTTGAGAATCTGTAGGGTGGAGTTTCCAGTTTGTCTTAATTGAATGTGTAAACTGTAAAGGGGATTATAGACGAATTTCAAAAAGTTTTGTCGACAACTTTTCTGACGTAGTAAAGTCGTGGCGGACAAAACAATGTCGGAAATAAAACGGTCATAAAAGGGTTCCTATATTATGTCGGTTCTAAATAAATACTCACGGGTAAACGGTAATAACCGGAACCGACCGAGAACAGTGAGTATGGAAGAAAAATAACCAACATGTGATTTAGGCTTCAACCAATACTAACCGGAACCTGGTTTTTTCGGATCGGTTCCTGGTCAGGTCCTTCGAGTCGGTTTTTTCGCCCAGGCCTACAAAGCATATTGACTTGAAACATGGTGACGTTTTCTCCTTCACACCTATCATCATTGTCTCAAAAACTCAATCAGATTATTCAATTTTTTTTTTTTAAATAATTAGTTGCTTTTAAAAACGATTAAAAAAAAAAGTTGAAAGACAATAATAAGAGCTTTGATTGAAACGTTAAGCATTGTAAAAACATTAATAGAAATATAATACTATTTTTTTTGAAATAAGTGCATATAATATTAAACAACACAATTGTAGATTGTATATAGGGTTAATTTGCTGTCTAACCATATTAGATATCCTTTTTTAACCATATTGGATATCCTAATAAAGAATATAACCATACTTTTTAAAAAATTAAGTCACTAACAAACAGAATTTTTTACTAGTCCATTCTCTTCTTCCACACATACATTAATTACACTTTTCACACATACATTAATTACACTTTACCCTTATGTTCTCTGTTACTATTATGTTCTCTATACTAGATTAATTAATTTTCTGTACTATTTCTTTGTAAATAATCAAAAATAAAAGCATAATGGAATTGATAAGAACATTATACATATATAAGGTTTTTCAAAATTGGGATGTTATAGAAGAACGAAACCCAAAATACAAAATCCCAAATATAAATTACAAACCCAAAAACTAAATCTTAAACCCAAAAATCTAAATCCTAAACCCCAAAAAACTAAACCTTAAATCCAAAGCCCAAAATATAAACCATAGACCCTAAATAACAAAAAACTAAATCCTAATCTAGTAAAAATAACTCTAAACCCAAAATATAAAGCTTAAACCAAAAAAAAACTAAACCCAAAATATAAACTCTGAACCAAAAGAAAACCCTAATTTAGTGGAAAGAACCCTAAATTTAAAATTAACTTTGTATCTAAAATATTAAACCATAAACCTAAGTTGTTTGTTATACTATACAGGGAAAATAGTATAGACTACCATATGTATATTCAGAATTTCCTATCACCCTATGTCTCTCTGTCATTGTTATCATTTCAATAACCTCATTGGATTTGATCACCACTGTCAAATTGATTTGTGTAACATTAAACATATGACTAGATTGCATAATAATATCAATTTGTTTGACTAAGTTATGTGGTTATATGATTAGAGAAATGTACAAGTTATTGCTCATCAAACCATATAATTTGGTTAGAGAAAAGATGTAGAGAGAAGAGATAAAGGTCATGAGAAAAAAAATTGAAAGATTCATGAAAGAAAAGAAGAAAGAAAGGGGAAAGAGAGAAGAGAGAGAAAATGATAGGGACAATTTGGTATATGTTGCAGAAATTACATCCAATATCATAGCCATCACTGTGCTATTGTTAGATTCTTAATTATGGGTGACAATATTGTCATCTATTGCAATTTCCCTTGTATCTAAGCACTTTTTGTTTTTTTTGTTTTGTTTTTTTAAAGCACTTATGAACAGAAACATACAACAAAAGAAATAAAAAGGAAACAACACAATCAAAAATTGTATTTAATGATGTTACAATAATCCATTGCATTTTGTTTGTTCATACAACTAGATATGATAAAATATTTTTCAAAACAATGAGTTATTATAAGGAACCATAAGTCAATTACCCAAATTTGCATCTTAGACTATTTACAATGATTTTTTTCTTCAACACCCTACTTTATACTCCACATCATCATCTCTCTCTTCCACCTCATTATTCAACACCCTCTTCAACTTTTACTATCTACAATGATTTTGTTTAATAATATACAACATATTATCCCACATTTTTGTTACATATATTTATTTTATTTTAATGTTTATGTTTTCTTATTTTATATTAATAAATAAATAATTAAACTAAAATAGTGAAATAAACTAAAACAAAGTTGTTGTATTTTTTTTAAAAATGATTATATGAAACTTGAATTTTTAAAACTTACTCCCTCCGTTTTTTTTAATGAATTTTCTAGCCATTATGTGTTGTTTCACAAAGATAAAATTTTTACCTTTTTGATGCACTTTTTCAGTTTTCAAGATACAATGATTATATTTGTTGGATTTTTATTGGTTTAAAATTATAAAAAGTTGTTTTATTGCAGAAATCTATGCACTAATGATTGAAAATCAACTTTTTATTAATCTGTGTGAAAAAACTAGAAAATTTATCTTTAAAAAACGGAGGGAGTACATAATAATAAAAAATATAGAAGATGTGTTTTTTTTTTCTGTGTCCGAATGAAATGAAATAATTCTCTATTTATAAAGGATAAAAAATGATGAATTTTGGTATAAAATTTATAGTTTTAAAATTTAATTTTGAAGGAAATAATTGAGCTCAAATAATTTAGGGGAACAAAAATATCAGAAATCTCAGTAATCAATCATATATAGACATGTGTCATTATTTTATCTCTATATATTTGAGACACAACTTTTGTCACACGCTTCTATATGCGAATTATAATTTGGCACATCTCTTTAGTGGGACCCAATTTTTTGTTATCAACATGTTGTAAATTTTCAACACCGATTTTGTCAAATCATTTAAGAGGTAGTTTCAATAGACTCACTAAAGACACTTCAACTGTTGAATATTATTATCAACAGCCACATTGCACATAGTCTTATGAAGAGTAAAACGATAAAGAGACACAAGTTGTGGATGAACAAACAAAATGCATTTGATACTCACTTTACAATTATTCATAATATTATTTGAAACATGTGTGACTGTTATTATTATACTCTTATAGAATAGTTTTTCAGAAGTTTCCATGTTTTCATTATAACTTTTTGTTTTGTAAATTTTTACTTAAAACCATTATATTAACATTTACAATAATACAATGGATAGTTGTGAATGTTATTATAATCACTGAATGTTATTATAATCACTTAAAACCATTATAATAACATTCACAAGTAACATTCACAATAATAACAGTCACAACCTATCTAATATTATTGTGATTTTTTTTTTTTTGCACAGTTATTGTGAATGTTATTATAATGGTTTTAAGTAAAAATTTACAAAACAAAGAGTTATTATGAAAACATGCAACTTCTAGAAAAAACATTCTAGGAGTATCAAAAGTAGTTATAAGTGAAAGGTATATAATAAAGATGATGATAATGAAACACGCGTCTATGATACATTTGATAGGATTGTTATGGTTAGAACTGAAAAATATACAATGATGAAAAAAATCGATTCTACAAAACATTTTTTCACATTATAAAAGATACATAATGAATACATTTTTCATAGTAATAATTTTGATATCTTTGAGAATGCGAATGTAAAATATATGGGGATTTGTTACAATATATATATGTGTGTATATGTATATTTCAAAAGTTGGAGAAAGCTACAAACATTAGGCACTCAAAATTATTCGATAAAGATTATACTTCCTCGTTTTTTTTATGATGAATTTTCTAGACATTATTTGTTGTTTCATAAAAATAAAATTTCTAGCTTTTTGATACACTTTTTCAGTTTTTTTTAAGGAACATTAGTTGTATTTGTTAGACTTTTATTAATTGAGAATTATAAAAAGTTGTTTTATTGCAAAAATGTATGCATTAATGATTGAAAATCAGTTTTTCCTTAATATGTCTGAAAACTCTAGAAAATTCATCTTAAAATGAAACGGAGGGAGTATATGGTTTCTTCTACATCTATGAGCAAAACATCATTTACTTCGATTAAAGTGGACAATATTTTATTCACCCCTTTCAATAACTAATATTTGGCAAAGATTTCAGATTTCATATTAGCAATTAAAAATAAGTGACAGAGTACAGTAACAGATACAATCATAAGAGGAGTGTATTACACTATGAGTGACTTTTCTCACTTTGTTTACATAAAGAGTGACATTTTGATTGTGGTAGACTTTTTTTTGTCTTGTTGTGAGGTGAGAGTTCTGTTTTACCCTTAATGAGGAAGGAGATGAAACTTGGTAAAAATTCATAATATCTCGTGGGCGTTAAATCTAACTCCGGCGACGGCAGACCACCGAAATAGTTTCGGACATGTTTTCTCGGACTTAAAATAAGTTGGTCGGTGTTTGGTTTTACTCCCGGCGACTGCAAACCTGTGAGATCGATTCCGATATAGATTCTGGGACATATCGAGAGTTCAGTAGTGCCGCATGAGTTGGAGTGAGAAACGGAGGGATTGTCGAGATAATATGATATTCGCTCATGTTGTTTTTGGGGTTAGTTTGTTTTTTGTTTGATCTAGGTTCATTTGTTATAAACAGACATGGATCTTGTATTTGGGTGTGTTTTCTGTAAAAAATGTTTTTGGACAATTTAAAGCCGGAACGAATAGTTATGTGGTTGGACTTTGGACAATCTTCTCGTGGACACTTTGTGGTTATGTACAGTCTTAACGGAGAGGAGAGCATGGTAGTTTTCATGTACCCAGAATTTGGTTTTGTGATAAGTTAACCTGAGTAGAGAAGTGAAAATAAAAGAGAGCTCCTTGCAATTACGGAAACAAGAAGATAAAACAGAGCTCCTTGTGTACCATTATTTTGTGGATATGGAACTGGTTTTTCTTCCAGGAGTATAGAACGAATGGAAGCAAATATCTGATGAGAATTCAATATAAAACAATTACACAAACATAATATGAAACAAACTATCCACATCAAAATTGTTGACACTAGGTAAACAAACTATCCAAATTGAAACTGTCCACACTATGTCTACTACTACTGCGAGCCTCTTTGGTTATCTTCTTGCTGAGTCTTTTAAGATCAAACCCGATGTATCCAGTTTCCAACTCGTCTAAGTTGCTGTGTAATAGCTGAAGTGATGGTAATATCACACCATAGAACTCACTGATGGTTGCTTTCCTTCCCTGTGTGGTAAGCTTAGGTTGTCCATCAGAATAAACCTATATCAAGAGAAAGATGACAACAATGGCGGAAAAACGAGAAATTTCAGTCAAAACATCGAAAGGAAGACGCTTTTACATCAGAAGGACAAGAACTAACCTTGTAGACAAGAACATGGAAGAGGTTTAAGTAGCGAAGAACGAAACATGAGCAAGAAAGATCAATCCACCGAAGCAAGATAAGTAAAAATGAAGCAAAGTTACTATGAACTAGTTTCATCTGAAGGCGCACATTGTTCTTCCCCATTGGAATTGCTTCTGCCCTGAAACAATAAAGCTCAGAATTCTCATAGACAATACAGCGAACATAACATGCGCAATAATCAACAACAACTCCACTGTTACAATGTGAAACTGTCCACACTAGTTAAACAAACCATCCATTAGAACTATCCACAACGAAACTAAATGATAAGATCAAACTACCCACAATGATAACATAATCAGTGTAATTATCTCCAACTGATTATGTATGCAAATGTATCTTGAGTCCACATCCAACTATCCATAAGCGAATACAAATTCATTGGACACAAATTTGATAGTAGTGTGGATCCACCAAATCATCCAAATTAAACCATCCACTATAAAAACCTAAAACCATCCACAATATAAACCATCCATCAACTATAAAAACCATCCAAATTCGTACCTTCCAAATCAGAGAGAGAGACAGTAATCGACAAATCCCAGGAAAAATCAATACCTTTGACGTTCAGTCCGAGACCAAAAGGGGCGACGAAAACGAAGACAGTGGCTAGCTCATCCGTTGAACGGTGACGAAACTAGAGTTTGTCGGTATGGCAGAAAGAGACTGTCGAGAGAAAAGAGGATATAAGGAGTTGTCACTAGCCATGTAGAAGTCTGAATCGTGAATTATGGTGGGAATCGAGTAGCCGAATCAAAGAAACCGTGAAGGATATTGCCCCACCAGATTTTTCTCCTCTGAAAAATGGAACATATCTGGGACAGGATTTAGAGGAAGAACTTGATGATCCGTCGTCGGCCGTGAAAATGGTGATGTTTCGTCGGTGGTGAAAATAAGAGGCGATATGTTTTTAACGGAGAGAAGAAGTAAAACAAATTGTCGTGAAGGGTAAAAAAGAAGAAGAATAGGGCCATTGGGTAATTTTGTTTGGGCAAAGTCCACCACTTTCAACTTTCTGTAATTACAAACTCAAAAAGTCCCTCCAAGTGTAATTCTTTCATCATAAGAGAGACACAACAGAGTACATAGCTCCCAAATACATGGCCCCAGAGTATATGGCTCCCGAATATTTAAACCCGGAATATATGGCTACCCAATATATAGCCCCCGAATATATGGCTCCCGAATATATGGCTCCAGAGTACATGGCTCCAGGCTCTATAACTGTCTAAAGAAAATATTAAACAAGAAAGTTGAAAGACAAGACAAGAAAGTTCAAACATTATAAGTATTGTACAAACATTAAGAGAAACATAATATTATTTTCAGGTGACCATTTATAATACTAAGCAAAACAATAGTAGATTGTATTTAAACAATTATGAAAAAAAACATAACACGGAAAAAGTTAAGATTAAATATTACAATAAAAAAATGTATTTAATTATTATTTTTATTAATCCATTGTATTGTGTTTGTTCATACATATTTGTTTTATCAGTTATTGTTTCTCTTTGAGAAAACATCTCGATGTTATACATATTTCCACATATATTTTATATTCACTTTTGATAATATATTACTTCTTAAAAGTATATATTGTTGTTTAGTTTTAACAATGAGATTTTTTTTTAAAGTGGAATATTTTCATATTTCTACATTTGCACTTCTAATATTAAAACAATGTAATAGGATCATGATTTGTTTTAGTTATACTAATTTTTTTTTTCTGTTTTATAGCTTTTCTGTTTCATGCTCATTTTTTCTGTTTTATAATCCAATAATACTTTTTTTTTGAAAAATCGTTTTCTTTTTAAAACATAATTCTAAAAATTTCTTTGAAATGTTAGGTTTATATTGTCATTGTTTTCCATGTGCTTTCACATATAACTGTTTTAGTAATTTTAACTATGTTTTCAAATTACGTTTTTTCTCATAATTTTAGTATTACTGTTTTCTCATATAAATATTTTCATATTTTTTTTCTCTATTTTCAAAGACAACTGTTTTCAACACTATAAAAAGTATATATAGATGGTTGCATATTTTCTTCATAACTTTTTTTTTCTCTTTACAAAAAAAAAATATTTAAAAAATTTTCATCAGTTTATCATAACAATTCGATATCTTTTCATTTATAAATAAATTTTAATAATTAAAAAAATTTTGCTCGTGCAATTTTATAATTTAACATTTTCATTTTTACCTCTACAAACTGGAATCATATTTAAAATATATTCGAGTCTCATTTGGAATATGAGATCCGAGATTTAGAGATAGTCTCTTTGGAGTGCATTGTTGAATTCATCAATATCTATATATATAAAGTTTTACCTACTATTGGATTGAATTGGAGTCGAACCAATTACCATTGCCCTATCAAAGATTATCTTCTCAAGTTGACACCTCAACAAAAGAGTGTGTCTCTAAATTAATCATTTCAGCACAAATATGAAATATTTAGTATATCATATTTTCTCCTTTTTTAAATTTTTATAATAGTTATCATTTATTAAATAGGCTTAACAAGAATATGAAAAGTAATTTACAAAAAAGAGAAAGATTTTATATAAATCTATAAAAACTATTATTTAATACTCCATTTGTTTCATAATATAGGGGGTTTAAGGTTTTTGCACACAAATTAAGAAGCCATTTAATTTTTGTACTTTTTGAAACAAAATATATTTTATCATCAATTCCAAAACATTTCAACCAATAAAAAACGAATCTGCAGAAAATAAATAATCAAAAGTAACAAAAACACATTTAATTTTGCATAGAAACTCTAAAACCCCTTATATTTTGAAACAAAAAAAAAATTCTAAAACCCCTTATATTTGAAACAGAGTGAGTAGTTCTCAAGATATTACAGAAAGAATATTTTTTTTTTTAGTATTTTGAGACACAATGAGCCGAGACCGGCATAACGAAACAAAAAAACAGAACCCGAAAAGAGGGGAATTTTGTCTACTTCTTTTTATATTAAATGATGAGACGGAATGTAAAGGAACATAAAAGGACATGATAGAACAAGACGGATATTTCGCCTACCTCTAAATATATTTAGGGTTATAACAAGAAGAAACGAAAGAAACATAAAGAGACAAGACAAGACGGAAAGGAACGAAATGGGATATGATTGGATTGGACGAGACAAGACGGACATGTTGGATAAGACGGGATGAAAAGAAACGGAATGGAACGAGATTAGACGAGACAAGATGAAAAGGGATATTATGAGACAGGACTTTCGCATACCGCTAATTATATTTATGAACGGGACATAGATAGGACAAAATGGAAAGGAACATAATATGATAAGATGAGACTGGACGGGGAACAGAAGGAACGGGATAAGACAGGACGGACGGGGAACAGAAGGAACGGGATAAGATGAGAAGAAACAGAAGGAACGGGATAAGACATAACAAAATGGAAAAGAACATAATGGGATATGATGGGATTGGACGGGATGGGAAAGATAGACATGATGAAAATGAACGAAATAGAACAAGATGGAACAAGATTGACAAAAATTTTGCCTAACCCTAATTATATTTAATTATTGTGTGTATATTTTTAAACAATAATAAACCAGAAAATAAATTATATTTGTAAAAACAATAAAATTAATGCAACAATATAAATTCTCGCGCGAAGTGCGGCTCCCCCTAATAAATTATATTTTGCAGAATCACAATGAAAAAATCTGAGTATAGCCTTTACTCCCACCAGTTCCTCAGATATTAGAGTCTTGGTGGGACTATGAAAACACATGACTCTCTCCTCGTTATGATCATGGGATTGTCAATTGGAATTTTGTTGTAGATGAGATCAATTGAATACCAACATATTATTAGCCAGTAAGACACAATCAGCTTCGAAGAGATCCAAGAAGCCGTACATTGTGATTCTGAAACATGTGATGTGATAGTTGTATCTTTTCATAAGAACAAACAACAAGGAAGGTAGAAAGTTTATTCTCAATTGCTTTATTAGTCAAAGCATCACTTGAACTAGAGCTCAGTCAAACTAGCTGCAGTTATTAAATTGAGTTTTTTTTTTGTTTTTTAACTATGAGATAATATGTTATTATTTTAAGAAAAAATTACATATTTGAACAAAAAACGCTATAGAAAAATATAATATCATTTAGAACAAGATCAATGTTGAAGACGCATTTATAATAACAAATACTCTCTCTGTTTTAAAAAGGATAAATGTTTTATAAAATAAATTGTTTCAAATATGTATTTTATATATTTCTTTTATATATATATATGTTAAGTGTGTATTTAGTAAGTCTGAAAAACCTTAAACATCCATCTTCTTGATAAATGAGTATGTTATATGGACTAAGCATTTGTTCTCTCCGAGATACTTGATGTTTGTTAATGCGTGATAGAAATAAGTTTCAATACTATTATGACGTATACATTTTTCTAAAAAATATATGCATAGAATGAATATTCTTATTGTATGGAAGGTTAAACATGTTTTTTTTTTTTTTTTTTTTTTTTTTTTTTTTTTTTTTTTGTCAACAGCCTCTGTTCCTAGACCAGTTCGGGTATCCAAATTGGGGAACCAAAGTTTACATAATACACATCAGTAGGTAGAGCTTTGCCTTCGTGTTTTCCTTTCGTGGAATTTGCACAAAAGAGAAAGAAGAGAACAGCCTCCTGCATCGATTAACCTCTTCTAGTAGGAGCGTGAAAGCCAGCCAATCCTCCGGTGCAGACACCATCTGCACCACATTAGAGCAGTCCGTCTCAAACTTCATTGTTAACTTGTTATGTCTTAGCATACATTGCATGGCCCAAATAAGAGTCTCCACCTCTGTTTTAAGTGGCAATAAGCCCCTCTGTAGGTTACACGTTCCCATAAGTTTGTCATTATTATCCGTATGAAAATTATACCAACCCAAGCATGCCTGGCTCTCTGTCACTTTCCAAACTCCATCCACCTGACATCTTTCCCCTACATATTGTGGTTCCACTGGGTTATCCGCAGTCCTACCACCTCTTGTCGTTGCTTGGCCTTGACCCATGCCAAAGCCTCTACAGCCGCTTGGTTAATTGTCTCATTTGTATCCCAATCCTCATTAGAGAAAACCTTCTCGTTATGAGCTTTCCAAATAAACCAAATTAATCATGGGTATATCCTCATTCTATCATTGTTTGGCAAATGCCAAAAGAAGTGAACCATGTTGGTAAATAAGCTTTGTGTGGGAAAATGGTTGGGAAGCGTCGGAATTGGCGATAATGCCCAAACCTATAATGCGGTTAAACATGTTTTTTATTTTAAGATTTGTTACAGCGGAATAATTGAACTTTTTCACATATCCTGCATGTTGACCAATTTGCATTTTTCTAGATATTTAATTGAATTATTTTCCAATTTTCCAATTTTTATGAAAATATTATACATCACATTTTATGGTTGTTGGGAAACAAGTTCTAGTTTTCCAACTATGATTTTGCAACATAAAACAAATAAAATAATAATCAGTTGATTTATTAAAAAGATTAACCAAGAAGAAATGGGCCTAGCATATCGGCCCATTTAAACATCAAATTTTAAACGGACTGGCCCATTTATATTTATTAACGAAACTGGATGAGAATCTGTCTGTTACAGTTCTTCGTCTTCATTGTTCTTCTTCTGTTTTGTTCTGTTCTTCAGAAGTTCTGTACAAAGGCAAAATCGAAAACTTTGGCGCTTTGATTATTCCGTTTTCCAGTTAAAGGGTTTTTTAGGTTTTCAGTTTCCCCAGTAAGATGTGTGGTAGGGCTCGATGTACTTTGAGACCTGAAGATGTCCCAAGGGCTTCTCACCGCCATGGCGTTTCTACACGTTTTCTTCACCTCGACCGGTCTCTTTCTAATCTCTTCTCTTCGATTTCAATTTAAATTTAGTATCTGTTTGCAAAAGGATTCACTTTTAAGACTCTGAAGCAGTTATCGTCCTTCTTACAATGTTGCTCCTGGATCTTACATACCGGTTTTGAGAAGAGACAGCGAAGTTGTTGGTGATGGTGGTGTTACTGTTGAGTGTATGAAATGGGGATTAGTCCCTAGTTTCACTAAGAAAACTGATAAGCCTGACTTCTTCAAAATGGTAACTTTCTTTTGATTCTTGTGTGTAAATGTTTATTGAAGATTTAGTTTCTTACATGTTTTTGTTTTGGTAGTTCAATGCTCGGTCTGAATCCGTAGATGAAAAACCATCTTTTCGCCGATTGCTTCCAAAGAATAGGTGTCTTGTTGCAGTTGATGGGTATCTTTTTAACTATCTTCTTCTTGTTTCATTGTCTTGTGAAGATATCTTAAAACTTATATGTCTCCGCTGAAATTACCTGAAGAAATTTTTTTCAGTTTCGACAATGTTACTGTCTCTACTCATTTAATGGTGTTTAGTGTTTACTCTTCTGATTCTGTATAAATTATGTCGAGCTTATTGAAAACATTGCTATTTGCATACTATACAGATCCATCCATGTCGTTTATCATCAATGTGTAATGTTTTTAGGATCACAAAGCTAATTTCTGATATTATGTCATTGTAGTTTGTTGTGTATCTTTTTTTTGTTACACATATAACATGCTAACTTGTAACTATAGCTCAAAAGTCTTTGAAAAAAGGAACTTACAGTTTGAGATTGGTCTTTTTTGTTGAAGGTTCTATGAGTGGAAAAAGGAAGGTTCGAAAAAGCAACCATACTACATCCATTTTAAAGATGGGAGGCCTCTTGTCTTTGCTGCTCTTTTTGATTCTTGGCACAATTCAGGAGGTAAAATCGTTTTTGATACTCTAAACTTTCATTAACCTTTCACATAGGTTCCAAAAGTTTATCCTTTGAAGGTCTAATTCAATGAAACTGATGAATTCAATCTTTGGTTAAGGTCCTTTTTGAGTTTAGGAAGTGAGTGACAGTTACCTTTTTACTTCTTTTCCTTTGCAGGAGAGACACTTTACACCTTCACGATTTTGACAACCTGTTCCTCGTCGTCCCTCAAGTGGCTCCATGGTGAGTAAAACTAATAAACACATTGGGAAATCTGTTTTGCTTATTCATTTTTCTCACTAGTTTTGTGGTCTTAGTAGCACAATGGAACCCTTAAAGCTTTGAGTTGCTTGTTATTTCAACACATTAACAAAGATATGAGACTTCAAGTATCATACTAGTATTGATTTGTTTCTGTCTTCTTGCTACATCTAATTTGGAGAAAGCTTATACATGAGCCTGCTGCATGAAAATAAACGTTTGTTTGATTTGCACAAGTCCTAAATTTAATGTTTCTTTTCCACTGAAGACAGAATGCCAGTAATCCTAGGTGACAAGGATTCAGTAGACACATGGTTAGATGATCCAACAACTCAGAAACTGAAGCCATTACTTACACCATATGAGAACTCTGATTTGGTAAAGCTTTTCTTAGTTCCTCTGTTTCCCTGTAATAATGGTCTTTCTTTCCTTTTTCACACATTCTTGAGGATTGAACTTTGCAGGTTTGGTATCCAGTAACCTCTGCAATTGGTAAACTATCTTTTGATGGACCAGAGTGTATACAACAGGTATGACTAAACCAGTTACCCTTTTGTTTATGTTACGTTTTTGTACACTTTGCATACTTATTATCTTATCAAAAGTGTATGCCAACATGCAGATACCGCTAAAGTCTTCACAAAACAGCTTGATCTCCAAGTTTTTCTCAACAGCAGAGAAACTAGACAAAGAAACCAAATCGGCATATGTGAAAGAGGAACCTACGGTTGAAGAAGTAGATGAAGAGAAAGATAGATCGAACGAAGCCAAGAATCTTGGTTTTCAAAAGATTGTGAACGCAGAACCGGTTCTTGAAGATAACTCAGCTGTTGCATCATCCCATCTTGAATCTGTGAAGAGTGAAGTAGTTCAGGGGAATGCAAATGGAGAAGGGAAATCTACTAAAGAAACTGGTGAAAGCAATGACATCATACCGACTGAGACCGAGACTCAAGGCCATGGCTTTACTACAATTGAGGAATTGAAGCAGCTTGAGCACCAGCAAGAGGCTGTTGAAGATAAACCAGGGAATGAAAACCAGAAGACTTGCCAGACCAAGAAGGAAGGTGACTTAGAGTTTAGCAAGAACTCTTCAGGAAAGAGTGGGACAAAGAGAGACTATGAGGTGTTCTCAGCTGAGAAGCCATTGAAACAAGGAAAGAAGCAAGGAAAAGGGAATAAGGCTAACAAGATAAAGAAATCTAATGAGACGCAGTCTACATTACATTTCTTTTTCGATGGGAAATAAGTTCGTGTCTACATAACATCTATGAGGACCATGCTGATGTAACTATATAAAGGGTTTTTGGAAATGTCTATGCTTTGTATATATGTTGTGCTTGTCTTCTGCTTGATCTTTTGATCTAAGTTAATAGTGTAATAGGAACTTGTTAACAGCATACGCAAGAATGGGATTAGATGTGTTTCTTGTTCTTCTTGATGAAAGTCTTTATATGTGTTTGCAACTCTTTCTCGAGTTCAAGAACGAGTTTGAGATTCAGAAATCCTCATGATTGTTATATTGATGATCATAACCTTTTATCCGAAGACGAAGTCATGGGCAAGTAACATCGATTGTTGCCTCCTTGTCAAGCCTCATTCTAATAATAGTCTTTTTGAGGCTTAAACACTTTCGTTTTAAAAACCACTAGTCAATCTTTGGGACATTTTGACTTTCCCATTTCAACACTCAAGGCTTAATTGTCTTTACTATCTTCTGGAATCTCAAGTTGCTCCAAGAACCTTAGATTATCTCATTTGAGCACATTCGATCTTAATTATCATTTATTTATTTTTTTTATTTTTATTTTTTATAGACCCTATCGGCTTCCGGTTAGTCCTGGTAGGAACGCACCGAGATACTACAAAGTGGACTCTTCTCTTGGTTTAACGGTTCAAAGGACACAAGTCATGAGATCCATGATATCCAAATTTGGGCTAGCACACTGCATGTCCCTGTCCGGAGTTTGGAATGCCTTCCGACTAATGTCAGGGGATAATCAGACTGCCTTACCAGGTAAACCAATTGGGTCTATGCCCAACCTACTGTTTCTGATTACCAGGTAATTATCATTTATCAAGTAAGAGCTGTTATAATATGATCAAATAGTCTTCATGCACGGTTGGGTTTTATTTTATTTAATACAATATACAGGGAACTTCTTTCTCAACCTCTCGTTTGATCTTGTCACATATTACCACAGATATATTGAGTTTTGGGTTATATTTTGTATAAACAAGTAAGAACAAAAAAGAGCAAAACAAAACGTGAGCTTTGGGTTATATTATGTATAAACAAGTAAGAACAAGAAAAAGCATATATATAAAATGCAGATTGTGACTCAAACTTTTAGGACCGCACTTGTGGACGCAACAAGTAGTCTGTAAACACCCAAAATGATGAAGGCAACAGATGGTGATAGTTGAGACAGTGTCCACAAACTCAAGAGACGTGGGCAAGACATAGGCGGCTTTGAAATTTAATCATTTTCAGTCACTAAGAAGTAAGAACATATATGGAATATTCTTTCTCCCTTCTTCTTTGGATAGGAAAAACAATCTTGCTAGTATTTCTTCGTTTAATAATGAGTGATGTTCAAATCTCACTTTTATGTTTAGTAAAAAAAAATGTTTATGATCCAAAAATATAACCACTAGTTTTAGTGGTATTTTAAGGTATTCTTCATTCTTTTTTTTTATAAGTTTAAGAAGTTGAAATTATATACCATTTATGGATAAGAAACTACAAAAGGGCATTGTAGAGAGGAGCGTTGGCACTAACTATCCACCGTAAAAGACAGCTAGTCGATTTAGAGCGTATCCAAAATAGTGAGAGATATTTCAATTCCCCACAAACACAAGGTTAGTGACTTTACCATGTGGATTCAAGACCCATTTCATCATCATTAGTGTATTAGTCAATATACATTTCCTTACAAAAAAGTTATTCTATAGGAGACAAAAGTGAAGTGAAAGAGGAAATAAAAAAGTCAAATCCTTTTCTTAAAATGAGGATAAGATCATCCTCCACAATTAATATCGGATTTTGACATCTACAAGTAACTAAAAGATGGTGAAACTAGAAGTTGTCGACGTAGATGTGAAAATGTCTCTAGTAATGACACATCTCTATTAGTTTCATTCATTTTTTTTTTTTTTTTTTAGTTTCATTCATTTAACACGTCTCTTTAATAACTACGTACATTCACCTTTAATGTCTAATGAATATTAAGTTATTGAATGTATCATACCTTATTTTAATTTTATTAGACAAAAATATCATTACTACTGGCTCTTTTCTAGTCTGGTTGTTGGTCAATCACTAGGTTGCTTGCTAGAACTTTCGTTGTGACATGTGTTCCGTGAGAAAATCATCTTTCTAGGTTTCGGATAAGATGATCAAAGTACCACTGTAATACTATTAAAAAACAGATTAAAAATAACTGAAACATTTTTTTGGTGGGTTGTGTGGGAGACGAAGGTCTCCCACCTTTATTCAAAAGTAAAAAAGTAATAATTAAGTAATACAAACATTCTTCGGACACACATAACCTAAAACATCGTCCTGCAAAATCGAAACAACACACGCCGGAGCTATAGACAAACTAAAGAAACCAACCGGGAGAGGTAAGCATAGTTAGCTAATCCATCAGCTAAACGATTAGCCTTTCTATACACGTGAGAAATACGGACTATCTAGTCCCTTGCGATTAAGCCATGACACAAACGTACCAGAAAGGACAGCGGATGCGAATCGCCAATACCTGTCTTGAGAAAACCTACTACCAATTCCGAGTCGACCTCCAACTCTAGCCTTGAAACCCGCTACTCCCAAGCGATATAGAGTCCATAGTACACTCCCCAAAGCTCTGCTAAGGGCGATGTGCATCTCCCTATATTCAGCGCAAAATCTCCGCACCACTCTCCATAAGCATTACGTAAGGCACCTCCTGCGGTAGCTAAGCCAGGATTACCTTGTGATGCTCCATCGGTGTTCAGTTTCATCCAACCCTCATTCGAAGGCGTCCAATTTATCATCCTCTCCACCCGAGCCGGCTTGTTGCTCTGTATCTTGCACGCTGCTATAGCCTGCGTCACTTCCTTCGCCAAAATCCTTAAGGAACCGCACTCTGTCTCAACACTTTCCATTCACGCCAAAAACATTGTCATATCTCCACTTCCACCCCCACCAGGTAGACATAGCAAACAGAGTCGACTATGGTGCGCCATCCACTATGCTATCCTCTCCTAGATTCGCATACAACCAAGACAAAACTGGGCTTTCAAAGAACTCTCGCTGCTTCCGAGTAGGAACTAGTCTTGTCCAAATCCCCTTCATAGCCGGCTAGTCCCTAAGGATGTGGATTATCGTTTTGATACCTCCTCTACACACTTGACAGGTGTCGGAGTCACTAAGATGTCTCCGCTTCCTCTCGGCGTTGGTCATAATGCACTGATTTTCAACCATCCAGAGAAAGAGTCATACCCGTTCCGGTTCAGCCGCTCCCCAAATTCGAGCAAAAAAGAACTCCATATTTTGGCGTGGTGCCTTGTCTCGGGTTAATAAGCATACGCAGACCGCATTGTGAACTCGCCATATGGGTTTTCTGTCCAGGATAGGTTATCTTTTATGCATGTGATCGTATCTAATGCTACTGACCACATCTCCAAACGCACCGATTCTGATACAAACGGAGTAATCTTTTCCCACAACCACCCTGCTTTATCTTGTCAGAGGTCCCGTACAGTCGTCAGTTCGACGTTTCTGGTGCCACCTCTTCATCGGGACTAAACAACGACTTAGTTGAGAGCCACCTATCCGACCAAAATTTGATTAACCTGCCATCCCCGAAAATCCAGCCTAGACCCTCGAAGACCACTTCTCTTATACCCACCATGACGCTCTCCATGTCGACAACCAGTGGCTCTTTGTGATTGTCCAGTTTTATACTTGCTCCTAAGAACACAAGCCCACAGACTCGATTGATCTTGCATGATCCTCCACAGCCACATTCATTTCTTTCGCAGATCGTACCCCGAGCCCTCCCTCGTGTTTTGGGACAGATTTTATTCCAAGCTACAAGGTGCTGCTTCCTAGTTCACCCATCACTTCCCCACAAGAAAGACCGAGATAATTGGTCTAGCTTGTCCAAAGTAGTATTAGGTAACACAATGGTACTCATCGAGTGAATAGGGATAGCTGAGAGCACCGCCTTTGTGAGGGTAAGTCTTCCAGCCATACTTAACACCCTTCCCTTCCACCCCGCCATTCTCGCCGATACTCTCGCCACAACATCACCAAAAGTTTCCTTGTTCAAGCGTTTCTGAAATACTGGCATGCCAATATATCTATCCAAGTCACATGTTTGTTGTATACCACTAACTCCGCTGATCACCTCTTGACTCTCTGGGCACATTGGCAGAGAAGTAGATTTTCGATTTCTCTAAGCTTACTTTATGTCCTGAAGCGGCGCAAAACCTTTCCAAGACACTTCTAATAACTCTAATCTGTGTCGCTGATGCTTCAGCAAAGAGGATGAGATCATCCGCAAAGCACATATGCGACAACTTAGAGCCACCTCATGAGAGACTTATCGGTTTCCACTTGTTCTCCTTGATAGACTGTTCAATTAGGTGACAAAATCTTTCCATACATAGGACGAACAAGTACGGAGAAAGGAGGTCGCCTTGTCTTAGCCCCCGTGATGGCATAAACGATTGTCTTCTCCCCATTTCATAACACATGCATCGATGGACCCGTCACACACTGTAAAATCCAATGTACCCATCTCTCTGAAAAGCTAGCTGCGAATAGAGTGTCTTCCAAGAAATCCTAGCGAATTCTATCATATGCTTTCTATCCCAGATCAAGCTTCAGCAACATCCATCCCCTCATACCTTTTTTCGTCTCATGGAGTGTACCGCTTCTTGCAGTACCACTATGTTGTCCGTGCTTAGCCGGCCCAGAATGAAACTTGCTTGGGTTGGTCCAATCAGCTTCGCGATCACCTTGAGACGGTTCACCATTGTCTTTGTTATGGTCTTGAAAAGGACATTACACAAACTTTGGTCAGAATTGTGTAATCCTTTCTGGTTTAGCTACCTTTCCTATCAGCACAAGTAGCGCATCATTGGTATCATTTGGCAGCAGCCCTGTTTCGAAGAACTCCAGTACAAAGTGAGTAACTGAGTCTTTAACCACATCCCAACAACTTTAGTAAAAGACTGGCTGGAATCCATCCGGCTCAGGGGCTTTGAATTTCCCCATCCTCCGAATTTTCTCCTCCACCTCCAAAGATGTAAAAGGTCTATTCAAACCGGTAATCTCCTCGTGCGTAAGCGTAGTAAAACCCTCCGGCGAGAGCTTCTCCACGTTCTCCTCCACGTCATCGAGCGAGTATAAGCGTTTATAGTAACCAATGGCAAAGTTCTCGAGCTCTTGTCCATCTGTCACCCAGCTATCTCCATCATCCTTCAACATCTCAATGCGATTCCGGCGCCGCCGGATGACCGTGAAAGTGTGAAAGTATGTTGTATTTCTATCGCACTTGCTTCTCCCTCGATTTCTGGTACCATATCACCTCTTCCTGCTCCAGAATACCATCAAATTCCTTCAGTAGCATTACATCCCTTGCTAACAACGCATCTGTTTGAAGAGCCTTTATCTTCTCCTGCACTTCTTTGATCTTGTTCAGCAGCTGCTCCTTCTTCTTCTGAACATCGCCAAAGACCTCACGGTTCCATTTTTTCAGGGTCCCTCTCAACGACTCCAAGGCTTGGGGAGTGCTTAAGTCCCTTTCCACGAGGCCATCATTAGTTTCTTGAAGTCATTGTGTTTCAGCCACGCTGCCTCGAAGCAAAATGGTCTTCTCTTCACATTCCCTCGAGTAGCAGATTATAATTGAACATATAGCGGAGCGTGATCAGATGCCAAGAAAGGGAGGTGTGTAACCTTGGCTTCCTGCCACTTCAACCGAGCATGGACACTACACAAAACACGATCTAGCCGTTTGGCTACAAAAGAGTTCTCACACCGTCCCCTTCTCCACGTATACTTGTTTCCATTAAATCCCATGTCAATTAGCGAGAGATCCTGGATCCAGTCCCCAAACGCCACCGAGTCCAACGACAATCTCCCACTTCCACCTTCACTTTCATCAACTCTAACGATTGTATTAAAGTCTCCTCCGATGACCAACTGTCCGTCAACGCCTTCAATAACATCTCGTAATTGGTCCCAAAGTCAACTTCTTCGGCTGACAGAGGGTGCTGTGTAAACCGCGATCAAATGCAGAACCTCCTCGCCGTCGACTATCTTGGCGTAGATAAACTGATTTGCTGACTTCACTACCACCACATCACCTATTTCTTCTCTCGAGAGTAACCACAGCCTCCACTCTGACCAACATCATCCACTCGAAAGGAATTTTCAAAGCCTAGATTGCGACAGATCCTCCCTGCTCTATCACCACCCGCGTGCGTCTCGAAAAAAGCCAATACATCCACAATCGACTTTTTCAACATATAACGAACTGATCTTCTGAAATTGGGTATATTCACCCCCCCCGGCAGTTCCATAGAATGAGATTCATTGCTATTATCCAAGAATTGATCGGAAAAACCGGGGAGATCCGTTATTGTTTCGGCTCCCCCAACCCTTGTCCCACCACCTCTTTCTCCAGCGGTTTCTGTCGCGCCGGGTTTCCATCTGCATCCATTTGAGCCTCCATAGATTGGTTTGAGTCCTCCTCGCCGCTCTGCATTGATTGACCCCCATTGCTCGAGCTTTGGATATCCTGACCAAAAGATCCTTACACAGAGGGTGCTGTGTAAACCGCGATCAAATGCAGAACCTCCTCGCCGTCGACTATCTTGGCGTAGATAAACTGATCTGCTGACTTCACTACCACCACATCACCTATTTTTTCTCTCCAGAGTAACCACAGCCTCCACTCTGACCAACATCATCCACTCGAAAGGAATTTTCAAAGCCCAGATTGCGACAGATCCTCCCTGCTCTATAACCACCCGCGTGCGTCTCGAAAAAAACCAATACATCCACAATCGACTTTTTCAACATATAACGAACTGATCTTCTGAAATTGGGTATATTCACCCCACCCAACTACTCTGGTTTGCTTGAAGGCCTTAACAATGGGATAAAGAGACAAGTGTGCTTTGGTGTGCTCTTTTTCCCTTGTCAAGTTTTTGTCCCTATGGGTTTTCTTGACAAGGTTTTTAACGAGGCCCATTGCACACTTCCAAATCCTCTCTTTTCTCATTTGTGAAGGTCCGGCCCAAGTATTTCAAAGGAGAGCGCCAAGACAACTTTCTTTACTCAGTCTTTGTTTCATTTATGTTTTGTGTTTTCGAGATGTTTTGGAGCTTGTTCCAACATCTCTCTCTCTCTCTCTCTCTCTCTCTCTCTCTCTTTCTTTAAAACCCTAGTCTTCTCTCTTTGAAACTTATCAATCAATTTTATCAAAACCTCTCTTTTTGTTTGATCACTTCTGTCCACTTGTTGTGCGTAATATCAACTAAGTCCACAGAATTTCCTTTCACTTGTTGTGTGTAATATCAACAAGTCGAAGGTGGTGTTAGAGTTCCATTTCCGCGGGTTCTCTAGTATAGCCACTCGATCCATTCATCATTCTCATTCAACTCTCATCCATCATTGGATCCTTTGTGTTCCAATCCGCTCAAACACTTAGCTTTCAAGCCGATCTAGTCCAGGGGCGTATCAGTTGGTATCAGAGCTCCTTAAAGCTAAGTGATCTCGATTTTATGTTTTATGACTGTTCATCTTCAAATCTGAGAATCGTAGATCTTGAATATGATTTTGCTTTGTTGTTGTGCTATTGATCATTTCTTTGTTTCCATTGTCATTACCTTCACATCCAATGCTTGTTTACTCATCAAGGTTACTTTTCGATCATTTGAAATCATTTGTTCATCATCCATCACTTGTTTCATCATCCATTTGATCATCATCGCCCATCACTGCATTTTTAATTTATTCCATAATTTTAATAATTTTGCCACAATTTATTCTGGTCATTTTCATAGATCTGTCATCTCTGAGTGGTTGCATAATTTTTAAAATTGTTTCTATGATTTTTAAAATTGTTGCAACAATTTTCCTTTGAACTTTTGACTGCCGCGGTTTTGTTTAAATTTCAGGTACTATGGCGTCGGAAAGGAAGAAGGATCAAGCGGTGTTGGAGAGGCCTTGCTAGATCAGATCAAGAAGATGATGGCGGAGAGTTTGATCGGAGAGAACAGATCAAACAAGGCAAAAGGAAGGAGACTAGGAATCCGATACATATCTCCGATGGAGACAAGAGGAACGATCCCATGGCATCTCATGGTCTCGGTGACGATCAGGCCCATGTCTACTACGGTAGCGGTCATTCCTCTCACTCAAGCCGGCGCCGAGCTAGAAGGCAGCGAGAAGAGCCCAACCGTATGGTTGAAAACTTGGGCGGCTACAAAATGAAGATTCCACCGTTCCATGGCCGAAACAATCCGACGAGTACATGGATTGGGAAAAGAAGTGCGAGTTCAATTTCAACTTGCACAACATCATTGGAGACAACCGTGTCAAGCTAGCCGTCTCGGAGTTCAACGATTATGCGTTGAGATGGTGGGAAGCAAATCATTTTGGCTCGCGAGATTGGTGGTGCCTTTGAGGTTACCACTTGGGAAGAAATGAAGCGCATCATGAGGCAGCGATTTGTCCCTGGCCATTACCAACGTGAGCTACACTCCAAGCTCAGGAAGCTTACTCAGGGTCCAAGTCTGTGGAAGAATATTATCAAGAGATGGAGGTAATGCTCTTGCGCGCCAATGTGTTGAAGATCGCGAGGCCACTATGTCTCGATTCCTTGGAGGCTTGAACCGTGAGATACAAGACATTGTGGAGATGCAAAATTGTGTGGGCTTGAGTCCATGCTCCACAAGCTGTCTTGGCCGAGACACAATTAAAGAGGAGAAGCTCCACTCGATTCAATACAGAGCCGCGCCGACCAACCTTTCACCGCGACTCTAACCTTTCGCGCCCAAGTCAGAAATGAAACCTCTGGCTACTAATCAAGACAGGAGCCGGACTGAGCGCACTCCACCAGCCAGAACCCGTGATCTCAAGTGCTTTAGGTGTCAAGGGTTTGGGCATTATGCCTCTGATTGCTTGAACAAGAAAGTGATGATCATCCGCGACAATGGAGAGATTGAGTCCGAGGAGGATCCAGAGCCGGAGAAACCAGAGAAAGAAGAAGACCTGAGGAGTATGAAGCCGTGCCTGTCCAAGGCAAGACTTTTGGTGGCCAGACGTGTCTTGAGTACTCAAGTCAGACTGATCAAGGATGAGCAGCGCGAGAACCTCTTTCACACTCGTGCTTAGTCCAAGATAAGGTGTGCAGCTTGATCATCGATGGAGGAAGCTGTACCAATGTGGCGAGTGAAACTATGGTTGAGAAGTTGGGCTTAACTATCAAGAAGCATCCGCGGCCTTATAAGCTTAACTGGCTGAATGAAACTGGAGAGATGAGTGTCAAGAACCAAGTGGTTGTGCCTTGTCCATTGGCAACTACAAGGATGAGATCCTTTGTGACATTCTACCCATGGACGCCGGTCACATCATCTTAGGGCGGCCTTGGCAATCTGATAGGCGTGTGATCCATGATGGATTCACAAACCGCTACACTCTTCTTCATGAGGGCCGTAAAACCACTTTGATTCCTTTGAGTCCACAAGAAGTCTATGAAGATCAGTTACAACTGCTGGAAAGAAGTCAAGCACCTAAGTCTCCTAAGCCAAAGAACTTCCTGGTGAAGCCAAAACAGGTTAAACGTTCCTTGAACTTAAACAAACCTTTTCTTTATTTATATATAAGGAACACTTGATTGGCTTGACTCACACTCCACCGGAGATTCCGAGTGAACTAGCTCAACTTTTGCAGGACTTTAGTGATGTCTTTCCTGAGGATAGTCCACCAGGCTTGCCTCCTGTCCGAGGTATTGAGCACCAGATTGATTTTGTCCCCGGCTCCACTTTACCAAACAGGCCGGCTTACAGAACCAATCCGGTTGAGACCAAGGAGCTTCAGCGCCAAGTGGATGAACTCATGGAGAAAGGCCACATTAGAGAGAGCATGAGCCCTGTGCTGTTCCTGTTCTTCTTGTTCCTAAGAAGGATGGAAGCTGGAGAATGTGTGTCGACTGCCGCGCCATCAATAACATCACTGTAAAGTATCGACACCCTATTCCTAGACTTGATGACATGTTAGATGAGTTACATGGCTCTTGCATCTTCTCTAAGATTGATCTTAAGAGTGGTTATCACCAAATCCGGATGAAGGAAGGTGATGAGTGGAAAACCGCCTTTAAAACCAAGCATGGTCTATATGAGTGGCTTGTGATGCCATTTGGCTTGACCAATGCGCCAAGTACTTTCATGCGGTTGATGAATCATGTCCTTAGGTCTTTCATTGGTCATTTTGTGGTTGTTTATTTTGATGATATCTGATCTATAGCAGGACCTTTGATGATCATCTTAAGCATCTTGCCGCGGTCATGAAAGTCCTTAGGGAGGAGAAGCTGTTCGCCAACTTTAAGAAATGCACTTTTTGTACAATAACGTGGTGTTTCTAGGTTTTGTGGTGAGTGCAGATGGCGTACAGGTTGATGAAGAGAAGGTCGCAGCTATCGGGATTGGCCTAGTCCTAAGACCGTTGGAGAGGTCAGAGCTTTCATGGCTTGGCCGGATTCTATCGGCGGTTTGTTAAGGATTTTAGCACCATAGCCGCGCCAATGACTGAGATTATCAAGAAGGAAGTTGGTTTCAAGTGGGAGAAGGCACAGGAGGAAGCATTTCAGACTCTTAAGGATCGACTTACTAATGCACCTGTTCTTATGTTGCCTGACTTTCTTAAAACTTTTGAAATTGAGTGTGATGCCTCAGGAATCGGAATAGGAGCTGTTCTCATGCAAGACAAGAAGCCGATTGCCTACTTCAGTGAGAAACTTGGAGGAGCCACTCTCAATTACCCAACCTATGACAAGGAGCTCTATGCCTGGTCCGAGCCTTACAAACTTGGCAGCATTACTTATGGCCCAAGGAGTTTGTTATCCACACTGATCATGAATCACTCAAGCACTTCAAAGGCCAACAGAAGCTCAACAAGAGGCATGCTCGCTGGGCCGAGTTCATAGAAACCTTTCCCTATGTGATCAAGTACAAGAAAGGTAAGGACAATGTCGTGGCCGACGCATTGTCTAGACGGTATACACTTCTCTCTACTCTTGATGCCAAACTCTTAGGCTTTGAGCAAATTAAAGAACTATATGCTTCTGATGCTGATTTTTCTGATATTTATCAAGCTTGTTCTAAGTTTGCTTCTGGTCGATATGTGAGACAGGATGGGTTTCTCTTTTATGAGAACCGCCTTTGTGTGCCTAATTGTTCTTTGAGGGACTTGTTTGTCAGGGAAGCACATGGAGGAGGACTTATGGGACATTTTGGAGTTGCACCAAGACTATACAGATCATGAGAGATCATTTCCATTGGCCACATATGATTAGAGATGTGGAGCGCATATGTGCTCGCTGCACCACTTGTAAGTTGGCCAAATCCAAGGTCCAACCCCACGGTTTGTATACTCCTCTCCCTATTCCATCACAACCTTGGACTGATGTTTCCATGGACTTTGTTCTTGGTTTACCCAGAACTAGACATGGAAAGGATTCCATTTTGTGATTGTGGATAGATTTTCTAAGATGGCTCATTTTGTTGCATGCAATAAAACTGATGATGCATCTCATGTTGCTGCATTGTTCTTTAAAGATGTCATTAGATTGCATGGCATGCCGCGCACCATTGTTTCTGATCGTGACACTAAGTTCCTTAGTTACTTTTGGAAAACCTTGTGGTCTAAGTTAGGGACTAAGCTTTTATTTTCCACCACTTGTCATCCCCAAACTGATGGTCAAACTGAGGTTGTAAACCGGACTTTAGGAACCTTGTTGCGTGTGCTGCTTAAAAAGAATCTTAAGAATTGGGATGATTGCTTGCCTCATATAGAATTTGCTTATAATCATTCTGTGCATTCAGCATCTAAGTTCTCTCCTTTTGAAATTGTTTATGGGTTTAAACCCCTGTCACCTTTGGATTTAATGCCTCTGCCTTTGAGTGAAAGGTTGAGTACAGATGGACAGAAGAGAGCTGAGATGGTGAAGAAGATACATGAGCAGGCAAAGAAGAACATTGAGGAAAAGACAAGGCAGTATGCCAAGAAGGCCAACAAGGGACGGCGCGAATTAATCTTTGAGGCTGGAGATCAAGTTTGGATTCATCTTCGCAAAGAAAGATTCCCAGCCGAGCGCAAGTCCAAGCTATGCCGCGCATTGATGGCCCTTTCACAGTCACCAAGCGAATCAACAATAACTCTTATAGAGTTGATCTCCAAGGTAAGTACAATATCAGTCCTAGTTTTAATGTTGCTGACTTATCTCCTTTTCTTGCAGATGAACCAGATTTGAGGTCAAATCCTTTTCAAGAGGGAGGGGATGATGCGATCATGGACAAGGAGGTTCAGGAAGAAACAGCTTTTGGCCGAGGAAGAAGATGGAATGGAGCAGCTGGCCGAGGAGGACTTGAAGCAGAGCAGCTTGTACCTGAGGAGAGTTTAGCCATTCCAACTGGCCCAATCACTCGTTCAAGAACTAAGGCACTAAACCAAGCAATTGGCAAAGTCCTTAGCGCCTTGAACCAACAAGAAACCAAGCCAACTACTCTGGTTTGCTTGAAGGCCTTAACAATGGGATAAAGAGACAAGTGTGCTTTGGTGTGCTCTTTTTCCCTTGTCAAGTTTTGTCCCTATGGGTTTTCTTGACAAGGTTTTTAACGAGGCCCATTGCACACTTCCAAATCCTCTCTTTTCTCATTTGTGAAGGTCCGGCCCAAGATTTCAAAGGAGAGCGCCAAGACAACTTTCTTTACTCAGTCTTTGTTTCATTTATGTTTTGTGATTTTCGAGATGTTTTGGAGCTTGTTCCAACATCTCTCTCTCTCTCTCTCTCTCTCTCTCTCTCTCGTTTTCTTTAAAACCCTAGTCTTCTCTCTTTGAAACTTATCAATCAATCTATTATCAAAACCTCTCTTTTTGTTTGATCACTTCTGTCCACTTGTTGTGCGTAATATCAACTAAGTCCACAGAATTTCCTTTCACTTGTTGTGCGTAATATCAACAAGTCGAAGGTGGTGTTAGAGTTCCATTTCCGCGGGTTCTCTAGTATAGCCACTCGATCCATTCATCATTCTCATTCAACTCTCATCCATCATTGGATCCTTTGTGTTCCAATCCGCTCAAACACTTAGCTTTCAAGCCGATCTAGTCCAGGGGCGTATCACCCAATGCCTTATTTCTCCCCATCTTCTTATCGATACTTCCTCTTTGAAACTCCGCTTTACTCGTCCCGCCAACAAACCCTTGCGTCCCACTCAACACTTCATTGTCTAGATTATGTGGGTCCCTATTTTCCTTATTATCCTCATTTGTTTGGCGCGAATCTTGGAAATCAAGATCTTCTCCTAACCTTCCGAAACTGTTTGACAACACAATATTTCCAATATCCTTTGTCCTCGGCATCACTCGGCGGTGTGGACCCACCCCCTCTCTCGACCCATAGGCCGAGAACGCCATTTGGTTGCATGTGGTTTTTTCTCGCCGACCACTCATACCAACTCTTATAAAGCCCTCCTCATCTAGACCATTCCCCTCCGGACTTGCATTTACCATTAGTTGTTTTTTCATGTGCTGCCACTTCTACATGTGAAACAATCTCTTGCCTTCCCTGTCGGCAAGAGTGTACTAGATGTCTATACAGACCACATTTCAAACATATGCTTGACAATCCCTCATATGACACAAAGTATCTCTCCCCATTGATAAGCATTGTGCCTTTTAGCGGCTTCCTCAAATTCACTTCAACGAAAACCCGAGCAAACCGAGCTCGTTCACAATGCAACGTAGTGAGATCCACCTTGATTGGTTTTTCCGTCCCTCTCGCAGTTCCCATCAGTATTGATTTGTGATAAAAGTTAATCGGAATGTTTGCCAGCCAAATCCATACTGGTGTAGTATCAATGTCATCCTGAGTGGGGTCAAAACTTGGTGACCAAGCTTGTACCATGAGATAGTTCTCAAACACCCTCCAAGGACCTTCGGTCAGTGCTGCCATATACTCCTCCTCCTCTTTGAAGCGAATCATAAAAAATTGACGAGGGAGATCCATCATGTACATCGCACCCTTTGGTTTCCACATCTCTCTTAGCTTCCTACTCAGCGCCGAGATCGCAATATTACGCCCTAGCACCTTCACGATCATACACTGCTTCCAGATCCCATTCATGACTTCCAACACCTCCTGCCCTATAGTAACCACTGGTTCCCCATCCTCTCCATTCGGAAACTCCAGACCCAATCCTGCTCTAACAAACTCGTCGGCCAACACATCCTCCGGCTTCAGCATGCCCCAACGTTGCTCCCCGTAACCTTACTCACCCACAACACTGGAGCATCTGAAGGATCACTCGGCGGTCAACCCAACTCGCTCACCTCCATCATCGTATCGTCGCCTAAACCATCGCTCAAAACCGTAGCCGCACTCATCTCCAAACAAATTAATTGAAACATAACTTAATGTATAAATATCAAAAATTATTGTTAATTAGTTGTGAGATAGAATTTCATTAAAACTTTTAGAAATATTCTATCTATATTAGAGAAAACAATTTTAATATTGAAAAACTTTTTTATTATAATATATATATAGTGATATGTTCTCAAAAACCTTTAGAAACACTTGCTATACTTTGAAAACGCTTTCCAAGTGATCAACAAACATTGTAACATCTGTAAAAACACTTCAAACATTTAAAAAAAAAAAAAGGAACCAAAAAAATTATTGGTATTCGTATTTCCTTGATGAAAAAAATAGTAATTTTGAAAATAATTGACACATAATAGACATGATAGTGGGAAACGATAAAATTATAAAAAATCACATATATCTTTGGTGAGTCTCTAATTCAGTTTTACATTAAAAATAGTTATTAGAAAAAAATTAAATTAGAAAGTAGTATATACTCCCTTCGTTTTTTTTTTAATAATTTGATATTTAGAATAAGGATGTTTCAAAAACCTCATTTGTATTTCTTATGAAAATTTCTTGTAGTATGTTTTTATTGGCCGCATTAATCAAAGTTAAAATAAATGAAACAACTAGTATTGAATTGTATATATCAGGAATTGTAGAAACAAACTATCAATCTAAGACACTAAACTAACGGATGGAGTATGTATATATATAGTCATGTGAAAGAAAAAAAAAACATTAAATTGCATAATTTGGATCAGTAGCCAATAATTTTAAACTGATAGACTAAAATTGTACAATAAATAACAGCAAATAAGTGAGCTACATAATTAGTAGAGAAACAATTGTTTTTTGTAGGGATATGATAAGTGAAGACGATGGATGATGTTCCAAAGAAGATGAGGGACAAGATGTGATTTGCATAGAGATGTAAAAAAAGATGTTTTCATGTGGGAACATGTCGTAGTGGAAATAACCTTAAATAGGGACAACATTTTGAATTAAGGCTTATTTTGCCCATTTACCCTACCAGCTGCTCTTAATAATACCTACTTCGTAGTGGGATTTCCACCAAGAATTCACAAATTTTGGGTCTGCACAAACCAATAGATTTATAAAATAAAATTAGAGGCTTAGGAGGACTTATCTAGTTTTTTTGTTCAACTTGATGAAGTGATGTACATTGTGTATTTGTTATGTTCTTGTTAATATGTGTAAGTAGTTCAATGAAATTGAGTGATTTGACTTCAGACAAAAGAGCAAAGATAGAGATGTATGACACGAGGATCCCACTTCTTCTGCCTCTCCAGTCTCTTCTTACACATGTTCCGTTATATTCGAAACCCATCGCTGGACAATTATCGTGTTACAAGTTACAACATTCAAATAATCAGATCGAGTATGTTTTTTGTGTACTGGATAAACTGATAACCAGATCGATATGCTTTAGTGTAATTAATAACCTGTGTTGCATGGAAACGGAAATGGAAATGTAGAAGCGAAACGTTTCGGAAACGGGAAACGTGTTTTTTGAAAAAATTAAGAATGGAAACGTTTTGGAAACGTAAGCAATATATCTATTAAATATGTACATATAGCACATTCATAGTGTGTAGTGTAGTGGTATGAAGCAGCACTTAAAATAGTCCCGTGAGTTCGAGTCGGACTCTGCTCGTTTAACTAAACTTTTTTCTCTTTTGGAAATGGGTACCCTCGTCCTCAACATCATACTCTGCGATTTTTTAACCTAATTTCTGCCATTTTTCAAGCTCTGCGATTGATCATTGTTTGCTTGAAAATCTAATGGGCTTTTACCTGAATATATCAGATCTATGGTATAAAATCAGATATGGAATCAAAACTTATATGAAAATGAGTTTTTTTCAATAAGCAATTAGTTGAGGAATTGGTTTGAAAATGGCAAACAATCTAGAAATGGAAATAACAAATATCTTCCCCGTTTCCAAATGGGTTTTGTAAATCTAACCCGTTTCCAAAAACGAATCGGACGTTTCCAAAACCGAATCGGTCGTTTCCCATACGATTCCAAATGGGCAATTTCAGGAAACGCGTTTCCATGCGTTTCCGTCGCGATTCCGTTTCTGAAACGTTTCGAAACGCGAAACGCACAGAGATGAGAGTTTCCGTGCAACGTAGTTAATAACTAATGAGGAGATAACCTAAAAATCTCATAATTTGATTAGTCTTCAACAAATACATTGTTTTCAGTGCCAATCGTTTTATTCATGAACTAGTATTCTGCCCGGTGCTATGCACCGAAAAATTATTTAATTTAATTGTATTTCTTCAACAAAATAGTAGTTGCAGCGACATTGATTTGTTGTAAGGGAGATAATAGAGTGTTCAATATCCATAATACCTTTCTAAGAAAACTACAACACATTCTATACAAATAAAAGGAGTTAAAAATCTGATACACCTAATCTTTTAATTGTAAAAAGACAAAAGCTTAGATTGTAGGACACTAAAACCTTCCATGCATCAACGCAAACATCAACTAATTTTAAGGCTTAATGCTGAAAGAAAACTTAGAAATAGAAAATAACATAACAATATATAGATTGAGCAACGATAGAAACTTGGGTGGTATGGTATTGATCCAAAGATGAAAACTTGAGTTCACGTGAAAAGTTGTAAAAACAAATGAAAACTTGAGTTCACGTGAAAAGACAACTTTACAACATTTACAGTAAAAAATCAAGAAAAGGAAATAGCATAATATTGACGGTTAAAAAGGTGAACTGTTTAAAAAGACAACGAAATTGATATGGAGATTGAATTGGTTTGTTGTAAGGGAGATAATAAGAACAAATGATGATATAATATAACTCGGGCAAAACTTCGCTCTTTTTACGGTAGTTCCGAGTTCGGTATTTCGTTGTCCTGATAATGAAAGATCATTTTCGTTCATGACCTGCAGACAAATCAATAAACCACGTTACCAAAAGAAAACCATCAAAGTAATCTCAACCCTTGATCTGGGAAACGAAGACGACCAGCATAAAACTTTGTTTTCTTGGTAGTATCCTTCAAAAGGGCAAAAGGACAATAAGAGGAAAATGATAACACAACCATAGAAAGAAGAAGAATTTGTACTGAAATGTTTTTAAAGCTTTCTGAATCAGCTAAATTCAAATCCCAAAGATAAAAAATGCGAAACACCAACAATTAAAAACTGTTACAGGAAAAGAAAGCAAGAAATGAAGAATACCATTCGTTTAGAAATAGAGCAAGTTTGTTGAGCCCTTGCGTTGTCCTATAATCGTGTGTTGATGGTTTCCAAGAACCTAAAAAACAAAAAAGTACCATACCAATGAAAACATAATCAACATTAGCTTAACGATTGTGAGCTTGCGATTCCCTGGTGATCGCCAAAAACTTCAAAATTCGTGATATCACGACAATGATCTTTCTTTCAATTCCTTTTCGAACTTTTTAACCAAATTCTGTTTTACAGAAATTTGAATCATATCTCCTTGTCTCATAAACCATTGTAATCAAAGCTTAGATTTGTAAACAAAAGAAAAGCATACTATAACAAATCAAGCATCGATATACTCGACGGTACCTTTTTGCATAAACGCCAGAACTCATAGTTGACTTCCACGAAGATGACTTCCTAAGCTATATAAACCCTGCAAAATAAAAAGAAAAACCGTTACTAAACCAAAGTTAAAAGCTGTAAATTCATAACATTTATACTTTGCTCCATTTATAGCTTGCCTCATCATTTCACATTAAATGTACAAATGTACAAATGCTTGAAAATCTAATGGGCTTTTACCTGAATATATCATATCTATGGTATAAGATCAGATCTGGAATCAAAACTTATATGAAAATGAGTTTTTTTCAATAAGCAATTAGTTGAGGAATTGGTTTGAAAATGGCAAACGATCTAGAAATGGAAATAATAAATATCTTCCCCGTTTCCAAATGGGTTTTGTAAATCTAACCCGTTTCCAAAAACGAATCGGACGTTTCCAAAACCGAATCGGTCGTTTCCCATACGATTCCAAATGGACAATTTCAGGAAACGCGTTTCCATGCGTTTCCGTCGCGTTTCCGTTGCGATTCCGTTTCTGAAACGTTTCGAAACGCGAAACGCACAGAGATGAGAGTTTCCGTGCAACGTAGTTAATAACTAATGAGGAGATAACCTAAAAATCTCATAATTTGATTAGTCTTCAACAAATACATTGTTTTCAGTGCCAATCGTTTTATTCATGAATTAGAGTAATATAGATGTCTTTTTATTTATTTTTGTTCTAAAGTAATATAGATGTCTATGTTTTTAAAAATTCATGTTAGTATATATGCTGTGTTGATTAATTTTCTAATGTATCGTGTTTCATAGCAGTAAATAAATAAAAACCGTAAAAACCCTAGTTTTTAGTAAAACAATATAATATATACAAGAAAAAATCGATAATATTTTCAAAACTACTATATATATACCACATGGCCACATTTCATTTTTGTAGTTTGTAAGAAATTGTAAAAAAATATGTGGATGTATTCAAACTGATGTCTATTGATAAAATCCTCTTCACATATCTATATATGTGTACTAAGTGTAGATAATTAGATGTGACACTGAAATGTGTCCTTCATTGAGATGAGTATGTCTTTATTCGCATTTATAAACAATATGTAACAGAAAATATATCAATATAATTATTCGCAAATAGTTGCTACTTATTGACATTGTTTAGAGATATTATACTAATCTCGAAGTACATGTTATTGTTCACTTAAGTTATATATCTCTCGAGAAAAATGAAGAATTATGTTTATGTGATATATTTAGAATTAAATGTTTTTTAGAGATTTTCTTTTACATAATCTATATTTTAAGAAATTACTGGATGTCCTCTTACAAATTTCTTTCGCTAACGATTAATTAATGAAGCACAAACAGAAAGCAAGTTTTCTCATAATATCAAATAAATATGTTGGAAAAGAAAAGGTCTCAATTCGCCCTTTTACAGAGCTTCCACATGCAAAACTTTGATCAAGTACTACTCGCTAACACTAACACCAATCATTTTCCTTTATCTGAACTGAATCTTTGGGAAAACTTGGGATGTCAAAGGTTGTACTAATATATGAAGCATCAAAAGTCAATGTTATAAACGTTGAGAGCAACTATTCATCGAAATGTTGAAACTTGATATAGCAATACAAGATAGTGTCACAAGCACTAATTAATAACTCTTTGTAATTGTAGATAAAGGACTCTGTCGAACACTAAGAAGGTAGAATATGGGTCCCCTCTTCTTCTTCTTCTTCTTCCTCCATGTGATACCTCTCTCTCTTTATACGGTTCTCACATTTTTGTTTGGTTTTTCTTATACCTTTTTTTTAACAATCATGTATCTTAGTTTTGTACATACTCTGTGGTATTTGTTTTAATTTTGATAACCTATGGAATGGCTCAGATCCATTGAGAACAACCAAACCAAAAACCCAACTGATTCAGTTAATTATAATTTGATTTGAAAAAGTTTTAAAACTAAGTTGCTTATGTTAGTCACTTAGTCATAATGTTGATCTCACAAGTTTAGAGATCTCGAGGACTAGTCATCTTTAAACATCCAACATATGCCGCAAAAACAAAAACACTTTCCACAAAATAAATCGCAATACGTTATTCTGTACAATAGTCTTCACTTTTCATATTACCTCAGCCATAGGATCTCAAGCTCACAAAAGTTATCATAATTAATGTTCATATAGGACTCTTCTAATGCTAGCATGTCTCTCTAGGTATCTGGACATAGGTTTCTAGATAATCAACAAAAAAATGAAAATGAGAAATCTGATAAACGAGGTTTAATGAATAAAAATGTTATAGTATAGTAGAATAATAGCATGAAAAAATAAGGTTGTCCGGAAAGGCTTTAAAAATATAGTAAAAATACAAAACTAATTACGCCTCTATTTCTTGTAATAGATGAAGAGTTTTAAAGTCCAGTAAAAAAACAAAAATGAGTAGTTTATTGTTCTTTTGTAATTTTCCAGCGAAGTCTTGGAGCTACATACTACAAAAGGTTCCTCAATTTGCCAAAGAAAACAAAATTTACTGCTACACTGCTAAATGAACATAGAACGGAAATTTTCAATGCTGATAATTTTCACCTAAAAATTATGATTGAATAAAGGCGTAAATTTGATATTTACCAAAATAAAAACCTAAATTGGATCATTATACATTGGCGAAGTAGCTATATTGCCAACAAAAATAGAAATAATCTTTTTTTTTTGCGAACTTATCAGAATAATTACATCAATATTTTCCACACATGATATAAACCTATAAAGTTTCGTTAAAACGATGAAGAGTTTTTTAGTCCAATAAAAGATAACGAATATATAGTTTATTGGTTTTTGTTATTATCCGGCCAAGTCTTGAAGCTATACACTACAATAGGTTCATCAAATTTTCAAAGAAAACAAAATTTACCGCTACACTGCTAAATGAACATAGAACGGGAAATTTCAATGCTAATAGTTCCCATCGCAAACTTATAAATAAATGCGTAAATTTGATCTTTATAAATAAACGTAATTTGGATCATTATACATTGGGGAAGTAGCTATTTTGCCGGGAAAATATATAATTGTTCGTGAACCTATCAGAATAATTACATAAATATTTTGCCACACATGATACAAACATATTACATTCTAGAAAATTATAGTGTATTTATACGAATTTGGAACTTTGTATCTACCAAAACATGAATTTGGTGGAAACGAGGTGGTAGACCATACTTTCCAAAAACGGGGAAGCCAAAATGGTTAGTGTATGGCCCAAAATGGTTAGTGTAAGAGCTAGGTGTCGTAATATCTTTGGTTCTTTGGCATTTTAGGAATGTCCATCTATATTGAAAGTGTCTTAAAACAGTAAGGCAAAGGCCGTCACTGATCACCATAACAAACTATGTTCGAAGTATCTGTAATACAACACATTCAGTGTTACTTTCTTCTCTTTTAGTCCCATTTTACAGTGACGTTGAATTTCAAATGTCTATATATGAGTGTGTACATGTGTGCGTGTGTGTGTGTGTGTGTGTGTGTGTGTGTGTGTGTGTGTGTGTTCCCGTGTGTGTGTGTGTGTGTGTGTGAATATCTTAAATAATTGTTAAGGTGAATCTTTAATAATGATGAAGGTATAATTTAATTTACATGTGTATATATTGTTCCTAAATAAACGAGCACATATCTTTTAATAGCTAAAAATATAACGCCGTGACTGTTTTCGCTTGTGAGTATTCACTTCTATTGGTCCATTGTACGCATGTGTGATTCACGTTTGTCCAATGGCCGATTCACTATTTTAAAAAAAATTGAATGAATTTTCGTTTGATCCTAATATTTTTCATGTTTTGTTTTTATTCGCTCATCAGTATCAAAAATCATCTCAAATAAATCATCATAATTTTTTTTTTTTTGAGACAACATACTTAATTATTTGGAAATATCCTGAAAAATATTCTGAAATATTACAAGATATGAGCTAAGACTAAGAGTTGTTCGCATCAATTTAAAGCATTCAACTGACCCAAAGAGCCATCATGTTTTACACATGTTTATACATTTTTAGGTGAAAATATAATGTTCTGGCTTTTCTACTGTCCACAAATTTGAACAGTATAAGTTATTTTCATACTGATCACCTTATCCACTTTCCTAAAATGAATATTATATATTTGTTGTCTGCATATTCGTCAAGGAAACAAAGTAAATATTCGAACGGAATGTAAATAGTAGATACACTTCTTGAAACCAAAAACTATTGGTTGATGTATGAAGTCACTTTTGCAACACAATTTGGAGGGTTTACGAAGTAAATGAGGATGATAGTGTTTAATTAAAATGATTGGGTGGGTGGAATTAGGGAACCAATCAAAATTATGTATACATATATAATTAAAATGAGCTATCTTCATCTTGAGTGTCACTTCGTCACCAGTTTTAAAATTTCCTAGCTTAGAATAATTTTTTCTTATCAACACCATGCATTGAGATGTATATAATATATTGAATTCATTATTTAGTTGGGTTAAGCCTTTGGTCAAAAAAAAGGAAAAATATTTTAGTTGGGTTTTCTAAAGGATTAATACAATTTCATTTTGGCTCTGAAAAAAAAAAATACTATATTAAAATGATTTTTGTATTTTAATAAAATCAAATCAAATATAGTTGAGCTACTCCTTATAAAATTATTTTCGGAGCTCCATTATAAACTTCTAAGGATATAACAAAGGCTCTTTTCTCTCTCTCGAGAAACCAATGTAGTGGCGTAAAAATATTATTGATTGGATCAACCCTAAACCATCAATTATTTTAGCTATTAGTAGAGACATGCCGTTGACACGGTTGAGAGTATAGTTGCAATTTTGTCATTTTTTTTGTTAAAAGGCACGCCGACATTTTTATTTCCTAATGAATGTCCATTATATTCCGAAAGAGTGAAACACTACTATCATTTTCTTATTTGAAAAATCAAAAAGAATTCATCTAGTTGTTCGGTTAGTTAATTCATTTTAACAGCTTTATTCATAAATTTTTGTTTCACTTTTTCAAAAAGTAAAAAAAAAATAGCTTAAATTATTTATAATACAATTTTAAACCGACAAATTAATCTTTGTTATATTGTATATCTTTCCGTCAGTTTTACATGTTTTCTTGTTATGCAATAAAATGCTTTCTTGATTTTTTATTTTTTTGGCTAATCAATGCTTACTTGGGTTTTCTGTCCGTTTTGGTTATTTTGTACAGAATTCTATCATATGGCAATTTAACATGAATATTCAGATGAGATAACAAAAATTTGGATTCAAATTAAATTAATGGTAATGATGTGCCATAAATATTGTGTGTGTAATTTTAACTGCCACATGATGGATATAGAATTATTCTGGTAACTTATTTAGTTTATTTTAAATCTGTTAGGATGTCATATGATAAGTTTGACGTCAACATAACAAAATAACATGTTACAGAAAACAATATTAAAATCAAGATTACCAAAATTAAGGGAGATGTATTCAAATGAGTATTTGAGATCATTTTTGAGTGTTTTGTTATAAAATTACAAATCCTCTATTATTCAAACATGAATGTTTAAAAGTAGTTTAAAATCCAGTGTTATTAAATCCAAAGTTAAATACATCCATTAACAAATGAACACTTTTCTTTTAAAATTAGTACATTACGCAGATTAATTTATTTTAAATCAGCCGAAACCAGTAGTCGTCAACTTCGAAACATATCGCATCCACACATTGCCCACGTAAGTGCTTTGTAGTACAATAATATAAATAGCATGTGATATAAGCTGATAGAACGAATGTGAACCTTAATCAAGACATTTGGTGCATTATAATTGTAAATTACTTGTCTCCAATTAACATAAGGAATATGATAAGCTTTATTCTAATCTTTCATTTTCCTCAAGAGTTTATAATCTATTTATTATGGAATAATGTCAAACTCGTGTTTTAAAAAAACAAAAGAATGTCAAAGTCAAGTAGCAAATATTTAATAATTCATTTATTTTAAAAAGTTTCTTTTTTGAGATATTACTATTAGGAAGCGTACGAGCTAGGGTATATACCCCACACCGTCCAATATTCTATATATATATGCAAAGAACAACATAAACATCAAACACAACGAGAAAGAAAGATTCATCTTTCAATATTGTTTCTTAAATAAAACTTTGTGTGTTGGGAAAGGAAGAGAGAGATATGGAGACTGGATCAAAGTTCAAAAGAATATGTGTGTTTTGTGGAAGTAGTCCTGGTAATAAAACCAGTTACAGAGATGCTGCTATCGAACTCGGAACCGAACTGGTAAATTTTCTCTTCCTCCCTCTTCCTTTTTCTCTTAGAATTCTGTTTTCTGTATCTTTTTATATATATATATATATAGTTTCGTTTTGTAGATAAAAGAAATTAGACTTTGAATCTGGAGATTAGTCGTTTCCCTTAGTCAAATTTTATGAGCAACCCAAAAAGCTCTGTTTTTCCTATTCCAGTTTAGAAACAGTTAAGATTATGGTAAAACCTTTGGAGTTCCAAGTTTTTGGGAAGACTCTTGTCTTAGTGGTAGATTTTTCCATTATTTACGAGAGAGATTTTTTTCTTAGTGGTAGATTTTTAAACGGTCAAAAAAAAGTTGTACTTCTCCATTCGTTTCGTTTTATGAGTTGATTTAGTGGTTTAATTTTCCTTGTTGTTGTTTGATTAAAGTGAAGTTAGTATTGGTCAAAAGGTGTACAAACAAACTGTAAAAAAAAATTATACTTACTTCCAGTCTTCCACATTCACAAAGAAAAACATCTTTAATAAAACGTGAAAATATATATAGACTAATAATATATTCTGATGAGCAGTGAGAGTCACAGATTCTTTTTTTGCTACCAACAAGAAAAGAAGAAATTATTATTATTTTCTTTACGTCTTCTAAACACTTGGAGTATTATTTTTGCCGTTGACCAAATAGACGTATTACAACGTGCTTGGAAACTGGTTTAATCATTTGACTTGTCTTCGCTAAAGCATTTTAGCCATTTAGAGCCAGTGGAGTCAACTATTCATATATATAATTGCCCATTATGACATTATCTTTTTTAGATGATTTTTAATTTAAAGAATATTATCTTCAGTTTGTACTTACTGTGGTCAGCGGTAGAAACATACTTGCAAAGCTTAGAAAAGGATGAAATTCAAAAGTATTTTAGTTGAATTGTGATGGGAAAGCTCATATACTCTTCTATGGTGGTTTTACCATCTTTTTTTTTCTTATGGTACTTTCGTTTGTACTTTTACCAGAAAATATGATTATGAAGTTTCCACCTTTATATTTCTACAATATCTTTATCCACTGTTATATGTTTTTCTCTTTCTTTTGATCGACATTTGTATTTTCACTAATTAACTATGACAACGACCACTAAAGCTTACTTAACTCGAATGTTTTTCTTCGTAGGTATCAAGAAATATCGATCTTGTCTATGGTGGAGGGAGCATAGGTTTAATGGGTTTGATCTCTCAAGCTGTTTTCAATGGTGGTCGCCATGTCATCGGGTTAGTTTAATTTTCTAACATTTTCCAATAATTTTCAATTTTCTTAAGTCGTTAAAGTTTAAAAGAAGAAACAACTAATATTATGGATAATTTGGGCATACGTGTAGTATTTGTGGCGTTTACTTTTTTAACTAACTTTTTTTGTCTTGTTACTGTCTTCAGGGTTATCCCCAAGACACTCATGCCAAGAGAGGTACGTCCGAAATGTAACTTCAGAATAATATTTATGGTTTATTGTATTTTTCATACCACTTTCATAAAACAAATAAAGAGTTTGAAGATATTGGTGGTAGATAATTTAACAAGAACATCAACCTCATAAATGTTATCTCTAAACGCGTATTTCATATTTGTCTCATATTAGAGAAAGTTTCAACTGAGACAAAAGAGCCCCAATTTATTGGACGGCGATATTTTCATGTTTTCATATATCCTTTTTTGTTTTGTTATGATTAACTTATTTCCTCTAAGATGGGCATAGAAATTTGAGCTAATTGAGACAGTAAAAATAAAAGCCACAAATCATGTTGCTCAAAAATATGATTAGCTTTTCACGAAAGGGGTCAAAGTGATAAATGTAAGAGAAAAACCTCGAGAGACTAAATCATCATTACATCTATCTTTTCTTACAACATAATGGGGCTACAATATGATTGCACAAGATAAATTTTGGATTGTAAATTATACAGTGTTGAATCATTTACTAGATTTCACTACATTTTTATTATAAAATTTTGGAGGAAAAGAAAAACATAAAGAAGTGGTCTCCGTGTGTAAGAGTTTTGTCATTTTGTTTTGGAATATACAGAAGACACAAGTGGTGATAATAATAATTTTGGTACAAATTGTGAATAAAGATAACAGGAGTGACAGTGGGAGAAGTGAAGGCAGTAGCAGACATGCACCAAAGGAAAGCTGAGATGGCTAAGCACTCTGATGCTTTTATCGCTTTACCTGGTTGGTTCATTTATTTTTTCTTATCCACATTTTGAATTTTAAACTATAAAAAATATATAATTAGTAAGAGATTAATGTTGGAAATGATATATGTAGGTGGATATGGTACACTTGAAGAGCTTCTTGAAGTAATCACTTGGGCACAACTTGGCATCCATGATAAACCAGTAATCATTTTGCCTCCATTTCTATTTACATCATATTATAAATGAATTATGAATCTTATCTTATGAGTATAAATGTCTCAAATGAATTTGAAGGTGGGACTGTTGAATGTGGATGGATACTACAATTCACTGTTATCATTCATAGACAACGCAGTGGAAGAAGGTTTCATTACACCAACTGCTCGTCATATTATTGTCTCTGCTCCTTCTGCTAAAGATCTTGTCAAGAAACTTGAGGTTCCTTTTTGTTTCTTTTATTTAATTATGTTTCTATTACTATAACTTCTCTTAATGTTTTTTTTCTGTTTAAAAATCTAGGAATATGTACCAAGGCATGAGAAGGTAGCATCAAAGAAAAGTTGGGAGATGGAGCAAATAGGGCTTAGTCCCACTTGTGAAATTTCAAGATGAAAAAGGACTAATTAATTTCCTTAATTAGGAATGCTCAATTTAATGTTTCTACAAATTGGGCTCCTACTTGTTGATTGTAAACTTAGTCTCGGCAACCAGAAGAAGAAATTGACTTTTTTGTGTAGTTGATTATGTTGTTTGTTTTTTAGGTTTTTTTCTTCATGTAAGAAAAAAAGACAGAAAAATGTATGTTGGTTATTTTGGTTGTATTTTGCAATATGTTCTCCATCCCCAAACAATTCAATCTTCGGAGTTTATTTTTGTTGGAAGATTTTAAAATTGAGTTTTTGTTCTTTAGATTTCTTTGTTATTGTGTGATTATAAATTTATAATAGATGTCTTTCTACTTTAAAGAGTTATTGTCCCTCCCATTTCCACTGTCTTTGAGTGGTCTTGATTTAAGGAGGTTTGTGTTGAAAGATCACATATGCTTCAGGCTCTGTTGTTTAAAGGCTCAGCAAAATGATGTTTTATCGCATCTTCTTTTGTGGCCGTTATCTGATTGTCATCTATGCACATATTGCTTTGTCAAACACGAGCATTAGATCACTCAATGGGTTATCTAATTTATGTGGCATCGTTTCTCTTTGTGGCTCTATCGGCGTTGAGGTTAGAGGACTCATCCACGGCTTTGGTTGCTCTAAGTGTTGTGATTGTTTATATATATCCTTGTTGTTTTATTTGCTTAACTAATGTTGTAGGCTTGTAGATGTCTGCTTGGCCATGTTGCCTCTCTTGTATTGTTCAACAAACATTTTCTCTATTGGTTGATTTTAAGAATCTATAAATTGCTTCTTTGACCCAAAAAATGTAAATTAAAATTTGATAAGATATACTCCTTCTGTTTCAAATTAGTTGTCATTTTGGCAAAATGTATATGCAAATATTTGGACGTATTTGGACATGTTTTGCATTGCAGATACATCCAAATAATTGCAGATACATATTCCCAAAACGACAACTAATTTGAAACGGAGGGAGTATGACAATCTGGATTAGAAAAGCACAAAGTTAGGGCCTTTGCATATCATGTTACAAAAATGGCAATTGCCATAGACCCCAAAAATATATAAAATGATAGGAATTCCAAGTGACAAAAATTTGGTTTAGCAAATTGGATTTATGGAGTGATCTTCTTTGTTTCACCCCAAGTTTGATTCCTTTTAACTGTTATGTGGAATTATAAATATAAGTTGAGGGTTAAACTAGGTTTTGAAACGAAAAAAAGAAATTTAAAAAATTCCAAATTAGGTATTGAATTGTTTTTTTTTCTAAGTGATTTTGCATCTTTTGACGAATTAACCTTTTTCAGTCGCACTATATCTTTTTCCCCTCAACACACCCTTTTGTGTGTGATAATGTTAATTTATTATTTAGTTTAATCATTAATCAATATTTAATAGGCCCTTATTTTAAAACTGGGATAATACCCATGCAATTGCACGGGTTCAATATTAATCGTTAATTATTTTAGTATATTTTTAGTATATTTTATGTTTTTTTTAACATGAGCATAAACATACATTTTTGCACAAAAAAACATATATATATATATATATACTTTTAGTTTAAAGCCAACTGAAATTTTGAATTATGATATAAAATTTGAGATTCGTTTATTTATTCAAATTTGTGATTGTTTAGTGTAAAAATGTATTTCATCCGTGAAATAATTTTAAAAACGATTTTATAGTTTTAGTTTAAAAGTCAATGAAAAATATAAATTCAAATTTGTGATTTTTGTTTAAGAATGTGTTTCACCCATAAATAATTATAAATAAAAGCTTTGTATCTCTTAGTTTAGTCACAAACAAATATTTCTATAAATCAATGATAATATCTTTTGTCCTTCAATATTCTAATTTTTAATATATATGATTTAATATTAAATGTTTGGAATTAATATTTTTGGTAAGTTTAAGAATATTTAATGTGTTTGGAAATAGAAATTAGAGTACTCAAAATAGGCAAACAATGAAAATAGTTGTGTTTGGCAATTAGTATAAGAGAATTAAAAAAATAAAAAAGCTGAGAAAAATTGTGAGAGTGACACCTCAGCAAAAATGGTCTCTAAGCTGAGAGGATTTGCTTTAAACTCAGCTGAACTAGTACTATGCTGCCAAAGTGATCCGTCCATGTGTATTTGGCCCGGTTTAAGGAGGTCAATTTATATTATGGACAAAATATTATCTATGTTCATTAATAATCGCTTGCATTAAAGACCAAACTAATAAACAACCACGAAAAAATAGGCTGTTCATAGGCCAAGGAAACAAATTTCTGATGATTTATATAACAAATTGCAAATTAAGTGAAAACGTTTGAAGATACAAAGCTCTTGGCTTCTTGGTGATTTCAACACTGACCCTTAACATTGGCAAGAAAAAAGTACCAAATATTCCAATTTCCAAAATAAAAAAAAGGTATCATGATACAAAGATGCAGGAACAAACGAACACAAGTACCAAATGTTCCAGATTTTTTTTTTAATGTGTTCTCAGATTTTGTTAGAGAAAAGCCAAGAAACTAATGAAAGACATGTGATGTAGTAGAATGTTCTTGAAGTTCAAATGTTAGAACGGTATGTTATGAACTATATAATCTTATGATTGTTCAACATCATGTAGTTTATTTTTGCTCTCACATGAATACCTAAGTGTGTGATTCTTAGGTGTTGATTGGTTCACCCACTGCAAACGCACCTGTTGCGGGTGGTAGCGGTTGTTGGCGTTTGACAACAATCACCGCAAACGCTTCCTACCGCTTTAAAACGTTCAAAACTGCTCCAAATCTCTCAAAATCTAAACCTCCTTTCCAACAGCATTTGCGGTTGCGGGTGGACTTTTTTTTTAAATACAAATTTTTTTAAAATCAGCATATATATTAGTAAAATTTTAAGATTTGGATATTATATTTACAATATAAATAAATAAATTTGACATTAATATATATATTATATATATATACAGTGGAAACTCTATATATTAATAATGTCGAGACTTTAATATTTTATTAATTTACAGAGTTATTAATTAATTTATAGGTTTTGACTAATTTTTTTATTAAGAAATATTTAAAAAATACCATAGTATTAAGAAGTTATAATAATATTTTCTAAATTTTTATTATAAATTTAGTTCTAAAATTATTTAAATTCAAATAAAAACAAATAATATTATACTTTTAGTATATTATCATAGGTTATATATTTGTATAAGATTTTTTTATAGAAATTATTAATTTATGATATTAATAGGACCTTATTTTACATATGATTTTTTAGAAAGTTGTTATCTTATTATCATATCGAATTGTGCCGTATTTTACACCGGGCTAACTCGGGACCGAGAAATTTTATTAATTTTATCGTGTTTATTAATATATGGAGTATTAAATTATAGATTTTTTACAGTATATATAAGTTATAGAATTAAAACATATATATCTTCATCTCTAGGTAAATGTTCTCTTCATACTAATTAATACATATATATATATATATATATATCTAACTTAAAATTATAATATAAATTTAGTTTCACATTAAAGATGTATTTTTAAAATCATATCTTATTATCTTTCATCAAAATTATAGAAATTAAAAGATAAATGTAAATATTATACACATATTTTCTTTTTTAATATTTGATTATTAATTATATTGAACTGTGCAATATAATATGATTTTGATGTTTTTATATTTATATAATGTATTTATATTGTTAATTTATTGTTTAAACGTTATTGCACCCACAAATCAATCAGTTATAAGTATTCCGCAAACGCATCCGTTTTAAATCGCTATGCCAGTCGTACAAACCGTTTAATAACGCTCTTAATTACAACCGCCCGCTTCATCAAACTCTTGAAACCGCAACCACAATCTCAGCATTTAAACGAGTAAACCCCTTAAACCAAAAAAAATAGCTGCTTTTGATCAGGTAATAGTTTGTTTTCTCTTAATCAAAGTTGTTATTTCATATAGATTGTAATGAAACTACTAAGTTAAGATCTCATAATTATTTTTTTTAGGTTTAGATGAAAACTTGCAAAATTTAAGGATTCCATGAGACGCTAAGGGACTAATGACTTTGTTAGGCCTGCGACTTCGGGTGATCGGGTCGGGTTGGAGTTGGTACCGACCGGGGTCTATCGGGTCCTGGATGTTTGTACCCATATAGGTACCAAAATATTTTGGGTCGAATTTGAGTTTGAACCAGCCGGGTCCGAGTATGTTTGGGTCCATATTAAAAAAAAACCAAATTTTACCCAAAATTATTCGGTTACCATTCGGTTCGGGTATAATTACCCAAATATATCCAAATTGTACCAAAAAAACCTGAAATGTATGAAAAAAAACCCAAAACTTATTTTTCCAAACCGGACATGAGCTTATTAAAATGTCAAATAATTAAATAAAATATTAAAGAAAATCAAAAACACATTCAAGAAACCTTTGTTTTATCTTTCTCTCTCTTCGTGTCATCTTCTTCTCCATTTTTTGTTCATTTTTTAAAAGCTTCTCCTCCATTTTCTCAATCTGCTAACCCTTCAACTTCCTGATGAATCCTCACAAACCAAAATGATCTGTTCCACCATCATGAATTCATGATTTTGGTCTGACTACATAATCATTTGATATCGGCCATCCATTCACCACCACAATCCCGAAGATGATCTCGTGTTTGCTCTTCAGGAATTCGTCCTCTTCCCTTCCTCTACATCCTGAATTTCCCTATGTCACTCCTCTGATGCGTCTTATCTTCTGCCGGACTCCCTAATTGTTCTTGTTCGCCAAACCCTATTTTTCAATTGAAGAAGAGATGGGGATTTTACTAAATGAGTAAACCAGGTCTGGGTAGTGTTAATCGATGCAAATTAATTTTCGGGTGAACCATATCGGGTCCTTCCCGAACCCGACCCAATAACCACTGGTATCAAATTAATTACCCATCCGTTAAATAGCCTAATACCGAAACCAAACTGAACCGGACTTTTTA